CACCCGTAACAAGCCTGTACACCCTACCGAGGGGCTGTTGATTTGCAGGCAGGGCTTCAAGAAAGAAGTGTATCGATGATCAGATCACTCTACACTTATACGCCCCTAGGTTCATCCTTTCTTCATCCCTGTTATGAGTGCAATTTAGTGAGCTAGCTAGAATTGCACTATCGAAGCAAGAGTACAATGAGCGAAGGCATGAGCGAAGGATATATAGCGAAACTACAGTGGTTACGGTAATATGTGAAAATGGGGTGCGCGACGGGCCTAGTGCCGAGGTCGGGGAATGTCGAGGCGGAGGTCCGGAGCAGGGCCTGTGCTAGGATTTAGGGCACCCTGAGCCCTCAAGGCAACTTTTGAAAACTCTCCAAAATGCCCTGATTTTTCAGGGCAAAAATTCTTGGCAATCCTGAAGTTTCAGGGCACCAACAGAACTTCATCTGGATGTTTCAGGGCAAAAGAACACAAGACACTAGAGTGGAGGGGGAGCCATGAGAGGAGCAGGTTGTTCGGTGGTTTCACTACAATGGGCTGAGCAAAAACCCTGGGGGGGGGGGGGGGGGGGGGGGGGGGACAAAACTAGCACACCCACCCCCCAGCCTCCCTCCTCCCCTTTCCCTCTCTTCCCCCCCTCCACCCCTTCTTCCCCTTCCCACGAGTCAGAGCATCCCTCTACATTCACCCTAACGCTTCAGGGCAAAATTTCACTGCCATTCTGAAATTTCAGGGCAAAACACATGAATCATCCTGACGTCACAGGGTAAAGTTTATCGTCATTATGAAATTTCAGGGCAAATTTAAAACACCATCCTGAAATCAGGGTACGGTAATCAGGATGTTTTGCCCTGATATCGTGGGCCATGGTCTGGAGCGCGGGCTACCAACCGAACCGTGAGGTTGGGTCGCGTCGTGAACAGTGGTGGGAACAGTGTCGATGCGAGTGTCGCGAGTGGTAACTGATTACTGTTCGGTGCTGTTGGCGGGAACAGTGGTGTACGCGCTGAACACGGACGCGAAGTAAGAAAGATGCATTTTCCTTACAATCCCTAGTTTATGTACGTTATTTCCCCTGGTACCATACTAGTTTCCGCAATACCTTATCCAATAAACGTGCATATCCGTAAGGAATTTTCTCGACATTCCTTACCGCGACCAACAATATCTCGTACAGCAGCAGCCGTTGTTTGACCGTTGCTGCTAACAGGGCTTGGCCGACTTCGTGCGCACTGTTTCACCAAACCTCGCATTGCTGGAGCAACCGAGTCGGCCTACGCTTCGGGATTAGCCCGAACCTCACGCCAGCGTAACACTAGCTAGCTCGCACACACCACGTTACCATTTGCATGTTTTCGCCTATAAGGGTACATTCTTGTAGGGACACTTATGTCTTAATCCCCGTTTTCCCGAGAAGCGCCTGTTAATTTACCCAATGTCGCGTCACAAACATCGAATGTACAGCGACGTAGGGCGGCAGATTGGCAAGTTTAGTTGGACACGATTCATTGGCTGCGATAAAAAAGAAATGTACAGTTGTGTGCATTGGACTGGGTGGCAGTACGCCCGCATTTTCAACCTCCGAGCAGGGGCGTGGTTTCGGTGCGCGGGATCTTTTCCCCCGCAAAATTGGCGTTTTCGGGTATCCAGGTGCATGTGGTCGTGTCAGGCATTTCGAGTCGCGTGCGATTCTTTAACAATGACGGGTCGTTTCGTAAGTCGTCAGCGATGTAAGCGCGTTTCACGCTGACCAATAAAAAGTACAGTACAAGTCGCTGAAAGGTCATTTGCATTTGGGACACAACACAGTTTATGTTGCTTTTGGGTGTCACAAAGTGATTGAGACACAAGTGCCCCCACAAGAATGTACCCTAAGTATTCGCTCATGCCTTCGCTCATACTTTGTATTCCTTTGACACCTTTGTGCAATCCTCGCTACCTCGATCCATCGCACCCGTAACACATGGTGTGAAAGATAGAAAGAGGGAAAATGATGAAAGAGAGAAGAGAGGGGTTTCACTAGCAGGCAGTTGAGTACATATAGCAAACCTTAACAGGGCTGTACTCACTATAGAGTACCCCACTACAGACTAGAGAAATATAACATTCTGACACTTGGTTATCAGAGCCACTTTCCTTTTCGGACCGCGCATCTCCACACCCTAGGAAATTAACTTTTGTTTTTTCACTCGAAGGGGCTCACGCCCCTTAGCACCTAGGAGCCGTTGTCCTCGCGTTCTCTCGTAAACGCGTGCAGCCACGACTGCGCTTAGACAAAGCTGAGCCGACACCCTTCGCGATGGCCGAACATATCGACGTCACTACGCTCACGCAGGTTTGCCTGAATGAATTGTTGAGCCAACTGCATGAGAATTCAGAAGAAAGTGCGGCGCTGACGGCGGAACGCACGTCCCTGCAAAATGACGTCACACGAGCACAACAAGCACAGTCAAGCTGAGTACAGAAGCGCTGATGATCACAAGGCGCAAGTGCCTTGGTGAAAACATCAGCAGTGTTGGCCTCAGAGGCCACGTACGCAAGCCGCAACTGACCACGCTGCTGTAGCTCACGAGCAAGGAAGTAGCGAAGAGCAATGTGCTTTGTTCAGTGCTCCAGTCTCTGCTCTCGACACAAGGCCAGCATGGCCTTGTTGTCTACGTACAGGATTGGAGGAGAACGAGGCGGCTCTCCAAGGTCGGTCAGCAGGTAGGTGAGCCAGTGAAGCTACTGAGCAGCCATGGCCCTGGCGTAGATCTCGGCCTCACAACTGGAGCCGAGAACAGAAGACGAGCGAGTAGCCCGCCACGAAACAGAGCCGGAACCAAGGCTGAAGGTGTAACCCTGTGACGACCGCTGCGTAGCCTGGTCGTTAGCCCAAGAAGCGTCCGCGTGCCCAGTGCGGACCACTGGACTCTGCCCTCCAAGCACTAGCCCCATGCCCGACGTACTGCACAAGTAGCGCAACACCCTCTTCGCTGCAGCCATGTGCTCTGGTTTGTGTCTCCCAGGAGCAACATAGCGTGCAAGAATGCTAAGAGGGTATGCAAGGTTAGGTTGTGTGTAGGTCATCAGGTACATGAGGCAGCCAACAAGCTCTGGGTACGGGCCACTCGACTCTACGGACTCATCCGAAGGCAGGGCTGAGAGCGAGTGGCGAGTAGGCAGAGGAGTGGCTTGAGGCGAGGAGTACGTGAAGCCGAAGCGCTGAAGGACCTGCTGCACCATGTGTGACTGAGTCAGGGTAATGGTGCGGCGTGCTCTGTCCCGGGTGATCTGCAAGCCAAGGTAGCTGCGCAGATCACCCAGGTCTGTGCACGTGTGTCTCTTCTGCAGCTCGGACTTCACGTGGGCGAGTCGAGCAGTGTCAGCAGTGGCAAAGACCAAGTCGTCGACGTACACGAGGATGTAGAACGGCGACAAAGAGGTGTCGGTGCGTAGAAACAGCGACGGGTCAGCAGTAGAGGGAGCAAACCCAAGATCCACAAGCGTAGTCCTCAGTGTGTCGTGCCACTCGCGCGGTGCCTGGCGGAGACCGTAGACTGGTCGTTGGAGGCTCCACTGGGTGCCAGGAGGGAAATTCCTAGTGAAGCCAGGTGGACGGCGCAGCCAGATCTCCTCGTGCAGGCTACCCTGCAGGAAAGCAGTGCTGAAGTCAAGGGAGTGAAGCTCGTAGTCACGCTGAGCGGCTATGTGTAGCAGCACCCGAAGAGTGGTCATCTTCGGGGTGGGAGAGAAGGTCTGAAAGTAGTCAACTTCCTGCCGCTGACTGAAGCCACGAGCCACGTACCGCACCTTGAAGACAGGCGGAGAGCCCGGCGGCCGCTTCACCCTGAAGATCCACATGCCACTGACGATGTTCGCCCCAGGTGGGGGAACCGCGTCAACGTAGGTGCCTGTGGACTTCCAGGAAGCCATCTCTGCATCCATAGCTGCCTGCCACTGAGAGGAGTAGGGACCCTCTACGGCCTCTGCGTAAGAGCGCGGAGTCGGGATGTCAAGTGCATCCGGGTCTCCCTCAGGGGTAAGCAATACGGAGACGAGATGAGGTGAAGCAGCAGCCAGACACTGGAACTCCTCCTGCCTGTCTTCAAGGACGTCCGTGCCAAGAGCACACTCACCCCCGACGGACGGAAGACAGACAGACGCAGACTCAGCAACGAGACTAGCAGCGTTGTCTAGACGATAGAGAGCAGCAAAGTCGACGAGCTCAGCAACAAGAACAGACGCAGTAGTGGACGCAAAAGAGGGGTCAGTGACGACAGTAGCAAGGAGAAGAATAAGCCAGCCTGTCTTCTCTGTCGGATGAGCCTGGCTATGTGTGTCTTCCTCTTGTAGCTGCGTGGCTCTGATCCCTTCGTTACGTGATACCCGCATATCAGCAAGCACAGTGAATAAAGCAATGTTCTCTTTATGTGTCCTACCGTATTCTCCCGGACATAACACCCTAGGGTATAGCTAAAAATACAGGGAAAAATTGGGGGGGGGGGGGGGGGGTCTCTTCATAGGAAAAAAATACATAATACCCGGATCTTTACATATGGCATATTTTAGTGTTAGTGTTTTTTTAACTAGTCAATGTGGGTGTTTTGCTGGTCGTTTTAGCATCATCGCCTGAGGCGCGAATGTGAGTTTCGGCCTCGAACTTCATCGCCCTCACGAAAATGCCATGTGGCACCTCTCTTGCCACTTGCAATGGAAGATTCACCTGCACGTGGCAACAGAGAAATAGTGGGAGGGGGCAAATCTCGGCAGATTGCCTTTGAATGTACCGCAAAATTTCATTGAGGGAGAAATTCACACGATATTCTTCCCTATTGCAGCTACTCGTTAACGACTATAATAATGAATCCGCAAGAAAAGGGGGGTGTTATAGAAAATCAGCCAAAAAGGGGGGTATAGTAGAAGCGAGGTCTATCATAACACCCACCCCGCACAAGCTACCCGGGGGTGTACAATTATGGGGGGTGTTTTGTCCGGGAGTATACGGTATCTATAAGGATCAGTCTTTAACCGGCAGAGAAATCAAGCCCGCTTGTCTGCCCTGTCGAATTAGCTTGGCTACGTGCATCTTCCGCTTGTAGCTGCGTGGCTCTGACCCCTTCATTAGGTGATACTCGCAGATCAGCGCTGCTGGCTCTAGCAATCCCTGTAGGCGTGGGAAGGGAAGGGAAGATAGAAACGTGGAGCTGGAATTGTCTTGGAAAAGATGAGACACTGTGTGGCTCTGACCCCTTCATTAGGTGATACTCGCAGATCAGCGCTGCTGGCTCAAGCAGTCCCTGCATGTGACAGAAGGGAAGATTAAAAAAAGGTGCTGAAATCGTATCAAACCTGCATGTACGGTAACAGGTGTGATACCGATGGTCAATGCAAAGATTATGTGTACAGTAAAAGGACACTTACAGTGTACTTATTCGTGTGCATAACAGAAGCGTTTAGATCCACTCCCCCTCGGAACGGAATGGCAGAGTAATGCTCTGCCATGGCTTGCACCTGAGAGGGTGGACCAGAAGCGGCAGGAAGAGAAGGATGAGAGAAACGGAATGGCAGAGTAATTCTCTGCCATGGCTTGCACCTGAGAGGGTGGATAAGAGGCGGTAGGAACAGACGTAAGAGATGAAGGAAATGGCACAGTAAATATCTGCAATGGGTTGACTTGAAAGTGGTTGAGTTATTAGGTGGGAAGCAAGGAGGAGAGGGAGGAGAGTAAGCTCCTGGCCACAGCACGTGGCACCAAGCTACTGGCCAGTCTATGAGACATAAGGAATCGCTCACCTGTTGAGGGTCAAACATCACTCGCCGCATGTGTGCCTCTCCAAGGCACATGTTGGGGTCTCCTGAGAACAGCGGCTCCGATGGCCCCTCCGTTACAGCCTTTTGAGACATCTCAGTCTGTGACAGTCTCAAAGGGGCTCACCTGGCGAGGGTCGAACATAACTCGCCGCATGCCCGCCTCTCCCAGGCACATGTTGGGATCTCCCGAAAACAGCGGCTCGGATGGCCCCTCCGTTACAGTCACACTCGCATTTGCACCACCTGCTGCTGCTGCTGCTGCTGCTGCTGCGTCTGCTAGCTGGCTGTTGGTGGCGTTGCCAGTGGTGTTGGCAGAGGTTCCATTCAAATCAAGAGGTGGAGGAGGGGGAGGAGGAGGTGTGGTGATGATTGTGGGGGTGATGGTAGGGGTAATGGCGGCGCTGTTGGGACGGCATGTGGGGTGGACGGATCGGAACACCATGCGCTGCTGTAGCCAGTGGTCGGGTGCTGCGGTTAAGACAGAGGGGAGGGGGGAAAGAATAGAATAAAGAGCAGAGGCAGAAGAGGGCTGTGGGGCGGGTCCTACTGGTATGGCATGTGGGATGGACTGATATGAAAACCATGCGCTGCTGTAGCCAGTAGTCGGGCGCTGTGATTTTTTAGAATTCTCAAAAGTTGCTGTAGCCAGTGGTCGGGCTTTTGAGACGTCTCAAAGGTCAAAAATTGCTGTAGCCAGTGGTCGGGCGCTGTGGTTAGGACAGAGGGGAGGGGGAGAGAATAAAGATTAGAGGCAGAGGAGGGCTGTGAGGACCCAAATGTGGCGGAGAGGGAGGAAAGGGACAGACCCACACTGTGTGACTCGCAGCCACCAACCAACATGCGACTCTCTCACACCCACCAACCAACATGCGACTCTCTCACACCCACCAACCAACATGCGACTCTCTCACACCCACCAACCAACATGCGACTCTCTCACACCCACCAACCAACATGCGACTCTCTCACACCCACCAACCAACATGCGTCTACCTCTATCTCTCTGGGACTGATAGAATACCTGTGATGGGCAGGCAGAGCTCGACGTGCCAGGAGTAGGAGCCCATTGACAGCCAGGGGCGGGCGGCATGGTAGATTAGGTGGATGGAGAGGCGGAAGGAAGGCGACGGAAGGGAAAGGACCTGTTGGGTTGACTTCAAATCATACATGTGATGGGCAGGCAGAGCTCGATGTGCCAGGAATAGGAGCCCATGGAGAGCCAGGGGCGGGCGGCATGATAAGCAAGCAGCGTGGAGAGGCGGAAAGGAAGGAGAGGGTCCATACTGGGTGGCTCACACGCCCACCCACATACCTGTGATGGGCAGGCACAGCTCAATGTGCCAGGAATACGACCCCATGGAGAGCCAGGGACGGCCGGCATGATAAGCAAGCAGCGTGGAGAGGCGAAAGGGGCCGACGACGTGAGGCAGCTCGTCAAATGCGAGTGAGATGACCCACTCGGAGGTGAAGCGCGTGCGGTAGAGACAGTCGTTCATTGTGATGACGTTGTGACGGGCTGGCAAACTGGAGGAAGAAACGGTGGGGAGAAGGGGTGGGGACGAAAGGAAGAAGGGGGGGGGGGTTGAGAAAGGGTGCAACGACCCACTGGGAGGTGAAGCGCGTGCGCGTGCAGTAAAGACAGTCGTTCATTGTGATGACGTTGTGACGCGCTGGTCAACTGTCATCTGTGAACCTGGACACAGCATCCCGCAGGTGACAGGACAGGAGAACCCAATCAAGTCAACCCTAGTCAACCAAAGTCAATGTCTCAGACATACTCAGCAAGTCCTCGCAGGTCCACCACCTGCAGCATGTCCGCTTCCGTAAACCTCGACACGGCATACCGTAGGCGATTCGTGAACCCCAGTCAATTCAGGTCGACCCAAGTCAACCCAAGTCAACCGCATTCAACACCCCATACTCACTCTGCTAGCCCTCGCAGGTCCACCACCTGCAGCATGTCCGCTTCCGTAAACCTCGACACGGCATCCATTAAGCCATTTGAGAAACCCAAGACAACACAAGTCAGCCCGAAGTCAACCCAAGTCAGCCCGAGTCAAGCAAGGTCAACCGGAGTCAACAGACTTACTCAGCAAGTCCTCGCAGGTCCACCACCTGCAGCATGTCCGCTTCTGTAAACCTCGACACAGCATCCCGTAGGCGTTTCCTGAACCCCAGTCAATTCAGGTCGACCCAAGTCAACCCAAGTCAACCGCATTCAACACCCCATACTCACTCTGCTAGCCCTCGCAGGTCCACCACCTGCAGCATGTCCGCTTCCATAAACCTCGACACGGCATCCCGTAAGCGATCTGTGAACCCCAAGACACCCAAGTCAACCAAAGTCAATCAGAGTCAACAGACTTACTCAGCTAGCCCTCGCAGGTCCACCACCTGCAGCTTCCGTAAACCTCGACACGGCATCCCGTAAGCCATTTGAGAAACCCAAGACAACACAAGTCAGCCCGAAGTCAACCCAAGTCAGCCCGAGTCAAGCGAGGTCAACCAGAGTCAACAGACTTACTCAGCAAGTCCTCGCAAGTCCACCACCTGCAGCATGTCTGCTTCTGTAAACCTCGACACAGCATCCCGTAGGCGATCCGAGAACCCCCCACCGTCATAGAAAATAAAGTCATCAGCTCCAAAGAACAGCAGGTACTGCATGTGCTCGAGGACTCGCGCTGGGGTGTGCTGTGAGGGGGGTAGTGGGTGGGAGGGGGGAGCGGTAGAGGATGGGCGTGGAGAAGATGAAATCGCCTGCTCCAAAGAACAGCCGGTACTGCATGTGCTCGAGGACTCGCGCTGGAGTGTGCTGTCTGAAGGTTAGCAGGGGCATGAGGACGACAGATGTTTTGAGACGTCTCAAAAAGAGGAGTGTTTTGAGACGTCTCAAAAAGAGGAGTGTTTTGAGACGTCTCAAAAAGAGGAGTGTTTTGAGACGTCTCAAAAAGAGGAGTGTTTTGAGACGTCTCAAAAAGAGGAGTGCTTTGAGACGTCTCAAATCAGTGTGCTGCCTGAAGGTTAGCAGGGGCATGAGGACGACAGATGTTTTGAGACGTCTCAAATCAGTGTGCTGTCTAAAGGTTAGCAGGGGCATGAGGACGACAGAGAGGGCGAGTGTTGAGAGCAAGAGAGGGAGAGAGAGCTCATCTAAGCAGCACAGCACCCACCTCCTCAAAACCATTCACTTCAGCAGCAAAGCCCTCACCTCCCGGTCAATGAGCAGCGAGCAGAAGGAGGTGCGGTGCGGCAGCGTTTTCCAAGGCACGTTGAAAATCCTTTTGAGTTGACTTAAAGAGGTGCCTCAATGGTCGCCATGAGCCCTCACCTCGCGGTCAATGAGCAGCGAGCAGAAGGAGATGTGGTGTGGCAGCGGCCGCGGCGGGTTGAGAATCCGCTTAGCAGCAGCAGCCCTCTCCTCCTCCGCCTCCCCCACAGCAGCAGCAGCAGCGGCAGTAGAAGCAGAGGGAGCGGGTCTGAGGTCGTCCTCCCGGTACACGAGCATATCCCTCCCTGAGATGTGGTAGAACAGAGCACCACCTGCGGGTGGGGGGACGGGAATTGAAGGGGCAGGTGGGGCAGCCGATTCAATCTACGACTACCAAACCCCTTGCGCCCATACCATACTTTTGAGCCGACTCCGAAAGCACAGATGCGCCATGTGTGCATGTGTGCTACCATATTCCATCCATTCACCAGGGTGGGCTGGGGTGCGCTTATCGAGGTTGCAGCGGATGACAATGGTCTCATACGGCATGCCCCCATGGTCGCCCGAAAACAGATACTCCAAGCTGCCCTTGATGGTGTGCGGCCCCTCATACGACACCCACACGCACCCTCCGCCCACATCACATCCCACCATGTGGCATGTTCCATTCTAGCCCAGACCAAACCACTGACGTGCACACACACAATACAGGCCACAGCGTGTGCTCCCATACCGAAGGAAACAGCACAGCTGCTCACCAGGGTCGGCTGGGGTGCGCTTGTCTAGATTGCAGCGAATGACGATGGTCTCATAGGGCATGCCCCCATGGTCGCCCGGAAACAGATACTCCAAGCTGCCCTTGATGGTGTGCGGCCCCTCATACGACACCCACACGCACCCTCCGCCCACATCCTCCTCCCCTCCCTGCTCCGAGGACGAACGTGGGCCGTTGGATTGGGGTGAGTGCCACTGGGAGCGCATCCCGCGGGCGGAAAGGCCTATGACTGCGAAATCGAGAGGGCTGACGCGGTGGGCGGAGATGAAGACGAAGGTGTTCACGCCGTGCGGGGTGAACCGACCTGGCAGTGGGTTGAGGTTTTGTGGGAGGGCAGCGGGGGCATTGGAAGGGCAGGGGGGCATCAAGAGCGCATGGAGCGGGGTGAGAGGCCGATGACGGCGAAGTCGAGAGGTCTGACGCGGTGTGCTGAGATGAAGACGAAGGTGTTGACGCCGTGGGGGGTGAATTGCCCTGGTGTTGGTTTGGTTGTTGGGGGAGAAGGATGGGACAGTGGTAGTGGTGGTGGTAGATGGGGAGGTATTGGGGGACGGGGCGGGGCGGGCACTGAGCAGAGCAGAGGGGGCACTGCGGAAAGGGCGCGGGGGTTGATGATGATAGGGTGAGCGGGGGTGAAGAGCGAAGGAGGTTGGGAAGGGAGGGCAGGAAGGGACAAGGCAGAAACTGGGTCTGAGTGTTCCAGAAGAGACAGCATACACGGGGAAAAGCAGTGGCATGAGAAAAAGCGGTGGCCAGCAAGTGATGCAAATTCTCAAGGTAAATACTGCGAGTGGGGTTTTTAAGAGGGTGAGTAACCTACCCCATTCTGGATTGGACGGCCGATACGGCAACTTCATGAGGTTCTGACACGTGTCAGTCATGAAAGTCCTGTTTACGTTTCTGATGGAGACGGACTTATAGTAGACGTTATAATGAAGGAACGGAGCCAGCCATCCAAAGCACCATCTCAGTAGTATCACCCCTAATACAGTCAACAGAATGTAACGGAACAAGGTTTGCCCGTCCTTGGATCCTCCCCACTGCATCGCACGGCTGAGAGCCAACCGAAAGGACCGAATCGACGGTCGTCGGAGGAGCTTGACGTACACGTCCATGACAAGGGAAGGGACTCTTTCGACCCTTCCCCGACCCTTCCCAGAGCGGGACCGCGCTTTCGGAGCCAGCGCATCGACTTTCTTAACAGACTAAGTAACTTTACCTATTCCCGGAGTTAGCTTTACAACAACCCTAATTGGCGTGAATCCGCAAAAAGCTTCTCCTTGACGGCCTACGGAAAGAGCGGTGGTATCCTTCTAAGGCCGAAGCAACCTCGAACTGCTTTTTCAGTCACTGCGCGGCTTGCTGTAGCGACGTCATTTGTAGGTGGCTATATGGCATAAATGCGATGACTATGCGGGGAGAGAAATGCGGGCCTATCCGTGGAGGCGAGTAAGGAGAAGAGAGAATCCAGCTCCTAAATTCACGAACACGTCGCTTGCTTGTGAATGCCTTGGGCTAACTCATGGAGGGTCACCTCGCCTGACTCGTGAAAGCAGAGCAGATTGGGTGGAACAGAATCGGAGTGGGGAACTCGAAGAAAGAAAGTGAAATTGGCGACCACGGGTCGTTCAATGCGGTTCACTACTCTTTTCACCTGGTAGACAGCGGTTACCATGTTTCCACACAGTAAACAATTGCAGTAGAGGTTTGGTAGGTGAACATGGCCAATAATGCGGGAGATAAGCTGTCGACAGAGGCTTGTAGATTGCCGCGAGTGATTCGCTACCGAAGCATAAGTTTCATCTGTATGCGAAATAGGCAACGAAAGACACGAACTTAGGCGATCTCGGAGCTTGAGATTTGTCCTCGTGACGCTTCCTCTGCCTTTCGACCAGCAAGGTAACGAGGACCGTTCGTCTGGTAACATCTCGCTGAGGATGTCGTGAATCTGTGGGTCTGAACATGGCAACACTGCACCTCGAAAATTCGCTGAATTCCACCTCGAGAACTCCCCCACGCTGCAGCCTCGGGAACTCCGCCTCCACCCCAACCTCAGCCCAGGTTCCAGATTGGCATGCGTGATTTGTTGTCAAGTGTGGATTTCGCATCCCATTTGTGCATCTTTATCATCCGTCCATACAGGAACAGGCGAATCTGGTCCGTCTGTCAGGTATCCGTTAGTGACAATTACGAAAGGGTCTCTGCTGCAGCAGCAGGTGGAAAGAGGTAGGGCACTACCTGTTCCATCAAAACGATCGTCGGTTCCTTACGCCTCGGAATTCACTTTGCCTGGCTGGATTCATTGATGTCTGTCATGGCTGTCACGGCTGTGATACCTGTCATGCCTGTACAGCCTCATCCAATACTACTGATACCCCAACGAACCAATCATGGCGAAGACAAGTGTGCGATGACGCCGTTACCGGCATCACTTGGCTTTCCCACCTGACGGCTACTAGTAGTACGCGGATTTCTCCTCGAAAATTCCGTCACGAGTAGTACGCGTACTTGTCCGCGTAGTACGCGGATTTCTCCTCGAAAATTCCGTCACGAGTGACGCCATGTGACGTGTCATGTCTACTGAACGACACATGCTCATTACTCGCTGTCACTGTGCGACCCGTGTGATTCATGCGAGCTGGAAATCGAGCCGTCGCTCGCTTGTTACTGTCGCAGGACTGCAAACAGTGAGAAGGAAGGAAAGCCGTCGTGGTTCAGTCTTGCTGAACCGTATCCAGTCGAAGGAACGCTTCAGCCATTGCCTTCCTTCCTCTTGAGCCGCGACTAGCCGTGCGGCAAGATTGCTGAATGTACGAACCTGCTCTCTAGGCAAATCCATAAACACTTTTTTGAGCTTAGCACGCCTGATTCTAGGTGCTCAACTTTTCATTCTTCTCCTTCGCAACATAAGTCCCTGCTGCTGAGATTCAAAGACCCACCACACTGGAGTCGTCCTCCCAAACTCCTCGTTTTGCTTGACTTGGGATGCGCTACCTGCAGTTATCACACTGAAAAGGGTCAAACGAGGGTCAATGAGGCCAGTGACGTCATTCATGCTCAACCTGCCTGTTCTAACCTGCTGTGTTCTAGGAGCACTTTCCGTGCTTTCCTCCTCCCATGAGATTTCTGAGAATTCTAAGAACGGCCTGATCACCTCCTCCCTGATTCAAGCTTCCTCTACTGGTGCTACTGGCAGTAGTGATGCATCCCGCATCCCCCTCCTCCACCACTCCTCCCGCTCTCTGCTTCAGCTGCGCCACTGTGCCGCCCAGGCCTGTCCGCCCTACCTCTGCTGCTCCTCCTCCTTCGGCTGTGGCCTCGGCTCCGCCTGCCTCACTGACTGCCTCTCCGGCCCCTGCGAAACCGCTGGTAACACGGTTACCAGTAACAGCGTCACTGGTAACAGTGCTGCTGGTACTGGTAACACTGTAGATGGTGCCACTGCTGATGGTAGTACCACTGGTGGTGGTGGTAACCCTAGGGGGCCTCGGTTACAACCCCCTGTGTGCTGCACCGCTGCTGCCTGTGACCTTGCTCCTATTATGTGTGGTTCAGGGTGCATCTCAGGTCCCTGCTTCCCACGTGACTATGTTCGCAGCAGAGTGGCAGACCTTCGGAACCGGAGAAACAGCAGCAGTAGTGGAGGAATAGGGGCTGGTTCTAGTGGCAGTGAGAGCATGGTTAACGGTACCAGCAGTAGCAGCAGCGGCAGCAGCAGTGGCAGCAGCAGTGTGAGTGACCCTGGCAGTAACAGCAGCAGCGATTTCAGTGCTAGCGGCAATGTTACAGGTGGCGATGGTGTTGCAGGTAGTATCAACGCTACAAACGGTGGCGATTTAAGCACTGGTAGCAGCAATAGCAGCAGGAGCGAGGCCAGCAGCAGCAGCAGTAGCGATGGTAGTGGCAGCAGCAGGAGCAGTGACAGTGACAGCAGTGGCAGCAGCAGCAGTACCAGTAGCGTTGGTGCAGTGTCAGTGGGTGTATTAGCCATTGTGGTTGTTGGCAGCGTCTTCTCTTCTCTCTTCCTGCTTCAAGTCGTGTTCCTCTGCCTGCGGTATCAGCAGAAGCAGAGGGAGAGGAGGAAGCACGAGGAGGAGGAGGATAGACAGGGAGGATCAAACACAAGAGAAAGAGGACGGCCGTGGCAGAAGCCGAGTCAGCACTGGTGGCCATGGGCGAGAAACAGGACAATTCATGCCGACCCGGAGTCTGCTTTTCAGCAGCACCGCAATCACACTAACCGCAGCAAGCTCTCACTGACCTTGGTCTCTTCTCCCCCCGATGCTCCTCGCCGCTTCACCTTTTCTCAGCTACACAGGGCAACGGATGGGTTCTCTGTGGACAATAAAATAGGAGAGGGGGCATTTGGGACAGTCTACCGTGCACTTGCTATTCCTGTTGCTGATTTACTAGGCGCCACGTCAGGAAGAAGGAGAGGAAGGAACACAAAAGCTTCTGGGAAGGGGGTGGAAGGAGGTGGGGTGCGGAATGAGGAGTTGTGGGCGGTGAAGAGGGCGAAGAGAGGGAGCATGGGACCAGGAGGGGCGTTCGAGCGAGAGGTGAGCTAGTGGGTTTGGTATACCTCACGTCACTGCGTCTCAATGTTAAGTATCATCTCACTCTTGGTCTCGTGACTAGCTTCCAGAAAAGATCTGATCGCAGCAAAGCAGCTTCTGTGGACGTGGTACTGTTCCAAATGCGGCTCCATGCCATTTCAAATAAGCCCATGCGGTTCCGCCCGTCCATCAGGTGCGGACCATCTGGCGTTTGAACCGCCGCAGTCTGGTGTCGGTCATTGGCTGGTGTGCAGAGCAAGGGGAGCAGCTGCTGGTGTACGAGCTCGTTTCCAATGTTTCATGTGCGGTTCAATGCGGTTTCCTCCACCACCAGGTGCGGACCATCTGGCGTTTGAACCACCGCAGTCTGGTGTCGCTCATCGGGTGGTGCGCAGAGCAAGGCGAGCAGCTGCTGGTGTACGAGCTCGTTTCCAATGTTTCATGTGCGGTTCAATGCGGTTCCCCCCACCACCAGGTGCGGACCATCTGGCGTTTGAACCACCGCAGTCTGGTGTCGCTCATTGGGTGGTGCGCAGAGCAAGGCGAGCAGCTGTTAGTGTACGAGTTTGTGCCCAACGGCAACCTCTATGAGGCTCTGCACGGTGCGTACTGGCTTAAAAGTGCAGGAAGTGTGTGGGAGAGGAAGTGCGTGTGTGATGGGGATGGAAGTGCATCAAAGGCTGGTGTGCAGAGCAAGGGGAGCAGCTGCTGGTGTACGGGTTTGTGCCCAACGGCAACCTCTATGAGGCTCTGCACAGTATGTGCTGGCTCAGAGGTGAAGGAAGTGCGTGCAATGAGTATGGCAGTGTGATTGCTGTGATGTGCGATTGCTACATGTGGGTGTGTGCGAGTGTGCAGCCCCCCACTGGATCTCCAAGGGCCTGAAGCACCAGATTCTGTTCAAGTTTTGAGACGTCCCAAAACGTGATTTGAGATTGGTATGTGGGCGTGAGCGAGGGAGCAGCCTCACTTGGTCTCCCCGGGGTCTGAAGAGCCACACTCCTCTTCATTCCATCCCTCCCCTTCAACCAATCCCACATCCCCCTCTTCCTCATCCCCGCCCACACAGACCTCTCCCGGGCCCCACTTTCCTTTCTCCAACGAGTGCACGTTGCCCTGGGCGTTGCACGCGCACTGCACTACATACACGAGCAGGTCAGCTTGTGCTGAGCGAGCATTTCAGCCTACCTTTCTTTCCTTTGACTCGACTCAATATCACCTCGGTATTGCCTTTCCGGTGCGCTGCTCTACTTACACGAACAGGTCAGCTTCTGCTGAGTCCGTTTAAGTCGATTCAAATTTCAGCTCGGCCCCTCTTCAAATTTCAGCTTCTGTTGTTCCTCTCCTCGTTTGCAGGCACGGGACCGCATGCTTCACAGAGACGTCAAGTCCCTCAACATACTTCTGACAGCCGATCTGCAGGTGAGACGCTGCAGAGCAGATGCATAGTTTGCAGATGTCTCAGAAGATGCTTCACCGAGATCTCATGTCGCTGCTCAGCATACTCCTCACTGCAAAACCGCGGAGGAGACACTAGACACTGCGGAGCTGCAGGTCTTGCACGGTAGTCTATAGGCGGCACTCTTGTGCAGAGATCGCTGCCCGCTTTTGCTCCCTGGCCCCCTGCCCTTTCCCCACCTGCCCACTCCTGCCTTGTCCCCTTGACCCCCTGCCCACTCCTGCCTTGTCCCCTTGACCCCCTGCCCACTCCTGCCTTGTCCCCTTGACCCCCTGCCCACTCCTGCCTTGTCCCCTTGACCCCCTGCCCACTCCTGCCTTGTCCCCTTGACCCGCTGCCCACTCCTGCCTTGTCCCCTTGACCCGCTGCCCACTCCTGCCTTGTCCCCTTGACCCGCTGCCCACTCCTGCCTTGTCCCCTTGACCCCCTGCCCACTCCTGCCTTGTCCCCTTGACCCCCTGCCCACTCCTGCCTTGTCCCCTTGACCCGCTGCCCACTCCTGCCTTGTCCCCTTGACCCGCTGCCCACTCCTGCCTTGTCCCCTTGACCCCCTGCCCACTCCTGCCTTGTCCCCTTGACCCCCTGCCCACTCCTGCCTTGTCCCCTTGACCCCCTGCCCACTCCTGCCTTGTCCCCTTGACCCGCTGCCCACTCCTGCCTTGTCCCCTTGACCCCCTGCCCACTCCTGCCTTGTCCCCTTGACCCGCTGCCCACTCCTGCCTTGTCCCCTTGACCCCCTGCCCACTCCTGCCTTGTCCCCTTGACCCGCTGCCCACTCCTGCCTTGTCCCCTTGACCCCCTGCCCACTCCTGCCTTGTCCCCTTGACCCCCTGCCCACTCCTGCCTTGTCCCCTTGACCCCCTGCCCACTCCTGCCTTGTCCCCTTGACCCGCTGCCCACTCCTGCCTTGTCCCCTTGACCCCCTGCCCACTCCTGCCTTGTCCCCTTGACCCGCTGCCCACTCCTGCCTTGTCCCCTTGACCCCCTGCCCACTCCTGCCTTGTCCCCTTGACCCCCTGCCCACTCCTGCCTTGTCCCCTTGACCCCCTGCCCACTCCTGCCTTGTCCCCTTGACCCGCTGCCCACTCCTGCCTTGTCCCCTTGACCCCCTGCCCACTCCTGCCTTGTCCCCTTGACCCCCTGCCCACTCCTGCCTTGTCCCCTTGACCCCCTGCCCACTCCTGCCTTGTCCCCTTGACCCGCTGCCCACTCCTGCCTTGTCCCCTTGACCCCCTGCCCACTCCTGCCTTGTCCCCTTGACCCCCTGCCCACTCCTGCCTTGTCCCCTTGACCCCCTGCCCACTCCTGCCTTGTCCCCTTGACCCGCTGCCCACTCCTGCCTTGTCCCCTTGACCCCCTGCCCACTCCTGCCTTGTCCCCTTGACCCGCTGCCCACTCCTGCCTTGTCCCCTTGACCCCCTGCCCACTCCTGCCTTGTCCCCTTGACCCCCTGCCCACTCCTGCCTTGTCCCCTTGACCCCCTGCCCACTCCTGCCTTGTCCCCTTGACCCGCTGCCCACTCCTGCCTTGTCCCCTTGACCCCCTGCCCACTCCTGCCTTGTCCCCTTGACCCCCTGCCCACTCCTGCCTTGTCCCCTTGACCCGCTGCCCACTCCTGCCTTGTCCCCTTGACCCCCTGCCCACTCCTGCCTTGTCCCCTTGACCCCCTGCCCACTCCTGCCTTGTCCCCTTGACCCCCTGCCCACTCCTGCCTTGTCCCCTTGACCCGCTGCCCACTCCTGCCTTGTCCCCTTGACCCCCTGCCCACTCCTGCCTTGTCCCCTTGACCCCCTGCCCACTCCTGCCTTGTCCCCTTGACCCCCTGCCCACTCCTGCCTTGTCCCCTTGACCCCCTGCCCACTCCTGCCTTGTCCCCTTGACCCCCTGCCCACTCCTGCCTTGTCCCCTTGACCCCCTGCCCACTCCTGCCTTGTCCCCTTGACCCCCTGCCCACTCCTGCCTTGTCCCCTTGACCCCCTGCCCACTCCTGCCTTGTCCCCTTGACCCCCTGCCCACTCCTGCCTTGTCCCCTCCCTCCCATGAGCCCAAGCTGTCTGACTTTGGGCTTCCCCGCATGGTGGAAGGCGGGGAAGCGAGCTTCTTCACCCATGGGCTGTCAGGCACGAGGGGCTATCTGGAGTGATGATGCCTGGGTGTACGACCCCCCTGCTCCCTTCGTCCCTTCTTTACCCCATCAGCCCAAGCTGGCTGACTTTGGCCTCTCCCGCATGCTGGAAGGAGGGCAAGCGAGTTTCTTCACACATGGGTTGTCAGGCACGAGGGGCTATCTGGATCCTGAGTTCATTACCACACACCGGGCCTCCACCAAGACAGACGTTTACAGGTCAGCTCCTCCTCTCTGTCCCTGTCTTGTGTGTGGACTGATTGATTGTTGTGCCTCTGGAGGTCACGACAAAGGGCTATCTGGATCCTGAGTTCATCACCACACACCGCACCTCCACCAAGACAGACGTTTACAGGTCAGTGGACCTTGCCTCGTGTTACGGGTCAGTTGGCCCTCATGCCTAGTCCTGTCGAACTACTGCTCTCAGACACGAGGGGCTACCTGGATCCTGAGTTCATCACCACGCACCATTCCTCCACCAAGACAGACGTGTACAGGTCAGCTTTCACTCGTGCCGCACAAATAATAATGTATAGGCTAATTTCTTGTCCCTCTCAAGGTCACGACTAGGGGCTATCTGGACCCTGAGTTTATCACCACACACCACACCTCCACCAAGACAGACGTGTACAGGTCGGCTCACCTCTTGCCACATGATTTTTTATTAGGCCTCTATAATGGTCACGTGTAGTCTCATCGCTTGCCCTCCTTCTAGTCAGGACCTACCTTGATCTTCAGTTTATTATCACCACGCACCATGCCTCCAGGAAGAAAGACGTCCACATGTCAGCTTCCAAAGTCCTCCCGACCTCTCCCTGGTCCAGCTTCGAAGTGGTTCTGCTAGAGCTGCTCACAACCCAGCGTCCCTTGCTCTTCATGTAGCTCGTGAAGCACTGTGCTCCCTTACCCGCTGCGTCCTCTCTCCCCTTTCCGTACCCTCCTTCTCCTCTCCTCTCCCCACCAGCTTCGGTGTGGTTCTCCTAGAGCTGCTCACAGGCCAGCGCCCCTTGCTCTACATCTCACCCCCCGCCCTTGCTGCTGTGCCACAGCCAGCTCACGCTTCTGTAGCGGCATTAGCAGCAGCAGCAGGAGCATCAGAACAAGCAGCAGCAGCAGCAGCAGCAAAGGCACCAGCTGCAGTAGAATCTGCAGCAGTTGAAGCAGCAGTGGAACGAGAAGCAGCAAAAGCAGAACATGACACCACAGAGCAGTGCAGCCAGAAATGCACGACCCAGGGCCCTACAAACCCATGCACTGACGCAGAGCCACCCGGGTTACCATCAGGGGAGGACCATTCAGCAATAGCCGCTGCCCATACCACCCCCACACCTTCATGCAAAACAAGCTCTGCTGCAGTACCTGCCGCTCTCCCCTGCAACAACATCTCTGCAGCAGCAGCGCAGAATATCTCCTGGCCTCAAGAAACATGCCAAGCAGTCTCAGAAACCGTATCTGCTGAGGATCAAATCTCTCGAATCCCAGTGGATGCACATGCAGGAGCAGCTTCCACGAAGCTTCTTGAAGATCCTTCTCTGGGTGCTTCCAGTATCCATTCCTTCGGTGTTACAACTCTTGCTGACTGGGCTCGCCGCATGCTCTCCCATGGCCACCTGGCAGATATTGTCGATCCCCGCATGCCACGTCAGCCGCCCGATTTTCCACCTCAGTTGGCTGAGTTTGCTGACGTGGCAGTGTCGTGCACGGACCCGATTGGTTACCGCAGGCCTGGTATGGGATCTGTGTGCTCGCGACTGGAGGCCATTCTTCACTCCCTTGCTCCCACACCCACCATGCCTCACCATTCCCCATATCAGCTCACTTCATTATCAGCCACAGCACCGTCTTCTGACGGTGCTGCATCTACAGTAGCAGCATCTTCTGGTGAGGAATGTTCACGTATTGGGGCCTACAACACAGGTATTCAGATTCATCAGGGCAGCGGTAGCAGCGGAAGCAGTGCCAGTGGCGGTGGTGCTTACCGGCATGTGAGTTCCAGAGCACATGTCAACTTCCAGGATCTTGGTGTGAATTATGGGATGGGAGGTGGTATGGGCTGCAGCTCTATGCACAGCAGCAGCCAGGGCAGCAGCAGCTGTGGAAGCAGTATTGGAAGCACAGCACCATTGAACCTATAAGAGTGATTAATTATCATGGTCTTGGGTGGGAGTCATATCAAAATATTAGTGGAGATTGCCTCTGCACTCCATCAATGCTCTGTACTTGTGTCTTTTCATTACACAGAGTTGGACGGACTGCTTGTATGGTCACTTTGTAACCATTTCTATTTCAGCAGAAGTTTCCACAAATCTTGCTTTGAACCAGTTAGTCAGGTTGACTACATTGAAGATAGATTAGACTTGGTAATTTTTAACAGGAAAAAACAGATGTAACAAGGTGCCAGCATGTACGATAAACAATGGGAGGAAACGAAAAATGGGGGAAAATGCAAAACTCCCCTTTTAACGAGGAGACTATGAGGTGTACCGCATGGTACCCTTCTCGAATCCAATCGTGGGGAACTGCTTGGCGAACTCCTCTACGTTATGCTTCAACCCTGCAATCGCCGCCTTGATCTTGTCATTTGTGTCCACAGTGGTGCGGAAATCCTTCAGCTTAGGTCCTGTGAATAGCAAAGATTCCATGAGGTAGTATCAGCGAGTGTATCAGGAACTTGATCGAAAAAACAGAGAGCAAATGTGGCCGAATCATGCTCCATGGAATGTGGTGCTGTCTCTGCACAAACCCCAGTCACAGCATGGGGTGCCGTGGCATGGCATGACACGGCATGACACGTGTGGCATGGCATGGCATGGCATGGCATGGAATGTACCTGAGAGAGCCTTGGCCTCGACAGCTATCTTGACAGCCTGGTCGAAGAAATCAGCCACCTTCTCAAAATCCTCCTCTGTGAAGCCTCGTGAGGTGAGGGCAGGTGTGCCTGTAAGGGAGAGAAGAGCACCGAATGGCATGGACGAGAGATAGTTAGCATCATTAACTTGGAAGGTGGAGCAAAGAAATGGGTTGGGCCAGGCCAGGGGCCTCCAATGCAGGAGTTGTGCATCACTTACCCATTCGCACGCCACCAGGCACCATGGCAGAGACATCGCCCGGAACGGTGTTCTTATTGGCTGCGATGTGAGCCAGCTCCATCACCCTCTCTACTCGCGACCCGTCCACTCCCTGATGGACACATGGCATAAGGGGAGAAATTAATGAAGCTAGCTTCAATGAACCAGAACTGGATAGTGCGAATGCGGGGATTGAGATTCGATAGTGTGGCAAGTGGTTGAACAGGATTAGAGGAATACGAGAAAATACAAGCATTAACATTAGGTTGCAGATTATCGGTGGACGCTGGTTTCCTTGAACAGGCTTCTTTCTTTCAGATCCTAGCTTGGTTGAAACGTCTTGACATACCTTGCTCTTAAGGTTCACAAGGACCAAGTGGTTATCTGTGCCGCCTGACACCAGGTCGTACCCGCGTTCTTGCAGGGCCTGATGGGGCACAACACAAGAGAGAGGGGTGAAAACGAGAATCAGCACCAGGACACCTGCTGATGAGTGTGCACGTCAGGGCGTGTCGCGAGTTTTGAGGCGCCTGAAGAAGCAACTAAATCCACGCGGCTGCTGACAAGGGTGTGCGTGTGTGGATGCGAGGGGCTGTGAGGGTGTGCGAGGGTGGTAGTGCAATGGGAGTGAGCGACAGGGGGGGGGGGGGGGGTGGAAGTGCGGGTACGGGGGTTGGGTTGGACAAGGTGCGGACGAATCAGATGGTCGTGCCAATGTACAACGTACAACCACTAAGCGCTGCCAACCAGGAATTACAAGGTGCGGAGATAGGGAGACGGCGGACGGGCGTACCTTGGCAAAGCGAGCACTGTTGGCCATGACCTGCTGCTGGTACCGCTTGAACTCCTCTGAGGCTGCCTGTTGCCATGTGAGGGGGGGGGGGGGGGAGGGAGGAAGAGTAGCATAATTAGAATCGAGCTTTAAGTTGCCTCAATTGAGCGCTGTTAGCCATGACTTGCTGCTGGTACCGCTTAAACTCATCTGAGGCTGCCTATTGCCATGTGAGGGGCGTGGGAGAGGGAGGAAACATAGCATCATCAGTTCCACTGTTGATCCTTCTGTAGCCCAGTGTCACACATGTGTTGGCTTGCACCTTCGCCAGTAGTTGTAAGGGGTATGTGAAAGTATGCTACATGGTTGGGGGCTGTGGCGAGGCCAGTGATGGTACAGTTGTGCTCTGTGGTTGGGTGACTGCGCTGCTGGCTGACTGCTACCAGCAACAACGAACCTGCTTGAGGGCGACAGCAAGACCAGTGATAGTGCAGTTGTGCTATGTGGTTGGGTGATAGCGCTGCCTTGCGATCGCTACCAGCAAAAACGCACCTGCTTGAGCGCGGGGCAGCAAGGCCGGTGATGGTGTGGTTGCAGGGCGATAAGGGCGGACAGGTGGACTGACACTGCATTGCAGGTGTAATGCCTTGCATTCACTACCAACAAGAACGCACCTGCTCGAGCGCGACATCGAGGCCGGTGATGGTGTGGTTGTGGGGGCATGCTGTCGTGGGGCCAAGCAGTCAGTAAGCAAGCGAGTGGTTGCACTGCACTGCTTGCATTCACTACCAGCAAGAGCGCACCTGCTTGAGCGCAACAGCGAGGCCGGTGATGGTGTGGTTGTGGGGGCCGCCCTGGTGGCCTGGGAACACAGCGAAATTGATCTTGTCCTCAAAGTCGTACATGATCTGCGAGGGAGAGAGTGACACAAATGAGAGTGGTGCAAGAAAAGAGGCCGAAATGGATAAGTCCAGCACACACCACCACCGCAGAGGACTAGGAACGACACAGACCTGATAGTGTTCTAAATTGTAAAGAATGGAAATGGAGGGTAGGCACTAACAGACTGGGTGTGAAGGAATCAGAGGACACTGGGGGAAGTGAATGAGAAGCAGGTGCTCTTGTGTCTGTAAGCAGAATCAAGAGTCATGAATTTCGTCAGCCCGGTTGTAAAACAAGGCGACTCTCAGTTAGTCGACCATTGTTTCATAACACCCGTTTTTGTTTTGAGTGAATTTCAAGATTTTCTTACGCATTCCTCTGCTCCCCCATCACGATCTCTCTTCTCGCCTTATCCTGCCAAGATGCCAACACCCCCATCCCCCCCCCCCACCAGCGTCATCTCTGCCATGCGCAACATTAATACTCGCTATAAGCTCACCTCCTTGCCATTCTTGTCGGTCTCCTTGACTCCCTTGCGGTAGAAGATCATGGCGCCACGTGGCCCTCGGAGGGACTTGTGAGTGGTGGTCGTGACCACGTCAGCATAGTCGAAGGGCGATGGGACCACTCCTGCCGCCACGAGGCCACTGATGTGTGCCATGTCAGCAAGGAGAATCGCGCGCTGCTGGTCGGCGACCTGGAAAAGCAGAATCCGGGAAATTGGGAAGTGAGAGGAAGATCAGCGAGGTCAGCACGAAGGGTATTGATAAAATTTCTACTCCGCGACAATAGCTAATCACCTGTTTTCTCACGCACGATTGCCTCCTTCGTTGAAACTTTGATTTTCATATCCTTATCTTCACGGCCCTCGCTCTAATCTTGCGCATGCGCGGATAGTCGTAGTGGCACGAGTACGCGCTGGCGCCTCTAGAGTCGACTCAAAGTCTTCACACTCACCTTGCGCGAGTAAAAGCTATATATCTTAGTCGACCCACTCTCACTCACCTTGCGCATGCGCGGGTAGTCGTAGTGGCGCGAGTACGCGCTGGCGCCCGCCACAATAAGCTTCGGGCGGAACAGCTTCGCGGTCTTCTCCATCTGCAGGGGCGGGGGCAGTCACGAGGCCGAGGAGACGAATCCGAGGCCACAGAGGAAACGGAAGATGAGCTACAATGGAAACCAGACATGGGAGGAACGGAATCGCCTGAACAATTAAATGCGAATGAGTCGAAGCGGCGGGCGAGTGGACGAGGGGCTGCTCTCACAGGAGAAAACGAGCAGCGAGCTCGCGCGGTCGCACTGCAGGACGAAGGCGAGCCTTGCCGCTAATCGCCTACTCTTCAAACGCCTAGCAAACGGGCAGCGCTTACCGTGTCGTAGTCAATGAGGCCGGTGGTCTCGTCGAGGCGGTAGGGCATGGTTTCGAAGTAGATGGAGACGGCGGAGATCTTCTTGGTGTCCGTCTGGTAGCCGTGCGACAGGTGGCCGCCGTGCGGCAGGTCCAGCGCCATGATGCGCTCGTGCGGCTTCAGCAGCGCCGTGTACACCTGGAAGTTGGCGGGCGACCCGGACAGCGACTGCACGTTCACTGGTGGACGCAGAAGAAGAAGAAAGGGAAGAGAAGCACTTTTGAGTGAGCGAGCAATCGAAAGAGACGGCAGGAACGTAGAGGAACTGCCCTGTCAAGGACACGTCAACAACGCCATGCAAGATTGAACGGAATTCGCCTACGTTGAATCAAAGCTTACCTCCCCACTTGGCTGGGTCCAGCCGGAATGCCTCCAGAGCGCGCTTCTGGCAGAGAGTCTCAGCCATGTCGATGAACCTGCGACAGGAACGGAGAAACAGACGAGGAAAACAGGGAAGGGGGAAGATGAGGCAATGCGGTATAGCATGGGAGGCAAGAAGCGCTGGAATTTCGGTACCGCATGGGCGTGGTTGATGAGATTAAAGGAATGGGTTGACTCAACGGTATACTAAAAGGTTCACGTCGGGGGTGAAGTGGAGACTCACTCGTTGCCGCCATAGTATCGAGCGCCGGGATAGCCTTCGCTGTACTTGTTGGTCATGACGGACCCCACAGCCTCCATCACCGACTGCGACGTGAAGTTCTCCGACGGAATCAGCTCCAGGCCCTGACCGACGAACAAAAATCAAGCAGCATGCCGTGAGAACAAAAATATTGTGCTCTCTTCCTCTCTGTTGAGCGCACTGAACGACTTCCGTCGCGGATTGAAGGGTGGTTCAGAAATTATTGGGGTGTGTGGGTCTGGACGTGCGAGGGACGACGAACCTTCCATTGGCGGTTCTTTTCGTGCTCAATGATGTCGTAGATTTCGGGGTCAACGTCTTGAAGAGGCTTGTTGAGCACGGCGGGCCACTGCGACAGGCGAAGATAGTTAACATCGAGAGAAAAAGAACATCGGTGCCACGTACAACATATACAGGGAAAAGAGACGTTCACTCAAATTCAGAACACTTTTGACCGATGAATTAGTATAAATTCGTGAGGATTCAAGATAACAAACAAGTAGCCGATTGTTTATGGACTGTTGCTCTCAAGCAATTAAGACCATGATGATAGAATGGTACTTACAGAGACGTCTGTGCGGCCCTTGGACTTCTCAATCCAGGCATAGGCTTCGTCATTGGTAGCCTGGAGCATGGAGATAACGGTAACAATAAGTCGCGGTTCGTTAAAACGGTCACAAGCCCTGAGAGCGACTGGCATGAGATTCATTTGCTCACAAAACGATTGGACAGGTGGCGACAGTTCGCTCACCGCATAGCCGCGGCGAGCAATGGCAGTCCAGGGACTGGCGACGGGGTGCACGGCGTTAGTCTGGCAGGCCCTCCTGATGTGACGGCCTAAGTGCCTGACAACCTGCTGAGCCATTTCTGCCGAACACGCAGCTCACTAGATAGAGACGGGGGTTAGGTAATCTAGTTCGAGCTGACGGCACTCGTGCAGCGCAGACTAATCGACGCTACTTGTACGTAAGAAGAACGATACTCCTTACGTAAGACTGGTTTCTCCTAAACTTGGAGGCAAGTCCAATGTTTAGGCGAATGGCTGACTACCTGATAAAATAGCAATCTCAAAAACGAATTCCTGGTTATGAACTGAGCCAAATGAATGTCGATGCCAGCCAAACTGGAGGGCCCAGCAGACCAGACCAGAATCCAGATTCCAGGGACGAATTTGACTGCCTGAAGATGATCTCAAGAGAGCAGAACCAGTTTGGCGGGCAACTTTTGTGCTGGGACCAGCTGACGAGGCCAAGATCAGCAAATGTGGCTGTGGACTGATGACGTGGGTACAGCTTGACTTGGCGACACGAGAAGCTGGCCCGCGTCGTGAATCAGTGACGCAGAATCAGCGTGGTTCATGCCATGTCATCGGTTCAGACACAAGAGTGCCGGGCAAAAGCGTGAAACTCCGAATGGTGCTCCCTTTTCGGGAACGAAGCAGAGGCCAACTGAATTCCTCAATATGAGCAGCTCCGCATACAATTCAAACAACTAAGGCCTATTGTAGCCATAAACACAAGCTGACTACCTAAGCTACCAAACTATCAACATATTCTCACTGCCAGCCAACTCAGCTCGTATGTGGCATACCATGTGAACCACCGTCCACCCCTCTTCCTCCTTCATAACCACCCACAGCCGGACTAGAAGCTCTCACTGCCCTCTCTGAACCAACGCCTTCCCCAACCATACCATGATTTCCTCCCCTTGGTACAAGTGGATGTGCATGGGGATGTGCATGGGGATGCGCATGTGGACGTGCATGGGGATGAGAAGCAACATGGGGCATTGGAGGAGGATAATGCGGATGCCAATGCTCGTGGTAATACCCATACGCGGGAGGCATGGGTGGGGGAAAGTGATGATGTGCGTGATGGGGATATGCGTTAGGATGCATGGGAGGGGAACCGGGGGCAACATGCATCATACCACTAGCGCCAAAACCACCAGCACCAGCAGCGGCACCACCAGCAGGACCAGCAGCAGCACCACCAGCACCAGCGCCACCGGCACCAGAAACACCAGCACCACCAGCACCAGCAGCAGCACCGGCACCACTAGCAACACCACCAGCAGCAGCCGCTGCTGCCACTGCTGCCGCAGCAGCAGCAGAAGAATCATAAGGCAGATGAGACGGCGGCTGCAAGGGTGTACCACCATGGGGTATCATGTGTGGGTAATGCGGATGGAAAGGGTATTGCGGGGAAACCATATGGGGCGGCGGGTATGGCGGGTAGTAACCGTAAGGGGGCATGTAGGGGTATGGTGGGTAGGCTGATGGGTGGGATTGGAGGGGAGCGGTGGGCGGATAACCTGGGGAAGTACCTGGCCAATAGGAAACGCCCAATGCAGCAGCGGGAGTGCTGTTAGTGGGAGGTGACGTGGCAGGGCCTGATTGGATACGAGCTGCTCCTGAAATTGAGGGGGAGCCTGCAGGCGTCACAGCAGGTGCAGTGGTGGCAGGAGCAGTAGCAGATGCAACAGTACCAGCAACACCAGCAGTGGCGGCAGGATTGGTTGCAGCAGAAGCACCAGCAGGAGCAGCAGGAGAAGCTGAGGCAGTGGGAGCAGAAGGAGGGTAACCCACGGTAACCGAGGGTAGTGGAGGGCCGTATGGCATGAGGGGACTCCCAGGAGGGAGATAGGGCGGATAAGGCAGGCTGTGAGGGCTTGCTGGGGGGAGTGCCCTGAGTGCAGAGACAGAAGCATGGGGGTTGGGATCTGAGGGCTTTTGAGCAGAGAGTTTGGGAGCAGGGGCTCTTGTGGTAGTCGCAGCAGTAACTGCAGCAGCGGCGGGAGCAGCTGGAGCAGTGGGCGCAGCGGGAGCAGTGAGAGCAGTGGGCGCAGCGGGAGCAGTGAGAGCAGTGGGCGCAGCGGGAGCAGTGAGAGCAGTGGGCGCAGCGGGAGCAGTGAGAGCAGTGGGCGCAGCGGGAGCAGTGAGAGCAGTGGGCGCAGCGGGAGCAGTGAGAGCAGTGGGCGCAGCGGGAGCAGTGAGAGCAGTGGGCGCAGCGGGAGCAGTGGCAGCAGTGGGCACAGCGGGAGCAGGAGCAGGGACCTCAGCAGGGACAGGAGCAATTGTGGAAGCATGAGGGGCGGCAGGCGGAGCAGCAGGGGAAGGGGCAGCACTACCAGCAGCGGCAGAGAGTGCAGACTTTGGAGCGGCAGCAGCGGCACCAGTAGCAGCAGCAGCACCAGTGGCAGCAGCAGCACCAGTGGCAGCAGGAACCGCAGCAGCAGCAGCAGCAGGAACAACAGCAGCAGCAGCAAAAGCAGCAGCCCTAGTAGCAGTAGCAGCAGCAGCAGGCGTTTCAATGGGAGCACGGACAGAGGCAACACTGTTCACCCTTCCAAAGGCAAGGCTAGAAGGCGCAGGTTGAGGTGGTAACCGTGTTACAGGCACTGATGGGGGCTGTGAAACTCCTGCTGTGGAGTGAGGCTGACCCCCTGCCGCCTTTTGACTTGCCACACGTGCAGCTGCTGCTACTGAAGCCCCTGCTGCTGCCCCTGTTGTTGATGCTGCTGGTGCAACCCCTGCTGCTGTAGCAGCTGTAGTTCGGGACTCTACTCCAGCAGTCATACCTCCAGCTGAGGTTGTTCCTCCCCTCCTTTCGCTGCCCTCCTTTGGTAAAACGGCACTCGCTGCTGCACTCGCTGCTGCACTCGCTGCTGCACTTGCTGCTGCAACTGCTGCTCCACCTGCTACCGCACCTGTTGTTGCTCCAATGTTACGTGCAACGTCTGTAGCTCTTGTCATGGCACCAGCAGCATCTGTAGCAGCCACAGGAGGAGGTGACACTTTGACTGAAGTGGCATTGCGAGTGGTTGCAGCAGCAGCAGCACCTGTGGCAGCAGCTGTAGCAGTAGCTGTAGCAGCACCTGTAGAAGCACCTGCAGCAGCACCTGTAGCAGTAGCTGTAGCAGCAGCAGTAGCAGCAGCTGTAGCGGCACCTGTAACAGTTGCTGTAGCAGCGGCAGCTGTAGCAACACCCGCAGGCAAAGCTGAAGCTGTAGGAGCAGGGGACGCCAGAGAAGGAGGAGGAGCAGCAGCAGTAGTGGCGAGAACTGAGGAGCAAGCATCATTTGTAGGGGGGACTGCAGCAGAGGATGGCGCAACTAAACCAGGGTTTTCTAGAGGATCGGATCCACGTCCCTGGGCAGGCTCGGAGCCCAGACCAGGCTCGGAGCAAGGTCTGGTAGCACTACCACCAGCAGAAGCAGCAATGGTACGAGCAGGAGGAGGAGCAGAGGGAGAGGCAGAAGCAGAAGCAGGGGCAGGTGCAGGAGCAGGAGTAGCAGAAGCAGCAGGAGTAGAAGCAGCAGGAGGAACAGCAGGGGCAGCAGCAGGAATAGAAGCAGCAAGAAGAACAGCAGGAGAAGCAGGAGCAGCAGGAGCAGCAGGAGCAGCAGGAGCAGCAGGAGCAGCAGGAGCAGCAGGAACAGCAGGAGCAGGAGGAGCGGGAGCAGCAGGAATAGCAGGAGCAGGAGGAGGAGCGGGAGCAGCAGGGGGAATTGCAGGAGCGGCAGGAAGAACAGGAGCATCAGGAATAGCAGGAGGAGCATCTGGTGGTAACCAGAAGCCAGCCGCGGCTGCATCTGAGCCGTCGATGAACCCCCCTGGATGCCAGAAGTAGTCTGCAAAGCCCTCCCCCTCAAAACTCTCCTCAGGACCAGCTGACCTGTCCACTGTGCCTGATTGCGCATGCTTTTGAGTCAACTCAAAAAGAGGACCCGCTGACCTGTCGACTGTGGGGGAATGAGTGTGGCATAGAGATAGGTCCTGTGTGGGTGAGTGATGGGACCGAGGAGGGGGAGAAGGGTGGTGGTGATGAGAAGGGGGAGGAGGAGACGGGTCGTGATGATGAGGAGGGGGAGGGGGAGAAGGGTGGTGATAAGAAGGGAGGGGAGGAGGAGGAGGAGGAGAAGGATGCTGCTGTTGCTGCTGTTGGTGTTGGTTGTGACGACGCTGCTGATAAGCAGAGGGACCAGTATGGGTATCAGAAGGAGCAGCAGCGTCAGCAGAGGCTGTAGACAAGCGTGAAAGCCTGCCTTGACCGTAAACCTGTCTCTCATGCACTTTCCCAGAGAAAGTTCCATGAATGTCAGCGGCATTAGCATTATGCCCATGGATGTCAGCGGCATTATGCCCTTGCATGTGAGTGGCATGATGGACAGGCATGTGAGTGCTGTGATGCCAAGGCATGTCAGGACAAAACAGGCTGTCCACTTCCGAACCACCGCCTGCAAACGTCTCATCGTAAGACATTTCTGTGCTGCCCGAAAATTGCGGGCGGCCCGACGAGACAAAACCTCCTGGTGCTGTCATATTCCTTCTAGAACCCGGCCCTGGGGCAGCAACACCACCAGCAGCACCACCACTAGCAGGAGCAGCAGCACCAGCAATACCAGCAGCAGTAGCAGCAGCAGCAAAAGCAGCACCAGCAATACCAGCAGCAGTAGCAGCAGCAAAAGCAGCAGCAGCAGCAGCAGCAGCAGCACCCCCAGCACCACCATCGGCAGCAGCACCAACAGGAGCAGCGAATTGAACTCGAAAAGGCTTTTCTTGAAAAGACCCTTTCTTGGAATGCTGCATGGAATCATCTTGATGTTGAATGGCATGACTTTGATTTTGCATGGAATATTCGATTCTCGCATCACCCATTTGAACGCCCATGCTCATGCCAAAGCCAATGCTCGGATCCATACTTGCATCCATACCCATGCCCATGCCCATGCCCATGCCCATACCCATACCCATGCCCGTACCCATGCCCATATCCATACTCCTCCCCGATCCCATCCCAGTCCCCTTTTCAAATCCCATGTTCATGCCACTCCCATACAAAGCAGCGGCACCAGCAGGAGGAGCCGAGCTGGGGCCTGTGCTTTCATCTCTCTTTTGAGCCGAGCTTGGGTCTGTGCTTTCATCTCTCTCCCTCTTCAAACCCACTTCTCCCCCTTTGCTCCTGCCAGACGCCGTCTCCTGCCCCTCCCCACCTCCTGCCCCACCTCCTGCTGCTACTGCTGCTGCTGCTGCTGCTGCTGCCCCTGCTGGTGCTGCTGCCCCTGCTGGTGCTGCTGCCCCTGCTGGTACTGCTGCTGCTGCTGCCCCTGCTGCACCTCCTGCTCCTCCTGCTCCTGGCTTAGACGCTGCTGCTTCTCCCACTACTCCTGCTGCCCCTGTTCCCCCTGCTACAGCCTGCCCGACATCCCCCACTGCTCTCCCTTCCCCTGTTCCACCACGCACAATAGATGTAGCAGCACCATCCGTAGCACCAACAGGAACAGCAGCTGTAGCCGCAGCTACTGTAGAGCGAACAGCAGCTGTAGCAGCAGAATCAACAGGAACAGCAGCTGTAGCCGCAGCTACTGAGCAGAAAACGGGACTGCGCCTGCTGCTGCTACTGCTATGGGTCAAATGGTGGGGGGCAGAAGGGTAAGGGGTACCCCCAAACCCTGCTGCAGACCCGTTATAAGCCACACCAGACCGTGACGCAGCCGTATTTTGAAAACCCTCAACAGCTGCTCCTGCAATCCCTCCTCCTCCCATCCCTCCTCCCATCCATCCGCCTTCCCCTTGTATCCAATCCATACCATCAAAATCATATCCAGAATCGATTTCTGTCAACCACTTCTGCCCCCCATCCTCTGCTGAATCATTATTTAGACCTCTTACAGACACCCCTTCTGCCCTTCCCTTCCCACCTCCTCCTCCTCCGCTCCCCTCTCTCACTCTATTTAACTCCCCTTCTCCTCTCACCCCCTCCGCGCTTCCACCGCTCTGCACCTCTCCATTCTCCTCCCTCACCTCTCTCCTCCCCTCCTCTCTCCCCTCGTCCTCCTCTTCCTCTAACATCCTCCGTTGGGTCTGAATCGTCCTAACCATCTCCGTTATAATCACACTCAGTGTAAGCACTCCCACCTGGTTCTTCCCTTCCCCTAGCCCCGCCCCATCCCCCCCTCCTGCTCCATCGCCCATGCCTCTCCTCCTACCCCCCTTCCCCTTCTTCCTCCGCTTCCTCCCCCCTTTTCCACCCTTCTCCCCGCCCCCCCTTCCCCCACTCGCGCCCCCTTCCACTATCACGGGGTCCAGGTACCCCCGGTGACGTGGCGGGAAGGGCTGCTGAGCTGGCGGAATGAGGTGGCGGTGGTGGGCGCAGAGGACGGGGGAGAAGGCGGAAAAGGCGGGGCGTCCGCAGGGCAGGTGCGCCCCGCTATTGGAGCCCCTGGGGGAACAGCAGAGGGGGGGGAGAGAGGAGGGGGGGGGGGAGAATGGGGGGGGGGAGAGAGGAGGGGGGGGGGGAGAATGGGGGGGGGGGAGAGAGGAGGGGGGGATGTGGGATGGTGTAATCAGGTGTGGACGGGGGAAAGGAAGGCGGGGCGCCCGCAGGGCAGGTGCGCCCCGCTATTGGAGCCCCTGGGGAAACGGCAGAGGGCGGAGGGGCATGGGGGGAAAGGTGAGGGGAAGAGCGGGATGGGATCATTAAAAGGGGTGGGGAATGGTTGGGATGGTGTAAGCAGGTGTGGCTGGAAAAGCACCAATAAGCTGTGATTCAAACAGAAGACGGCGAGGGCATGGGTGTTGGAGGGGGAGAAGGGGGAGCGGGAGAAAGGGGAGGGGGAGAAAGGGCAGGGGAAGAAAGGGGAATGCGGGATTGTACCAGCAAACGATGTAGGTGCAGGGCTTGTACAGCCTCTGGCGCGGCTCTAAAAGAATGTGATTCAAACAGAAGACAGACAATGCCAGGGGCTTCGCCAGGCACGGCCCAGGCGCCGCGCAGTGCAACGTGGCATTCGCTGGTTTGTCAGGCGCGTGCGGCTCCGGCCTTGCTGCTCCCCCCGCACCCGCTGCCCCGTTTCCCCCTGCTGCTCCGCCTTCCCCCTCAGCTCCGCGGTCCCCCCCTGCTCCGCCACTCTCTAGCCCGTTTCCTCCAGCTGCTGCCCTGAGACTAGTATCTCTCGAAAAAGGGGGGGCAAGGGGGGGCGGCGGAGGCGGAAGAGGCGCGTGGGGGCGCGAAGCAGGCGGAAAGGGGAAGTCGCTGCCTTCTCCCGCTCCGCCTGTTCCGCCAGTGGCGGAAGGATGCGCGGGCTCTTTCCATCCGCTCTCCCCTGTGCGCATGCAGAATCGGCGGTACTTGGCGCGCAGCTCCTCCAGCAGCGCCCAGTACTGCCCGCGGTACACCGCCATGAGCCTGTAGCGAAGCGGCGTATAGCGAAACAGGACGGATTAGGATTACAATTTACCGCAGTCAACGTGGACCCCAAGGCTGTTGCATTCAGTTTCAAGCGAATTCAGCCTCAGAACCAAATATAGGGTTTGATGCTACATGGAAGTCCTCAGAAGCTCAAAGCACGTAACTCTCGCCACGACGCCAGCATTCATCAACAATGACGAGGTGTGCCCCGTGAGTGAAGAGCAATTGAGTAATTAGGGTCACGCGGGGAAGTAAGGAACTGACTTTCGGAGGCGGTTTAGCCGGCGCTGAACCACCTCCTCCGCCGCAACTACCGGCAGATTGCGCAAGCATTCCTCGAGATCCATCGGCTCCATATCCAGCGATCCGTCCTCTCCCTCTTCGTCAGAATGGCCTCCTGCATCCCCCTCCGCTTCCTCGCCGGGACCGCCTTTTTCAGCGGCTCTTAAAGTCATACCGCGATGAGCTGGTGCCGCGGCAAACGAAGGTTCCGGTTTCATCGTTGTTTTAGTGTCCATTTAACGGTTCAACCTGAATATTTCGGAATGGCTGAGTTTACTTGACCTATGATTAGCAAACCTCGGGTGCGCCAGATAATCGTGGCATACGCGCTTTAGGCGCAAATCCCTCAGGATTGAAGTCCCATCTTCTATTGTACAGAACTAAAGTTTACATTATGTTAGAACGCATTTCGGACTTCCTAACAAGTGACTTCCTAACAAGTTGGATAGTCGCCCAGCCAATGATGTTGGAGGCAGCAGCTCAGTGATTGGGGATTCACAGTCGCAAAACCGTCGCTTGTTAGGAAGTTGGTTGTTTGGAAGTGCCCGAAATGCGACCTTATTGTAATGAAAATAGTTGTTGGCGGCGCCAACTGCTATCCTGACACCACGATCTGTCAGGCCAGGGCCTTTTTTTCCAGGTTCTGCTGGACTTCAGTCAATTGTTTTGCTGTATGTACAGTGGCCGCGATACAGAAAAACCATCAGGCTAGCAATACTTGTCGAGTTAGAATCCTTGAAACTTTTCATTCAACTGCTTGTTTGTCAATATGTGTTCCGGGAAACAAACAGAAAAGAATGCAAAGAAATGCATGGTGTATGAAAAAAAAAAAAGCGTGGGGGTTTCACTCATTTGACCGACGTGGACTGTATATTCCAGCCTTGGTAATCTCGGGCCCTGTTTGGTGGCCTTCCAGTCACACTGGGCCCACTCGAACTGGGGAAGCCTACGACATGTTTCGTAGCCTCGGGCGTCCACGCACACTGAAAGGAAGTCTCGTCCACAAATGCAAGAAGTTACCGTGTGTTTCTCGAGAAATTACTGGTCGAAACTTTTACTTCTGTACGAGGCTGCCCAACTCACAAACAAAAAACAGCCCGCCAAATGAAACACCCTCGATATGGATAGAAGAAAATCACGAACGGGCACGATCTCTCATCATTTGAACGAGCGAGCTGACAAACATAATTTGACCCGATTCGAGACTAATGCAGCGTTTACCCTACAGCGTGCCACTCAGAGCGGGCCTGCCTGAGTGGAACTGGAAAGCAGAAATGGGGTTGACTTTCACTGGCGGTCGAGCTTGCCTGAGCAAGCATTTTCGTGGTAGCGTCCTCAACTTTACTCGGGCTGGGGTTTTCACGCGTTCGGTAGCCAATTTGCACTGGGCAGGTATGGTGTTCTAATAACGGTTCGGTGGGCTTTAAGTTGAGTCGAAATTGGGCCGAGGAAGAGCACCTGCACCAACCGCAGTGTGACTGTGGGGGCTACCGAACAGGGCCTCGGATTTGCAGTGACGCAGTTGCGTGAACGAATTTTTAGGGTTGCGAAGTATTTCCGGAACGCGTCTAGCCCAGGTTCAATCAACAAGAGCTTTCGTGATTGGTGCGATTGCTGAGATAACGACGTGAGGGTACATTATCAGGAATCAGGATCTACGGAGGTGCGGCGAAAGAATCCAATCAGGTCACTCAAATGTTATTTCTGTTTGGAATCTCTAGAATCCTCATCCCAAATCGAAAGAAAGGGTGGGGGGAGTTAAAACTTGGAGATTATGGCGTGTGCAAAGTGCGCAAAAACTCGACGTCGAGCAACATCGGTGAATTTCCACCCTCGGATCAAAGGTTCCAACCGTCAGGATTCACCGACGTTCCTCGACGTCGAGTTTGTGCAGCACTTTGTACACGCCTTTAATGAGAGAACGGGCTCTTGATGCTCCCTTCTACACTTCAAATCTGCGATTCTGTTCAGTCTAAGCGGACTTTGAAAGAGAAAGTCCTCGGCCCTGCTCGGTAGCCCCCACAGTCACACTGCGGTTGGTGCAGGTGCTCTTCCTCGGCCCAATTTCGATCACCTTAAAGCCCACCGAACCGTTATTAGAACACCATACCTGCCCAGTGCAAATTGGCTACCGAACGCGTGAAAAATCCAGCCCGAGTGCAGTTAAGGACGCTACCACGAAAATGCTTGCTCAGGCAGCTCGACCGCCAGTGAAAGTCAACCCCGTTTCTGCTTTCCAGTTCCACTCAGGCAGGCCCGCTCTGAGTGGCGGACTGTAGGGTAAACGCTGCATTAGTTTCGAATCGGGTAACATTATGTTTTTTCAGCTCGCTCGTTCAAAAGATGAGAGATCGTGCCCGTTCGTGATTTTCTTTTATCCATATCGAGGGTGTTTCATTTGGCGGGCTGTTTTTTGCTTGTGAGCTGGGCAGCCTCGTACAGAAGTAAAAGTTTCGACCAGTAATTTCTCGAGAAACACACGGTAACTTCTTGCATTTGTGGACGAGACTTCCTTTCAGTGTGAGTGGATGCCCGAGGCTACGAAACATGTCGTAGGCTTCCCCAGTTCGAGTGGGCCCAGTGTGACTGGAAGGCTACCAAACAGGGCCGTTTTACAGCTGGTGTTATGGGGATCCCTACCGAACAGATTTCCTTGCTTGTGCACCTCACCCTTCCCGACAGCATTGGTCCTTGTGGCTTTGAGGAGCGCTGATGCCGATACAGCCAAAAATTCTTTGATTTCTTGCCAAGCGGTAGGCCCAGTTGCACAGTGCATTCATTTCGAATCGCCAGCACGGACGATCAGCGCCAAGAAGGAAGATTTCTACCTGACCGTCCGAAATTATTTCAAGTGCCACCAAAGTTGCCCTGCCATGCTGCTCCAAGGTTCTGGCGCCGCTCACCAATAAAATCGCAGCATCGCCAACGCAGCCGCCAGCGTCGTGCCCACCACACCGCCTCGCCTGCCATCAGCCTCTCACGGGGAGAAAATCTATGGCTTGTGGCAACTCCAAGGACCCCCTTTGTGGCTTCAAGAAGCCGCACCAATCCTTTTTCCTGCCACGTGTTTTCCACATCGTGATTCTCAGCCGTCGATCTGCACGTGGGTTTAGTGATTCTGCGGTGGTTTTGGGCTCTGCTCCCAATAGGATTCAGTCCTCTCTTGAAGCTGGCGAGAGAGCAAACCCTCGCCAATCGTCAGTGCCGCGCCTGTTTGCTCGCTTCTGTTCCCAGATTTTCCCGCCTTGCTTTTTGCAGAAAGCAATTTCTTCACCTCCGATTCCTCATTCCCTCATTTCCTCATTCCCCCAAACCAATTCCACATTCCTCACCCGTGTCACAGCTTTCTCCACTTTCCCTTGTCAGGCGAAAAGCAATTCCTTGTTCCAGGAGCTCAGTAGTTGTGTAATGTCTCTAGCTTCTCTCCTATCCACTCAAACTCCTCCGTGTTTTACAATCCACTCTTAGGCATTCAAGTATCTCGGCAATCAACGGGAAGATGAGTTCCATGATGTTGCGGAATCCGGTGAAGATGCGAGGTGTGGAGGTTTACAAGGATGGCTGGCTTGCTCGCATTCAGATTCGCGGTACTCGCTGCCGCTTCGGCATGTTCGCGAACCAGCAAGAGGCGGCACGAGTGTACGATAGGTGCGTGACGGCTCCTGGCACTACCGCGGGCTGTATCTCATCTGAGTCTCATTAGCCACTTATGTTCATAACATTCTGCTGAAGGCCTTTCCTTCGCACCTTTGCTGGGTTTTCTTGACTAGCGATGACTGTAGTCTCTGAATGATTGAGTGTTGACTCTGCATTGTCGTAGTTACCAGATTAGCGTCCATGTTCACATTATCGTTTCGACTCTTCAATGTTTAACACGTTCCTTCCACTCTTCCTCTTTTCTCTTCTCCTCCTTCCCGCTTCACTCACTCAGGCTGTCGTACAAGCTTCACGGAGCGAGAGCCGTCACGAACAACTCGATTGACGAGGACACGAAAGCCGAGATCGAATCCTCCTCTCTCGAATCAATGCTAGCCGTGGTCCCCGCCATAGATCCGCATCCACTCTACGAATCCGCGTGGCAGGCAGAGGGTGGCGAAGAGGAGGAGGAGGCGGCGGAGCAATCCATGAGCTACGACAGCGATACTACCGCTCCCTCACCTGATAGGATCAGATCCGACAGAATCAGATCCGATAGGATCAACGCTGCTGACGTTGCGCTTCCGGAGTTGCTTGTGGAGGCTGAGAGCCGTAGGCGTGTAAGTAGCAGTAGCGAGCCGTGGGCTTCGCCGTCATCTCAGGGATCTGGGAGGATTTCGCGGTCCGAGGAGTCCTCCTGCGCGTGCTGCGATACGAGGGAATGCACTAACGCGTACAAGAGCCGATCTCGCCAAGATCCCGCGGCTTGCGAGTGGGATCGTCTTTCTAGGCGGTACCACGGCGCGGCATCGTCCAACTCGGGGAGTGTACTCGGTATAACCGGCTCCGATTCGGGCAGCGACGAGGTTAATTGGAGCAGCGGCGGCTTGAAAAGGTCCGGCGACGGGGACTGCAACGGCGGCGGTGATGGCGATGGCGAGTGCCCCGGCATGTTGGTGTTCACTGTGCGGAAGAAGCGGCGGATGCGATCTCGACCGCACACGTGGAGCAACGCCTCTCCCATCAACGGCTCTCCGATCATGACCTCTCCCAGCCACGGTGCGTCTCGAGATTGCCGGATCCGCGGCCCCGTGTTCCTGAGAGCGAATGTACCGTCGTGAATGCGTCGTTTTTTATGTGCGTCGCCAATCCACACTCCAATGGTTTTCGTTCTCCAACCCTTTCCCCCGCGTGAAATCTCTTCCTGCAGGTTCGGAGCGGATGGGTGCTGGGAACCTCACCGTAGCTCGCGAGACGGTTCGGAGCGGAGAGGAGATTTTGAGAGGAGTAGTGGTTCGGAGTGCGGCAGGAGCGGAGCTTCCGATGCACGTGAAGGCGGAGCCGTCAGCATCGGGTGCTATGGATTGCGATTGCGACACGCACGAGCGCTGCGATGGCGATTCGGGTAAGAGAAACGAATAACCACTTTTCGGGGTTTGTGATTACAGCACAGGGGTTTGATGGTGCTTCCACTGGGGTTTTACAGATCCAGGGGTTTCGAATCTGCTTAACGCAATAAAAATGATAAATGCTAGTGTTACAATTGGCTTACGGATCGGTCTTGTTTGTCGTGCAGGTCCATTGCTCTGTTCCGAGGACCTCCTCACGCGAAGCAGGGTGACGACTGGCGCTGCTGCCCCGGCCACTGCTGGCGATGCGCGCATAACCGCCGATGCGCCCGCTACTCCCGATGCGCCCACGGCCTCTAGGCGGAGAGCCAGAGCGCGAGGCAGAGACGGGAGCGGCAGCAACGGCGGCGGCAGGATCCGAAGCGGCGGCGCCAGCCGGAGTAGCGTCAGCAGTCGCAGCAGCGGTGGCAGCCGGAGCAGTGGGGGCGGCAGGAGCAGGGGCGCGGTGACGACGGTGCGTGTGGAGTTCGATCCCGCTTATTGCTGGAAGATTAGAGCCGAGCCCGCGTTCCCTGCGGGGCCACGAGTCGCGAAAAGCACGCCTGCCGCTGGTGAGTGTTAGGGTTTTGGGCAAATGTTCGGAAATGCTTCGTTATGGAGGGATCGACGAGGGTTTTCGGGCTTTGGTGTGAGTTCTGTATGGAGGAAATTGCCGGAGAGAAGCAAGGGTTTTGGGCGATGCGCTTTGAAACATTTAAGGGTCAAGAGGGGATGATGTGCTAGAATTGAAGGGTTTAGGATTGAGGGTGGGAAAAAAATGTTGAAGGTCGAACTTGGTGGTTTTTTTCGCGAATGAATAGCTACAAGTCGAATCGTACAGCTTTTAGCATTCACTGCCGTTTCTCACCCCCTCACGGCTCCTCCCTGCTTCTCCCTTCCCCCATGCTCTCCCCATGCCAGACCTCCAAGGCTCCAGCAGCAGCGCAACTGTAGAAGTGGCCGTGGCTCTTTCCAGCTGTACTCGTTTTGAGCCGCCTCAATACACGCCCGGCAGCAGCACCGCCGTAGCAGTGAAAGCTAACGAGGCGGTGAATCGCAGCAGCACTGCTGTAGAGGTGCCTGTATCTCTCTCCGGATCCAGCCGTCCCCAGATAAGCGTGCTTTCCCGGTGCAACAGAAGCAGCAGCAGCATCCCGGTTAGTGTAGCAGGGACCGGCGGTATTAGTGGGAGTGAGGGAGCATGTGCAGCAGCCGCAGCAGCAGCAGCAGAAGCAGGAGCAGGAATGGCAGCGGTGGCAGCAGCGGCAGCTGCAGCAGCAGAAACAGCGGCAGCTGCAGCAGCAGAAACAGCGGCAGAAGCAGGAAATAGCAGTAACACTACAGAGAAAAAGCCACTGCTGCCGTTCTCTTGGGCTCTATCCGTCGACGTGTCTGGCTGTGGTAGCTACACCCCGTTCTCGCTACCACGCCTTCCACCCATGGTCCAATCGAGCCCTGCAACGTCACCTTCCACGTCTCCCTCCACGTCACCAGTTCGCCCCGGGTTAAAGGAGCCGTTCCTGCATGCTGATGTGGACAGCGCAAAGAGGGGAAGGTGGATGGGAAGCATGGGCATGGGGATAGGTGGGGATGATGAGAAAGCGGATGGCAGCATCTATGTTGCGGCACAATGGCTTGTGGACATGGCTGCAGGGAAGAGCGCTGCTGTGTGCTAGTGTGGTGCGCGTGGACTGATGGAACAACAACAGACCAGGGCTTGAAGGTGCTGCTGGGGCGTGCTGGGAAGCTTTGTTGGCACAGTGGCTTGTGGACATGGCTGCAGGGAAGAGCGCTGCTGTGTGCTGATCCCTCATGCGTGCCTGGGATTGTGTGTGCTGGGGTGTGCATAGTTTGAAAGGGTGTGCGTTTCAGGAGTGTTCTTAGTGTTTTGGGCTGTGCTTGTTTGAGGGTCTGGGGTTTAATATTTTGTGGTTGACTTGGCGGCGCTGTTTGTGGGTTTGCTGTTAGTGTGAAAGGGCGAACAGAACGGCTTAGTACAGAGGCGATGCTGCAAGGGAGGTTCTGCCGGTGCTGGTGGTGCTTCTGGTGCCTAATCCACAGTGTACGTTGCATGGTGCATGGAAGGTGGCGGGTTCTTCAGGATGCTGTGACTGGGGGACAGGCAGCTCTGCAGGAAACTAAACAGCTCACAACAGATACAAGTCTGGTGTGGAGCTGGCACGAGATTACCGTATTAGCATGGCCGAATGCAGGTTATATGGGTGCTGCTGCTGCTGCTGCTGCTGGATTCGGGGCGTGCCGCCCTTCTTTTGGTGTTTGCGCTGTGAATAAAGGGTGCTCATGATAGCATAGTGTCTATTCTTTTCTTGTTTCTCTTATTGCTTGTCATTAATCTGTTCTGAGTGCAAACTCGTTCAGTTACAACCATTACAGAAACATTCATTCGGGGAAGATCTGATGTGGTTCTATACAGATTTCCATACCACCGGACCGAGATCAATGTGTTTGAATTCGGGGCTAGCTTGACAAGAGGCTACTTTGATAAGACGCTGTAGGATGACACACATTTTACTGAAACTTGAAGTGAGATAAGCAAGACAACATGATGCCTGGTAATTCAAGGGGTGTTACCCAGGCAATTAGCAGGCGGGCGAAACAAAGTGTTTTTTCATGCTTCCTATAATTTTTCACCAAATGCTCAGCCGTCCACTCCTTTCCATCCACCTTCAGTGTTGCTACTAGGTACCTAATAAGGGTACATTCCGTCCTGGACATGTCCAGGAAGAAAGTGTCACAATCCTGTGTACCGCTCTGTATCGTGTAGACACCTCCAGTGCCCACCACGACTAAAAGGCTCTCCCCTTCACTTCACTTTCCATCCGCTCCAGTATTCCTCAGCTTCGGCCGCCCACTCCTTCCGTCCACCTCAACAGCCAACCCCATCTCTCTCAACCCCTCCGTCTGCGCCCCTCCCTCCCGCACCTCCACTGCTACTACGACATATGAGGAGCTTCAACCTCCACATTCCTCCTTCCCTCACTTTCCATCCACACCAATATTCCTCAGCTTCGGTCGCCCACTCCTCTCATCCACCTCCACAGCCAACCCCATCTCTCTCAACCCCTCTGTCCGCGCCCCGCCTCTCACCTCCAGTGCCGTCACGTCAGCAGCGTTCTCGGGGTTGCCTTCTAGAAGGTTCCGCACGGCCCACAGGCCCCACTCCCTGAGGAGATCGTCGCCTTGTGTGCTGTCCCCTGCCACACACTGCTGCAGGACCAGGAACAGACCGCTGCTCATGATGCTTCTGCTTCTGCTGCTGGGGTTGGGGTTGCTGCTGCTGCTGCTGGTGCTGCTGGTGCTGCTGGTGCTTCTGCTGTTGCTGTCAGTGGCGTTGGTGGCAATGGCACCACCACCAACAGAACTATTAGCACCATCAGGAGCAGCAGCCAATACGGGAACGCTAGGAGCCATATAGTACCGCACAGCATCCTGGTATGCCTTGCGCTCATGACACGCGTTTGCAATCACTGCCACCACATCCCTGCGGTAACCAGGGTACGGGTTACACCATGGGTACAGAGCGGTGGAGTCCGATGGAACTGAAGCTGCTCCTGCTCCTCCTATTTCGAAATCCCTGATTGAACCTGGTGCTTTGAATGATGCTGTTGCTTTTGATGCTGCTGCTGTTCCCGTTGCTGTTGCTTCTCTTGTTGCTGTGGCTGCTGCTGATGCGATAGCAGGGGGTCCGAGCCAATGCAGGAGATCAAGCAGGAGCGGAATGAGCTCCGAACCTCCCACCGCAGCCAGCAGGTCCGTGCTGGCCGAGCCTGGGACTGCCGAGCCTGGTGGGGCAGGTTCGGCGGCTGGTACGGAGTCCAGGGCTGCGAGGATACGAAGGCAGTGCAGCGAGAACCGGAGGATGTGGCGTGCTGACAAGGCTTTGTTATAAGGTACCTCGTTACTATAAGGCATTTGATTGCCAGGAGTTACCTGGTTACCAGGTGACAGCAGCAGACCCTGGGCCTGAGCCCGTGCCACAGCCCGTGCAGCACCCCTGCAAACGGTCAGGAGGTAATTCAAGCTGCCCGAGCCCACGAGCGGAAAGGATTCTCCTTGCTCCCCCTTTTTTTGCTCCTCTCCTTTCCCCTCCTTCGCCACTTTGCCACCTTTCTCCTCACTCTCCTCGCTCTCCTCACTCTCCCCTTTCGCCCCTCCCCCAACCCCAGCTGAAACGCCCTGTGCTTCTGCCACTGCTGCCAGTGCCCCCCACACCCCCCACAGCAGCCCCGCTTGCTCCCACCTGCACCGCCCCCCATCAAGCTGCGTCAGGGACGAACGCTCCTCTCTCTTCCCATCCCCACCGCCTTTCTCTTGCTCCCCCTCTTCCCCCTCTCTCTCCGTTTCCCCCTCCCTGCCCAGACCAGTGAAAAGCGGCTTGAAGAAGCTTCCACGAAGGCACAGGCGCTCCAGGAGGAGGCTGAGCCAGGGGTCTATAGAGGAGGCGGGGGAGTCTGGGGGGAATACGGGGGGAATAAGGGGGGAATACGGGGGGAATACGGGGGGAATACGGGGGGAATACGGGGGAGGAGAGGAGGACGAGGGGGGAAGAGAGCAAGAGAGAGTTGTGAGTTTGTGAGTTGGAATGCTAAGAAGGGAAAGGTGGGATGAGGAAGGAGGGAAGTGGAGGGGGAACCGGAACGGGTAAAGGAGGGGGGATTATAACGGGGAAGGAGTGGGGAGAGCGGAGGGAGGAACGGGCAGGTGAGGTGGAATGAACTGAAGCAGCACGCGTGGATGTATCATGGTCATGTGAGTGACCCACGAGCCAACAACACTGCTCCTGGGAGCTAAAAACACACGTGAAAGGAAAGGAGCTGAAGCAGGTGTCTGACATAGCATGATAGTATGGGTTGGCACGTGAAATGAGAGTGTTTTTGAGACGTCTCAAAAAACGCACGTGTCTGACATACCATGATCATGTGGGTTGGGAGGGAGCCATCCCCATCCCTCCTCCCTCTCCTCCCACTCTCCCAACCCCTCTTCTTCTACCTCCTCTTCCCTTCCCCCATCTCCATCCCCTCTTTCCCCGCTCATCCTCCACTTCCCCATCTCCCCTCGCAAAACCCTGCCCACCAAATCAACCCCTTCTGCTGATCCTCCCAAATCCGGCGCTGCTTTCTGATTGGTCCGCACACACGTGAACAGTACCATGCACAGTGCCGACCGCACCCCCGCCGCCCGCCCTGCCGCCCCCCCTGCTGCTGCAATCCGGGAGAAGGTTCCTGGAAAGCACCTGTCCCACACTGCCTGCTGCTGCTGCCTACCACCGCCGCAGAAGTTTCCAAGAAGCTGCAGGACCGTTTTGAGCGTGTCGAGGTGATTGGGGGGGAGGGGGATGGAGCGAGGGGGAGGGGGAGGGAGGGCGGGGGGAAATGGGGAGGGGGAAGGGGCAGCGGAGGGGCTGAAGGGGGATTGAGAAGTGGAGTGCGGGGAAGGGGAAGGGGCGATGTGGGGAGGCAAGGGGAGGGGTGGGGGGATAGAGAGAGAGGGATGCATGCTTGGATTGACTGCGTTCAGTTGCCCCTCTGAGAGGGGGTTCGCTTCTGTTGCTTCTGCTGCTGCTGCCGCTGCTTTAGGAGCTGTTGCTGCAGATGTTTCTGACATTCCTGCTGCTGCTGACGTGGCTGCATCTGACGTGGAAGAAGCTGCTTCTGGTGTTGTCGCCTTGTTCTCTGTTTCTCCAAGTCTCTCTGCCACTGTACCTCCCACTTCAGCCATTAACGAAGCCAGAGCGTCTGATAACGAGGATACACTTCCCATCTCTTTCAATTTAGTCACATCTCTGGTCTGCGCCTTGAGTGCGCCAGTTTCCGGCGCTGACTGCAAGACGCGGCTCGCAATTAATTTATCCGCGATAGTCGCCACAAGGTTCACCGCACCGCACCTCAGGAACGCGTCCTGATTGGCCGCCGAGCCTGCCAGCAGGTTCCGAACCACCCGCAAGGCCTGCAGCAGCGGCCGAAGCGCGTGCACCGCCCATACGCTTGTGCTTGGAGGATCGGTAGATAGCCCCTGGAACCCGCCATTTGCGGCGCCAGATGCGGCGCCGGATGCGGCTCCGGTTGCAGGATCGGACGGCTGTGCCGCGTCAGCATGGGCGACATCTGCGGGATGGAAGATTCCGTAAAGCTCGGGGCAGTGGCGGCAGAGCTCGGGCAGGACGCCGACCAATCGGGTGATCGCAATTCCGCTGCCCGCAGCTCCAGCGCTGCCGTTACGTCTGCCCGGAGAGCTGCCCGTAAGAGATTCACTTTCTTCTGTGAGCCAATCGCGCTCGCGCGATCTGGCGAGGAGATTCGCGAGCGCTTCGGCGAGAGGATCCAACGAGGCTACGTCTCCGCTAGCGAAGCGAGGGGCGAGCGACTCGACTTCGGTTAGAAGCGATTCCATACTTAAACTCTAACGTGAAGACGAAGCGCGGAGTAATTTGTCAGCGAGGGCGACTATCGCGGTCAATAGAATGGGATATTACTGCCCGAACTCGCAAAATGGGTACGAATGCATGCCTGAGAATGAAAGAACGAAGAACGGAAGAGAAGGGAGAACGGATGAAAGAGAAAGCTATTTTGTGGGGAAATAATGCTTGTGATGCGATCGAGATCGAGGGTTGAGATTGAGAGTTGAGGGATTCGAGAGCGTTCGGCGAAACGTTTTCTGCATCGTCACTGTTACCTTCCTAGAAGATGCAGCAAGGCCAATCCCCCAACATCTTTCGCAAAAACCAAGCATCGTTTCGCGTCACCGCCTCGAAATTTTCGTGCGCGGAGCACGTTCCGCGAGATTCCGAACTTCCCCACACTCAAATTCTCCGCTCCCGCCGCCCCTTTTCTCCCTGGGCCCTTTCTCCGCGAATACAAGTCCCCCTGCTTTCTCCCCCTCCCCCCCCCCTCCCTCCACCCCCGTGAGAATAAGTGAGAAATCTCCAAGCTCAAATCCGACCAGCCATCACCACCACCATCACCGTCCCCGCCGCCCTGCTCCTACACACCCTACACACTCCGCCACTGCCTGTAACCTCCGCGCGCTCCCCGCGCGCTCTCCGCGTGCAATCCGCGCTCCCTCCGCTTCGTTGTCCTCCATTCCGCGCATCACCGGCGCCCATCGCGTTTGTTCCTCGAAGCTTCGCTTCCGATGGACCTCGCGGTCCGGGCCCAGTGGGCACTGCAGCAGCCAATCAGTTCATGCCACGTTAGCGCATCGTCAGGAGCTCGGCGCAAATCAGAATTTACCAGCCGCAGCTTCGGCGGGAATGGCGGAAGCCCGAGCTTTCTCCTTCTCTCCTGTTGCGCCCGCTTTCCCGCGCGGAATTCCTCCGCGCGCGGTCGAAACTCCGCCGCTTCCGCCGCCCGTCCGCGCCCGGTCGTTGTTCTCCGCCCGGGCAGCCGCCCATTAGCGTCTCCGGGCAGAAGAAAAAGAATGCCGGCTGTTGTGACCGTGTCCATTGGCGGAGGTTCGGGGTTAGGTATGGGAGAGACAGGTTCGGCAGTAGGCTCGGCATGGGTCAATGCAGGTTCGGCAAGGGAACCAGCAGGCTGGGTGAAGGCGAGGGGAAGCACAGTGGCAGCAGCAACTGCTGTCTCATTGGCTGGGGACGGATCGAATCTGTACAGTGACGTATCAAATCTGGGAGAGCCAATTGCGGAACAGGACGTGCTGACTCAGCAACAGCAGGGGAAGAAAAGCGGAGCAGCAGCAGCAGCAGCAGCAGCAGGGGGAAAGGGTTCGGTTGACAAAGGGAGAGAGGTTAGAGACGACGGGGAGAGTGAAGGAGGGAGAGAGATGGTGGGATTGGAGGGGGTATTGGAGCGAATGAGGAGGGCAGTGCGGATAGAAAGCCTGGCAGAGGGCGCACACGTGCATGTGACAGGTAATGGGATGCGATAACATGTGGGGGTGGAGGGGGTGCTGGAGTGTAGTGAGGAGGGCTGTGAGGATAGAGAGCCTGGGCGCTGATGCACACGTGCATGTGACAGGTAAGCGTGACATCTCGATGCAGCAGTTTACATGACCCGTTACGAGTCATGACTGGAGTTCCCATCTCTCTTCTCTCTTCTCTCTTCTCTCTTCTCTCTTCTCTCATCTCTTTCCTCAAACCCCAACCACTTCTCCAAACGGCCAATCCCGTCCCGTGCCGCCAGGTGTGCAGTCGCTGATGGGCATGGAGGGCACGTGGCAGCTCCTCGTGTCGCCAGCTGGCGGCCGATTCGTAGAGTCGTTTGTCGGGCGGCACATCTGGAGCGTGTCGGGTTTCGCCGGCCAATCAGACACCAGCGAATCCGATACCGAATCTAGCGCTTCGTCAAGTAGCTCATCCGATCTCATATCAGATAGCTCGTCTGATAGCTTATCGGACGATGCACTCGAAGATTCAGTCTGCCGCCCGGAAATCCAATCTACTGTGTGGGACGTGGATACGGCCGGGCGGGTATCTTCGTTGGATCTGGACGACCACGAGGTGTATCTGCTCTCCGTGTGGCTGCGCTCGTCTCTTTGGCTGCTGCCGCCCGTCGCCAGCTCAGCACTTGAAATAAGAGCAGTGGGCGGCGAAGAGGAGATAGGGGAAGGTGGATTGGTCGTTGGCATTCCGAATGGGATGAGAATGGAGATTGATGCACACGTGGCAGCTGATGATAGGGTCATCTTGGCGATCAACCTGATTGGCCGAGAGGTGCGTTCTGGCCATGGTGGTTATTTGAGGCGCCTGATATTTCTTCATTCCCCTTCCTAACGCCATCCACCTCCCCACATGTGGGTTTTTAGTCGCTTTTCTTTCCTCTGCCCCCTTCCCAACCTTTCCCGTTTCCAGATAAACATGTACATAGCCGGCCGTGCATAATCCCCTCTCTTTGAGTCACGTTCCCTTGTCCTGCCATTCCACTGCCATTCCACTCATTCCCCCCCTCGCAGGTCATCATGTATGTGGCGGTGCATCGCTCTGATTGGCTGCCAAGGGTAGCAGTGGTGAAGGCGTACGGGGCACTTGAGACATTCACCTTCACTCAGTGGGCGCCTGTAGCGGTATGGCTGTAACAGGGCTGTAGCTGTGGGATTGTAGCGGTGTGGTTGTAGCGGCATGGCTGTTGCGGCATGGCTGTAGCGGCATGGCTGTAGCGGCATGGCTGCAGCGGCATGGCTGTAGCATTGAAATTGTAGCACAAAGACGGCTCTGCCATCTGCAGTTCATATGGCACTGACTCTCCCACTTACCTGCTCATATAGCAATAAGGCCTCCACAGCCCACCTTTCCTCCCTCCCCTTTCCTCCCTCCCCTTTCCTCCCTCCTCTTCTGCCCCTTTCCTTCCCCCAGCCCGACTGCCCGTTCCTGCTGCCCGCTACAGTGCACAGATCCACGTCAGCAGGCGCGCAGCAATCTTTTTCATCTGCCCGAACCTCCTTGTTGCCGCCCGGCCCGGCCCACATCCTGCTACATGAGAAGGAAGCTTCCGATTCTGAATTCAATGAAGCTTCTGAGGAAGCTTCGCCCTTCTCATTCTCATACGACATACCGGGGTCTCAAACTGTCCCCAGCCCATTGAGCTGCTTCCCGGAAGCTTCCTTTGATGAAAGTGCACCGGCTGAGGTGGAGCTGTTTCAGTCCAACAGCGGGCATTTGCTGGTGCGGCCACGGATCAACGGCCAGGATGTTGGGTAAGTGATTGATCAACGGCCAGGATGTTGGGTAAGTGATTGATCAACGGCCAGGATGTTGGGTAAGTGATTGATCAACGGCCAGGATGTGGGGTGAGTGAACATTGGGCACGAATCAACGGTTCATGATATGGTTTGAGTGATCAGCGGGCATCTGCTGGTGCAGCCACGGATCAACGGTCAGGATGTTGGGTGAGTGATGATCAACGGTCAGGATGTTGGGTGAGTGATCGATTAGGGTGTGCGTTTCACAACCCCCTCTCACGTCTTCCTCCCTTTCGCACCACACCACCCACCCCACCAACTATTTCATTCTGGATTCGGGTGCAAGCTGCGTGTTTGAAGTAGTGTTTTGAGACGTCTTAAAACACTACTTCAAACACGTCACCACACCACCCACCCCACCAACCAGCTGACTTTTGAGTCGACTCATAAGTCAAAACCATCACCCCACCAACCAGCTACTTCATCCAGGATTCGGGTGCAAGCTGCTTTACCACTGCACCCGCAGCGGCTAACCGCTTAGCTTAGCTTTTGGACTGTCCTTTTCAAAGGGAGGAGCCCGGTTCTGGATGTGTGCACACCGTGACAGTGCCCAGCCCACCACTCACCACCCCTCTCTGTCACATCTCTCCCTCTTACCACACACACCCTGCCCTGCCTGCAGCTACTTCATCCTGGATTCAGGTGCAAGCTGCTTCACCATCGAGCCAGCAGTGGCGGATGGGCTAGGCCTGTCCAGCTTTGTGACAGTGCATGGCCTCTCCTCTCATACCCACCCCAACCACCTCCACCCACCCTCACACCCCTGCCTGCAGCTACTTCATCCTGGATTCGGGTGCAAGCTGCTTTTCATTCGAACCAGCAATGATGGCCTCTCCTTTACCCAACCCCAACACCCACACCCACCCCACACGCCCCCCCAACCAGCTACTTCATTCTAGATTCAGGTGCAAGCTGTTTCACAATCGAACCAGCTGTAGCAGACGGGCTGGGGCTATCGAGCTTTGGGTGTGTGCACACAGTGACAGTGCACGGGCCGGCAGAGTGCGCATTCAGACGCGCGGACTCGGTGCAACTTGGGCCGCTCTCCATCGCCAATGCACTGTTTGTTGATGTGAGTGAGACAACCGTTGCACATGGGGAAATGAGTGTTATGAGACATGGGTGCGTGCACACAGTGACAGTGCACGGGCCGGCAGAGTGTGCATTCAGACGGGCAGACTCGGCTCAACTGGGTCCTCTTTCCATCGACAACGCGCTTTTCGTTTATGTGAGTGAGGCAACCAACACACACACACACACACACACACACACACACACACACACACACACACACACACACACACACACACACACAGTGATATGAGAACTTAGAGGCATGGGTGTGTCTGTGCGTGCACACAGTGACAGTGCATGGGCCGGCAGAGTGCGCATTCAGACGCGCGGACTCGGTTCAACTGGGTCCGTTTTCCATCGCCAATGCACTCTTTGTTGATGTGAGTGCGACAACCATCGCTCATGGGGGAATGAGTACTTATGAGACATGGGTGCGTGTGTGCACACAGTGACAGTGCACGGGCCAGCAGAGTGTGCATTCAGATGTGCGGATTCGGTGCAACTGGGACCGCTCTCCATCGCCAACGCACTCTTTGTTGATGTGAGTGAGACAACGCACACCGCCCGCCCGCACACAGTGATGTAAGATGACAATCACTGCGATTCTCCCTTGTCCTGGAGTGAAGCTGCTGCTGCTGGTGGTGGGCAACTGCAGCTGCAACGTGTTTCATCCCTCACATACTAGCTTTAACGAATCCCTTGCTTCCATGACGCATTTGTGCTTTCACACACTCTCACAATGGCACCAGGTGGGAGGAGCAGCGCTGGTGCAGGGGGTGAAGCCGGCGGTGGGTATCTATGGCTATGCAGGTGTGTTTTGAGTCGACTCAAAACACACGCGGTGGGTATCTATGGCTGTGCTTCCAATCCAACAAGCGTGCTTCTCATTTCCCCCCATCCTCACATGTTTCCCACCTATTCCTCATGTACTCTCTCTCATACTCCCGCAGGTGGGAGGAGCAGCGCTGGTGCAGGGGTTGAAGCCGGTGGTGGGGATCTGCGGCTACGATGTGTTCAGACACGCCGTTGTGCACGTGCAGGTGAGAAGGCATGCGAGGGGTGTGAGGGTCATGTGAGGGGTGTGAGGGTCATGTGAGGGGTGTGAGTGGCATGTGAGGGTGAGGGCATGTGAGGGTGAGGGCATGTGAGGGTGAGGGCATGTGAGGGTGAGGGCATGTGAGGGTGAGGGCATGTGAGGGTGAGGGCATGTGAGGGTGAGGGCATGTGAGGGTGAGGGCATGGGCAGGAGAGGCTGATACAAGAGTGTCGTAAGTCTGAATAATGCCACTGTGAGTGAGACTGATAAAGGAAGCTTCATGACTCAAAGTGGCAGCTTCAAGGCTCTAAAAGATGGACCCCAAAATAGGCAGCAAAATAGGCGGGTATCTTCGTTGCTCCTCCTCTCTCCCCCCCACCATTTGCCACATCCACACAGGCACGGGGGAGACAAGGGATCCTCCGGCTGTACAAACCCCAAGAAACACCTGATGCTCCCAAAGCAAGCAGCAATGCAACAGCAGGCAGCACAGAGAATGGCAGGAGCGGGGAGGCGGACAGATCTGAAACAGGGCTGGTGCAATCCGCTGCTGCCTTTGCGGATGGATCCGCAGCAAATGCTCCTGTGCCTCCTGGTGTTGCCATGGCACAAAGACGGGGGAGAGGAGGGGCGAGAGGGGGAGGCGGGGCAGGAGGTAGGGCAGGGGGAGGTGTGGCAGTGGTCTCTGCTGCTCTGGTGGGAGGCCACCCTTCCATGCCTGACCTTGGGGAAAACATCTACTGGGAGGTGGGTGGATACTGGGAAGTGGATGGCTGTTGGTGTAAGGTTTCTCGGTGGTTATTGTAAGCAGTGACTGTCGGCTCTTATTAACTCTGCCTTCTGATAAAAGAGATGTTTTGAGACGTCTCAAAACAAGGTTTCTCGGTGGTTATTGTATGCAATGACTGTCGGTTCTTATTTATTCTCCGCCTTCTGCCCGTTCACCCCGTTCACCCCCGCCCACCCCTCTCCCCTCTCTCTCTCGCCCCTTACAACCCCTTCACACCCCTCTCAGCCGCTGCGCATGCTGGGAAGTGTGCCTCACATCGCCATCTCCTTTCAAGAGCACTGGGACTCCCCTCCCACTTACTGTGTGCCCTCACACCCCCCCCTTGCCTCGCGCACCCCTCTCAGCATTTACGCATGCTGGGCAGCGTGCCTCACATCGCCATCTCCTTCCAAGAGCACTGGGACTCGCCTCCCCACTCCGGCCTCTTCTCCTCGACACGGGAGCAGCCGGGGTGGACATAATATTCAACACTCTCTTTGTCACCTTGTACCTCCCAACCCCTTCCTGCTCCTCTCTCCCCTCACAACCCCTCTCCCGCCCTCACATCCCCACCAGCCGCTGCGCATGCTGGGCAGCGTGCCTCACATCGCCATCTCCTTTCAAGAGCACTGGGACTCGCCCCCCCAGTCCGGCCTCTTTCTCCTCGACACGGGAGCAGGAGGGGTGGACATAATATTCAACGCTCTCTTCTGTCATCTTTTTCCTCCCAACCCCTTCCTGCTCCTCTCTCCCCTCACAACCCCTCTCCCGCCCTCACATCCCCACCAGCCGCTGCGCATGCTGGGCAGCGTGCCTCACATCGCCATCTCCTTCCAAGAGCACTGGGACTCGCCTCCCCACTCCGGCCTCTTTCTCCTCGACACGGGAGCAGCCGGGGTGGACATAATTTTCAACGCGCGGGCGGTGGAGCGCTGTCAGCTGGGGAGGAGGGCCAAAGGGGGGGACAGCTGGCTTAAGGGCATGGGGGGCGCAGGGGGGGGCGGGGGAGGAGGACAGCAAATGACGGTGAGTGTGTGTGTGTGATTGTGTGTGTGTGTGTGTGTGTGTGTGTGTGTGTGGGGGAGGGTGTCTCTGCGAGCGTGTGGGAGACTGTGTGTGGCTAAGCCCTCATAGGAGCAGCAGGGGTGGACATAATATTCAACGCGCGGGCAGTGGAGCGCTGTCAGCTGGGGCGGAGGGCCAAAGGGGGGGACAGCTGGCTCAAGGGCATGGGGGGCGCAGGGGGAAGGGGAGGAGGAGGACAGCAAATGACGCTAAGTGTCCTGAGTTTTTCAGTCTGTGGGTGTATGTGTGTGTGTGTGTGTGTGTGTGTGTGTGTGTGTGTGTGTGTGGATGCATGGGTGTGAGGGAGTGTATGGTTGACTAACTGTGCCCGTGCCAGCAGCCCTGACCCCTTCTCTTCCTGCTACTCGCTCCCATCCCATGCAGGAGCGGCAGGGCAACCTAGCAGTGGTGACAGTGGCAGGGCAGCAGCTCAAGAACGTGTCAGCGCTGTTCTCCTGAGCTTGTCCCCCTTCCTTCTCCCATCCTCTCTCCCCCCGCAATCCAGGTGCGGCAGGGCAACCTGGCAGTCGTGACAGTGGCAGGGCAGCAGCTCAAGAACGTGTCAGCGCTGTTCTCCTGAGCTTGTCGCCGTTCCTTCTCCCATCCTCTCTCCCCCCGCAATCCAGGTGCGGCAGGGCAACCTAGCAGTCGTGACAGTCGCAGGCCAGCAGCTTAAGAACGTGTCAGCGCTGTTCTCCACAGCAGAGCAAGGAGCCTTGGAGTTGTCGCAGTACACTAGCGGATTGATATGCCGTAACCTACTCTCCAAGTTTGACCTTATAATCGACTATCCTGGGCTTCGAGTTGGCCTCATTCCTCGCTCTTCCCGCATGTCCAAGCTATAGAGAGCTGTGCGCACTTGATCAGTGTTACAACATGCTTGCTCTTGTACTCCGCTCTCTGTAATATTTTGTTTGTTTATTATTTGATGCCGCAGAATTTGATTGCCACGTACTCTCAGTACCTGCAGGGTTTAGGGTTTTAGACCCTAAACCTTCAACCAGAGAGTTGAGATGCCCCATGCAGTAGTCTGTTAATCAATCATCTCACCTGGCAAGCTCTGAGCGGATAAATGTGGGAAAGAGGACAGCCTTTATATCTGCAATAAGGATTGGGTAACCAACCAGCAGATAATAGTGATAACGCTGACAGTGGACTGAGCTGAATTCGGTAGTCTCTCTACTAGCAGAAACCCCATTGAATGGGCTACAGAAGGCTGAGGTACCTGAATATTGACAATGAATGACGTCCTGATACTGCCGGACAAAGCGGCAGGCCTGATAAGCCAACCGATCTACTAAGCGCTGCTGATAATTATTTTTTTCACTACTTCAAACTTAGCGCTAAGTACTACTAAGAAAAACTAAGTGTCATCATGACTTAGCTATCAGGGAAGTTCTCGCCTCCGGTGTACGTCTGGTTGACCTGCCACGAAGCCGGAATCACGTTCTTCAGAACAATAACCTTCCCATTGAAGTTCGTCGTCACGCGCAGCGTCATCGCTTGCCCGCCAACCTTGATATTGTTCAGCGACCACGTGGTTCCGAAGTTCCTGACAAGCGGCTTGAATCCGCCGCTACCGGGCAGCTGCGCTTCGATCTTGGAAATAGTTCCCGGTCCCGCGACGTTCAGAGGGAGAAGGTTGATAAACCAGTCATTCCCCATAAGAACCTTGAATTGAATCCCACCCTTGCGAGGGCAAGGCACGCGCGAAACTCGCACGGCGATGTCACCAGCATTTCGCGTGGTTACAATCTGATCGTAGACACTGGGAGGCAGCATGATGGACTTTTTGGGAAGCTGGCACAGGCCGCCGTGAGTTTTGTTGCCCTTGCAGTGGTTCGTGACTGTAACGGTGGCGGCATTCCCGTTGCATCTCTTGTTCTTCACGCACTTGATCGCCACGCACGCGCCGCACGTCTGGCCGTTCTCGTACAGAATAGAAGACACCGCGCTAGTAGCAGATCCGATACCGGTGTTCACCGTGTTGCCGTATCCGCAGGCGCCTTGAGCAAGACCGCCTTCAGAGGGAGAAATTGTCGCAATGTAGCCGCTATCCCACGTGTTGAACACCCCCTGGTTGATCTTAGCCCGCGTCGGCTTTCCTGGCTTCTTCGGTGGCTTTGTAACGGCAGGGGGAGTCGTGGTTGTTTTCGGCGCAGGCGTCGTTGTTGCCGGTGTGCCGGCAGCAGAGGCCAAGGCCACCAAGCACAGAGCCAAGACTAAGGATACAACAGCAGACGTGGACCGTCTAGCCATCGTTAGGGGCTTAAACTGGAATAGCCTTAGCAGTCCAAGGCGGAAAGAAAACACAAGTTCTGTCGGGAAGCTCTGGAGTGACGATATGAGATCCTGGACCGTGGAAACGAAAAGCCAACTCAAGCAATAAAGTAACGAGTGGTTCTGCTTTTCAAATGGGGCTCGAAAAGACTGATCTGGGGCACGCTGTTTGTGGGGTCGGGTCACCACCGCCAGCCGCACCGTCAGCAGCAGAGGACCCATTAGCGCGTAATCTGCCGAAATGCGGCGAGAAGTAACCAGCGGAAGCGGCGGGCATTGGAATTTGGGAGTCAGGAGGGACAAGGACAAGGCGTGGCGTGTCGCGCTGTAGCACCCAACCTTGAAATTTGCCGTGCGGTTAGGGAAGGTTTTAGTTGCGGCCGCGAGTGGTTTGTTACGGTTCTGGTTAGGCCAATGTCGAATTCGAGAGTCCGTTGCGGTGCGGAGAAATTCGTGCTGGCGGGAACTGGGGTCAAGTGTGTGCTGGCGGCTCGAATGTGGTAAGTGAATCTCTTTGACGCGTATCGAGTGGTCTTTGACACTTTATCTACTTGGATCATCATCCTCATTGACCTAAAAGGTGGTCCTGATATATTTCTCATTATTTACCTAGTATGAATAGTGTGTCAGCTTAACCGGTGATATAGAGGATACCATGGATATAAAAATACACATGCATATTATGATATTGTTACGAGTGCAATTGGGTGATCAAACGAGAATTGCACTATCGAAGCAAGAGTACAATGAGTGAAGACATGAGCGAAGAATATATAGCGAAACTACAGTGGTAACGGTAATGGACTGTGGTTGTCGCGCGACGGGCCTGGGACTGAGGTTGGGAAAAGTGTCGAAGCGGAGGCCCGGAGGGCGGGTTACCCGCCGAGCCGTGAGGTCGGGGTGCGACGTGCGAAGGTGGCGGGCGGATTGTCGATGCGAGGATTGCGAGTGGTAATGGTGCTGACTGTGGTGCTATAGTGATGTATGCGTTGAGCAGGGACGCGAAGTAAGGAGAAAGAGATTTTCCTTACAGATATATACATTAGAATATGTGTCCATATGCAATATTGAAAACCCCAAAGACAAGATACACCAATAGGGTGATAACATGTTCAAGATACAACCTGATGATAATAGGTTCAAGGATAAAATTTGTGAAAGGCAGCTTGATCAATAGGAATCAAACATTGGAAATTAAGCTATGACATTATACTTGTCCTGTAAGGATTTACAAATCCTTACTGAGGCACTCGTTAGCGAGGAAATCCCGAGGATCACGCGACGAGCCTGTCTTGCCTATTTCGTCGCACCGAACCACCCCTGATTCGGCCTCCGCTCCAAACGCAACCATCACCGAGCCATCCCATCCCGAACCCCCCGCCTAGCTAGCTTTTCCCCTATTTAGGCCTCCCTACTTCATTGTTTCTTCATTCAGTGATTCAGTAATTTCCATTCTCGTTATTCGTTTTACTGCTCACTCTGCAAGTTGATTCATAACATGTCCCCTGTCCATGAACTGTACTTCTCAAGCACATCCGCATACCCACAACAACACCTACCGAAGCAACTGAACATCAGCTTTGTGGTACAGTATCCAGGCGAGCCAGCATCATACGTTTCTGGGATTGCTGGTCAGTCTCACTCTTTTTAGGACCCAGACTATCTGCTTCAGTCCTTGCGAAACGATTCCTTCTTTCGGTATACGGTGCTAGTCCTCTGCCCTTTTTGAACCTCGAGTCGCTCCGAGTGACCATCATACCTTCCGGCTCCGTTTGTTGTCGTACCCGCATCTTTCCCTGCACCGGCGGCGGAAGCTGGCAGTTCTATGCTAAAGCATTTGTGTCTGCCATTTCACGTACCACAATAAAATCTTAGTCCATTAAACGAGGCCCTTCGTCGAAACCATGAGTTCAGCTTCCTTACCTCGCAGAACTGTCGAGTCTTCAGAAGCGACCAGCCGATCGCATCCTAATGACTTATCAGCGGCAAGGTTGCCGGGAAATGCGGAGGCTACTGAGCATGGCCCAGCCGGCGTCACGGAAGCGCAACGGTTTGTTACTCCGCCGGAATCCCCGTCAGGAGTTCAGGGAATTCAGGGAAATCTTGCCATTGCCTTACAACGCGCTGCGGAAAGCTCACGAGCTCCGCATTCAGCGGTGGTTACTCTCGCGGAGGATCGTCGCGCGCTTCTGTCACAGCCCAGAAGTGACAATAACGAAGCAATCTCCGAACTCTCACGTGCAAGCGGCGACGATCCTGAAGTTGGGCGAACGGAGAGCGCAAGCGACCGCCAGGCGGACGGGGATGACTCAGCTCACCCGCTTATCAGACCCAGCGACAGCAGAGACGATCGCTCGCTTAACGGAGGAACTTTCTCAGTCAGTCAAGGCGTTCCGTCAGTCAGCAAAGGTGCTCCGTCCGTGGCCAGGATTCGGGATAAGGGACTGCTACCAAGGTAGGGCGCGGTGCCGAGATAAGACATGGTAAGACTTGTCGTTGTCGGCAACATTGAAATTTGGATTAGGAACAGTGGGTTGGGGTACTTGTGATTTGTGGTTTGATTCAGAGCACAGTACAGTGCATCATCCCAGGATAGACTGTTCATCTTTGCTGTCTGTCTGGCTGACACCATAAAATCTCGCAGGAACGCAAACGTGGTAATCTCGTTTCATTCTCCTTGCTAGCTCAACCGGTTCTTCCTTGTTCGACCTGGACTCGATTTTTGAGGCGCCTAAGTTTTTTTTTTTTTCATTCTGCAGAAGCTCAACTGGATCTTCCTTGTTGGACCTGGACTCCTGCCTACCACTTTCTCAGGAACGCGCAGGCCCTGCTGGCTCCGATAAAGGAACGGTTCTGGACAACCGCAGCCCTTGCAGTGGCTATTTCCGGGGCAGCGATTCTGCTGGCCGTTACCCTCTCGCTCGCACTCGTGCCCGCTGCAGCCCCTGGCAATGCTCTGTCCGTGCAGGACTATGGAGGTGAGGAGGAGGTAGGAGGAAGTAGGAGAAATGATTACATTGGAAGCTTCTCCAGTCGTGATTGGATAGATCACGGTGGTGGTTACCCTCTCGCGCGTTTGTGCCCGTTACCACAGCCCCTGACAGTGGCTCAAGTGCAATGTCCGTGCATGACATTGGAGGGGAGGAGGAAGTAGGAGGGACAGTTAGATTGGAAGCTTCTTTAAGGTTAGATCACACGGTGGTGGTTACCCTCTCACTCACGCCTGCACCTGTTACAATCCCTGCTCAGCGGTTACACGAGTGGTATGTCCGGTCCGTGCAGCACATGGGAGGTGAGGAACCAGCCAGCAACCTAGCAGGAATACGGGATTCGAGATGCCTCAAGGAAATAGACTTTGGTGGTGGTTACCCTCTCTGCGCCTGCCCTCCATTCCCTTCCCCTTCTTTACTGCTGTTCCCGCCTCCTCTTTCCCCCCCTTCTCTCTCTACGCCATCACCCCACCCCAGTCCCCTTCAACCTATCCTGGCAGGGGTATCGCACCTACCTGCAGCAGCTGCAGCCACTACAGCAGCACCTGCGCCTCCCCTCCATCCCCTTCCCCTTCTCCCCCCATCTGCGTCCCCACCCCAGTCCCCTTCAACCTAGGGTTGAGCAATTAAACGAACACCTGTTCGAGGCGAACCGAACAGGTATTTTTTTTTGGCTTAAAATGTTCGCCGAACAGTGTTCGATGTTCGCCCGAACACGTTCGTGTTCAGGCCGCTGCTGCAATTTGCCCGCGACGAACACGAACAGTGTTCGAGGTTCGCCCGAACACGCCTTCACAGGCGAACGGCGAACACCATTTTTTGCTCAAAGTGTTCGCCGAACCGAACAGTGTTCGGTTCGGCAAACGAAGGTGTTCGTGTAGGGGCGAACACGAACGTGTTCGTGTTCGCCACTTGCTCATCCCTATTCAACCTATCCTGGCAGGGCTATCCCACCTACCTGCAGCAGCTACAGCCACTACAGCAGCACGTGGGCCTGCCCTCCATCCCCTTCCACCCGCTCCCCCGCGGCCCCCACGGCTTCATTCAGTTCTCCGCCTATGCCTTGCTTATCATCATCCTACCTGGTCTTGCCTCCTTGTGTCTTTTTGTCCCCCTCCCTCTCCCCCCTCCCTCTTCCCCCTCCCTCTCCCTCTCTCTCTCTCTGCGCCCTCACCCCACCCCAGTCCCCTTCAACCTATCCTGGCAGGGCTATCACACCTACCTGCAGCAGCTACAGCCGCTGCAGCAGCACGTGGGTCTGCCCTCCATCCCCTTCCACCCACTCGCCCGCGGCCCCCACGGCTTCATTCAGTTCTCTGCCTACCGCCTCTCCTCGCGCTCTTTCGCTATCGTGGGCTTCGGAGCGCATTACCTCAAGGACCATCTGTGAGTGGTGCGGCTCTGTGAGTGATGCATGCCGCATGCGGATTCAGCTTGTTTTTTTAGGCTTTGTTGTGCTCTCGCTGTCGTGGCCTTTGGGGCGCATTTTCCCAAGGACCACTTGTGTCATGCACTACCAGCTGGTAGGCTCTCTTTGAATAAGAATAAGAATAGGAATAAGAATAAGAATAATAAAAACAATAATTATTAATATTAGTAACAAGAATAGTAAAAAAAATAAAAAATCGCCACGCTCTCACTGCTGCGAGTTTAAGCGTGCATTATCTGAAGAACCATTTGTGATTGATGCATTACCAGCCAGCCGGTAGCCTGGTAGGCATACTTTAATCACAAGTTTCCACTTTTTTGTTGCCATGGACTTTGGGTTGCATCTTGTCAAGGAGAGACTGCCTTTGATTTATGCTTATGCCTGTTTTCATTCCTGTTGTTTTTGGTGAATCTTCCCTGCATGCATGCTGTGATGTGATGTGACACCAGGGGCGCTGTTAGATGCTTATGGCAGGGAGGCAATGGGCTAGAGCTGAAGGCGGAACCCACAATTATCTACACCAATCTGCGGGAAGAGAGTGACTACGATGCGATTGTCATGCGAGTGAGTTTGACTCTATAAGGGGGATATTCGTAAGGAGGCAAGGAGCTAGAGCTGAAGGCGGAACCCACAATTATCTACACCAATCTGCGGGAAGAGAGTGACTACGGTGCGATTGTCATGCGAGTGAGATTTTTTGTGGGTATACTTGGAATGGGGATGTGAGCAAGGAGCGTTTGTGGGTTCTGAGATATCGTTGGGTTTGGTTTCAGGATTTTGTTACTCGTTTGACCTTGCCAATGCAAAGTGAGGAGTCTCTGTTAAGGCATAACTGGTTATGGTTTTTAAGGCGCCTCAACTACGGTGCGATGTGATGTGATGGCAATGATGGCTCACACTTGATCGCTGATGGGCCTCCCTCCTCTCGTGGTGAGGTACTGTGCTGACGATCACAGCAGCGGTATTGCTGAGCCATCAGTGGTGGGATAGGGGCAGCAGGGGAATGGGGAGGAAATTTCATTAAGGAGTGTGCCTGAAGTGGGGAATTTATCTGTCCTGGTGAGGTGCAGTGCTGACGGTTACAGCACCGGTATCTTTGAGCCATCAGCTTTTTTCCGCCTCTCCCTCCTTGCCCCACCACTCTTGTGTTACCCCCCTATGCTTCTGTTGATCAGCTTTTCCCATCCCCTCACCTCCATCTCCTTCTCATCCATCTTAATGCGAGTTGGAGGAGTCAACCAGGGATGCAGGTGGTGACCTTATGAGATGCAGGTGGTGAGGTGACCTTATGAGATGCTAAGTCTTATTATTTCTAGCAGACCACACATGTGCCTGCCTTTGAAATTCGTCCCCCCTTACCCACCCATCCCAGTGCGAGTTGGGGGAGTCAACAGGGGACGCTGGTGGCGACCTCTTTCTCAATATTGCGGGCGAGCCCTTCCTCGCTCTCAGGTGATTCTTCTGCTGCTCTCAGGTGTTTTCTGTTGCTCTCAGGTGTTCTCTGTTGTTTTCAGTGCTCCTTCTGTTTCTGGTCTTTTTTCTGATTTTTCATGTCCCAGTTTTGCTCCCATAAAACCACCTCACACATGCCCCTGTCTCTCGCTTCCTCCCATGCCCCTATCCTTTCGCTTCCATTTAAGTCCCCATTCCCCCCCTTCCCCCCCTTCCATGGCCCTATCTATTCCTTCCAAGTTCTCACCCCTATCTATCTTCTATTCCATTGTGCCTCCCAACTTTGACTGCCTTGTCCCATCTCTATCCGTCCCCCCCATCTTCCCAGACCTTCAACAAACCCCCTCCCTCACCCTCCCTCCCCCCTCCCTCCCCTTCCCTCCCCACTCCCTCCCCCCACCCTCCACACACGCACCTGCCTATGTGCTTCAGGAGAGCTCTGCCTTGCAACATGCCATTGTGCCACCCCACTTTGACCACCTGTCACATATCTCCTCCTTGCGAATGCACGACCTCCCTCCACCCCTCCCGTCCCTCTGCCTCAGAGAGAGCTCTGCCTTGCAACATGCCATTGTGCCACCCCACTTTGACCACCTGTCACATATCTCCTCCTTGCGAATGCACGACCTCCCTCCACCCCTCCCGTCCCTCTGCCTCAGAGAGAGCTCTGCCTTGCAACATGCCATTGTGCCACCCCACTTTGACCACCTGTCACATATCTCCTCCTTGCGAATGCACGACCTCCCTCCACCCCTCCCGTCCCTCTGCCTCAGAGAGAGCTCTGCCTCTCAACATGCCATTGTGCCACCCCACTTTGACCACCTGTCACATATCTCCTCCTTGCGAATGCACGACCTCCCTCCACCCCTCCCGTCCCTCTGCCTCAGAGAGAGCTCTGCCTTGCAACATGCCATTGTGCCGCCCGACTTCGACGGCCTGCCGCATGTCCTGACGATGTGCGCCGTCCGCATGGGGCGGCAGGTGGAGGCGAGGCTTGTCCACGAGTGGGTGAGCTACCACTGGCACCTGGGCGCCACCCAATTCCGCCTCTATGATGCTGGCGCCATGGACGAGAGGTGAGAAACCTTGGGCATATCCCAGGACTCGCTTGTATGGGTGGATGCAGGCAGGTGGAGGCGAGGACCGTCCACGAGTGGGTGAGCTACCACTGGCACCTGGGAGCCACCCAATTCCGCCTCTATGATGCTGGCGCCATGGATGAGAGGTGAGTGAAAGCCGTAAATGAGAGGCGAAAAGGTTGTTGGAAGTGCCATGTTTTCGGGAAGAAAGTCTAAGGTGAGGACCATGCACGAGTGGGTGAGCTACCACTGGCACCTCGGGGCCACCCAGTTACGCTGGAGCCATGGATGGTCCAAATTTCCAAAAACCCCTTGAGATCTTATCCTCCAACCTTTTCCTCTTCTTTTTTGTTTCCCTTTCTTTTGCTCTCCCTCCCTCCCTCCCTCCATGCCCACTCAGCCTGGCCACGGTCCTCGAGATCTTCCTGCGCAACGACTCGTTAAAAGTCATCCCCACGCGGCAATTGTCCTTTTACAATATCGAGTACGACGCGCACGTGAGTACCGTACCCTCCCTTTTCCACCTCCTCCACCCTCCCCCTCCCGATTCGCCCTCCTCCACACCCTCTCACCCTCCCTCATCCTCCCTCGGCGCCTTGTTTCTCTCTCCTGCCACCCTTGCCCACCCAATGTCTACCCTTTACTCCCCCTGCCGTCACCCTTCCATCGCACTTTTCCCAAGGCACCCGAGATTGCCTCCTACAGCACACATTTCAGATCTCAGCCGTTGATAGTGCTACCCATCACTAACAACATTTCTCCCTCCTCCTCCCTCTCCCCCCCCCTCTCCCCCCTCTCCCCCCTCTCCTCCCACCCAACTTCCCCCATTGCTTCTCCCTCCCCCCCCCTACCTCCTTCCCCCCTTCCAGTCCCTCAGCGCCCTAGACTGCCTTTACAGCACACACTTCACATCCCAGTGGGTAACCGTGTTACCACCCGACAGTTACCTCTACATCTCCCCCCCACACACCCTCCTCTCCTTCCTCGCTCAATACGCATCCAAGCCCTGGCTAACCTTCGGGGCACACGAGTGGAGCACCGAGAAATGCCGGGAGGGGATCGTATGGGAGAATGTTACGACAGAGGAATGGATGGGGTGGAGGGAGGAGAGTCCGTTTGTGGTGGAGTGGCTGGCGTATAGGCGGAGGGAGAATGTGTGTGAGGGGGGTAGGGAGGATCGGGAGAAGTGCATCGGGAAGGAGGGGCAGCGATCGCACTTCACTAATCCGAGAAAGGTGCGTGCATGAGTGGCATGCATGGGGTTGGGGTGTGTGGGAGCGGAGTGTGTGGGAGTGAGATGTGTGAGAGTGGGGTGTGTGGGAGTGGAGTGAGGGGGCTGTATTGATAGATCATTGATGGCAAGAGGAGTGGATGGGGAGGAAGAAGAGTCTGTTTGTGGTGGAGTGGCTAGTGTATAGGCGGAGGGAGAATGTGTGTGAGGGTTTGGGGGAGTACCCACGTTCACTGGCACTCCCTATAGCACTGTTTCCTTTTGAAACCTGCTATAGCACCACTTCCATTGATACTTCCTACAGCATTATATCAAATAATATCCTAGAGCACATGCTCACTTGTGAATTCCGTTACACCAATTCCATCCGTAGTTCTTATAACAACAATTAAATTGGTATTCCCTTTGCACTATTTCCGTTTGCACATATTCAATACCCCCCATTTCCCCTATTCCGTGCAGGCTGGGGTCTTGGGCTACTATGACGTGAGAGAGACAGACAATGGGGGGGAGCATATTGTGTACAGTGAGATGCACAAGAACATGTATCCGAACCTGCACGAGAGGTCCGAGTTTGGCCGGACCTGCCGAGAGGTCAGTGCTGCAGAGGAATGGGACGGGTGGGTGAGGGACGTTACTGCAGCTGATTACGCCAAGCAGTTAAGGAAAAGCCCCCAGCCAACAGTTTAAGAGCTCAAAAACAGTGTTTCCAGTTCTACATATCCCCTTCTCGTGTTCAGAAGCTAGCCTAGTGCCGAGAGATCATAAAGCCTTCCCAACGATTTTCCTGTTTTTTCTCAAGACTAATCATTTTCTCATACTTCTCTAGTCTAGCACTGCCAAATAGCAGCGAGAGCGGGCGGGAAGAAGGCAGCAGAGTTGAGTCATGGCTGCAGCTGTCTTGGTGCAAACAATCAGGCGAATTACACACTAATCATCTTCTTCATAGTACTCGGAAGCTAGTCTGGCACCACTGAGTAGCAGCGAGGGCAGGAAGAAGGCAGCAGAGATGAGAGCCATGGCGGCAGCAGCCTTGGTGCGGGCACAGAAGGTGTTGAAGGGCGTCGACCCCGTGCAAATGAAGGGACGGCCGGGCAGACCCTGGTCGTTGAGAGTTGTGATGGCAGCCGTGGCAGCACCGGCACTGAGGGCCATGGATAGAGCAATCTGTGAGGGGGGGGGGGAGACACGACATGGAGAGGGAGACACCGGCACTGAGGGCCATGGATAGAGCAATCTGTGAGGGGGGAGGGAAGGGAACACGGGCATGGAGGGGGGAATGCCTTGGGTGCGGGCACAGAAGGTGTTGAAGGGCGTTGACCCTTGAGTCGACTCAAAAGTCAACTCGGGCACAGAAGGTGTTGAAGGGCGTTGACCCCGTGCAGATGAAGGGACGGCCGGGCAGGCCCTGATCGTTGAGGGTGGTCAAGGCAGCTGTGGCAGCACCGGCACTCAGAGCCATGGATAGAGCAATCTGCAGGAGATGTGTGTGTGTGGAAAGAGCGTGGGGTGGGGGAGGGGAGGAACGCGGAGAGGAAAACGTTTGGGTGCAGGCACAGACAGTGTAGAAGGGGGTTGACCCCGTGCAGATGAAAGGGCGGCCTACCAAGCCCTGATCGTTGAGTGGTCAAGGCAGCCGTGGCAGCACTGCCACCGAGGGCCATGGAGAGAGCCAATCGTGGTAGAATGGTAGGGGGGATTCAGGGGTGCAAATGAATGCAAGTGGGTGCAGGTAGGTGTGAAGGGATGACCTGGCAGGCTCCACGTTTCAGGGTAAGAGCGCAGGATAAGGGGATGGCAGTGGACTGTCAGTAGGCTGGGAAGTCACAGGGCTGGGAACGAGGATTGGGGATTGTAGCTCGGGCAGCAGCAGCAGCAGCAGAGGGTTCCAAGCAGAATGGTGTGGGCAGTGGCTGGACCACCAGCAGGGCGGGCATGGTGAAACAGGACGAGGGTACAGCATATGAGCAATGGGAATGGGGGAGGGTAAAGAGCAGGGAGGGGCACTCTATTGTAGCAGGAGCACATGAAACGGGAGGGTGTGCTGGAAGCTGTTAGGCAGCTAGAAGTTTTATATGCTGAAAGCTGGTGTAGCTTACAAAGTCGCCAATCACAATGGCCCAGAGCAGAGCCGTCGAGTGAAGCAGCTTCCCGGAAGCTGCCAGGAAGCAGTCCAGAAGCAGCATCAGCAGCGCCCAGAACCCCGCTATAACCGTCCCCGCTATAAGAAACGAAAAGGCCTGCCAATTGGAGAACCACAACAGCCCTGCACCCGCCCGGATCATCACGGGGAAGGCAGACACAGCAGCTGCTAGCTGCAGGAAGCGAAGCAGAGGGTTGATCCACTGGGCGGCTTTTTGCGGACGTTTGTTGCGGAAACCGGACGGCTCCGGTCGGCCTGCTTGAGTCTCCATGCTGAGTGCTCTGGAGGGAAGGCTGTGAGCAAAGCCGTGTGAGGGATTTTTCTGTTTGTTTATGCTAGCTTCAGAAAAGATAAGAGTGAAGGAGTTCAGGGGCGTCTGGAGAATGAACAGCAGGGGCAGGTGAGCATAGTTTAGATGTTCTGACACCGGTTGCAGTGCAGAGAAAGGAGTGGAGTTGTCAAGCTAGGAAGAAGATGCTACTCAGGAAGGATGGAAACAGAAAAAGCAATTGGGCAAAAGGCTTGCGTAGTCGAAATCTGGAAACTGGAGGACGTATGTGTCTGGGAATGAAGGTAGGTACCTGGTGGAAACGGAATTATGGCCGCCAGACAGCAAGAAACGCCAGAATTGGTGGTGGCAGATGAAGGGTCGTTGAGAGAGGGAGGTGAGGAGGGAAAAACGAGGGGAGGGAGCAGGGAGGGAGAAGAGTGCATGCACAGGCTTGTGAACTTCTGTTCTTGACTAGAGCGTGAATTTTAAAGCGACGAGGCGCGAATTCGGAAGCTACATTCGTCGTAACTCTCGCAAGGGGAACGGTGCGCGCACGCGATGCTTGCCCTGCTGCATTACACGTGTGCTTCGCGCACGAGACGAGCAGCTGTCATTGGGCTAGAGGCTGTGTTACATTCGCAACTTTTAAGCGAGCATATTTTGCGAATGGTAACATGCCCACGGCAGCATGAACCAGCTGTTCGGGCATCACGAGAAGGCTTGCATGGCGTTTGGTTGGGAGAACAAGGAGCTGGTTGGGAGAGTGGAAAAACGGTTGGGATGGGTGTGGAGGAAATTAGATTTCATGTTTCAGGCATCAGTGATAAAACTTCAGTTGCGGTGTGAGCAATTCGTCATTTCTGGACATTCAATTTCCCGTCGTTCTTCGTCTCACCTCTCGTCTGTTTGGACCACAGACGCTCAGCAGTTCCGACCCTCAGCTTAGTAACCGCTCCTATAATCGGCTGTGGCTCTGCTCCCTCATACTTGTTTAGCTCTTTTTCAGGCGCTAGGGAGTTCTGGGGACGATTGTTTACTTTGACTTTGCAATTTTGAAAGTAAACAATTGTAAAGATGGTGCCAGAAGGAGAGAGGCCGGCACCAACGGGGGAAGCAGCGGCTACAGGAACGCTGGCTAAACAGGTGGACGAAAAACGGAGGTCTCCTGATCAATGGGTGTCGGTTTTATTCAGGTCTGTCTCTTCTTGAAGCTAAATTACTCCGACCATCATCATCATGACAGTCTTGAGACGTCTTTTTTTTCTTCATTTGTTGTTGTTGTTGTTGTTTTTTTTTTTTTTTTTTTTTTTTTTTTTTTTGCTTTCTGCAACCGTAAAATCTCAATGCCATCAAGATGCATGCCATACAGCTGATTCAGTCTCTCCTGTGCAGATTCCTTCAGCTGGCGTCATCTGTCATATCCTTTGTAGTCCTTCTCAAAGCAGGCCACCTGGACCTCTACTTCAGAGTAAACATCCACCCCTTAGCGCTATCTGCTTCTTTGTACCATATCTGCACTCCTGTATATCTGTGCTAGGAAATTTCAATAGATGGCCTCGCTTTCAGAGTGGCTATCCATTACCAAGCCCCTACGTGCACTTATTTCCTCGCCTTCTCTATTCTCGTAGTGCTCTGATTATGTTTCAAACAGGCAAAATTCTGGTTCATTTATGCCAGCACCCACTCCTTTTCGTATGAACTTTTTCTTGTTCTTCTTTTTTCTAACGAATGTTGCCTCTTCTGTTTTTTCTTCGTCTCTTGCAGAGGTACCAGGCCTTTCGCTACCTGCTGGCAGGCATGGTCATAACAGCTGCCTGGTCTCTCCTCATGCTGCTGATAGAGCTGCTCCAACTTGCCACAGGCCACAAGCTCAGATCTCTGATTTGGCGAGGGCTCATCTATCTCATGGACATTGTAAGTCCTGCTCCCTTTATCACCCAGTCATTGCTCCCATCACATGCTGAAGTTTACTTCTCTTGTCATAATACTTATTGGCTTGTGTTTTGTTGTTGCATGCTCTGGGGCAGCTTATGGCGTTGGTTGCCCTCAGTGCGGGAGCTGCCGCAGCAGCAGTAACCACGTTCAATGATCGGGGAATAGTGCTGTTCAACTATGCTCCATGTGTTGGACCGTCACCATATTCTAGGTTTTGTTCAAGGACCAAGGCTAGCACTGCATTTGCGTTCATCACATTCTTCTTTTTCCTTCCTCACATCTTGTTGTCTGCCATCTCGTATTTCATTCGCTTCTTCGAAGGTTAGTCTAAGCAAAATATATGTACTGTTGCAATCTGTATGAGTAGAGTGCATGTTTTATTGTGCACAAAACTGGAAAGTACCACGCTAGATTTTTTTCAAAACGCGCAACTCCTTATTGAGCTGTGATATAGCTGCAGAGATTCGTGAATTTCCCGTCGCTGTATGTTCTCCATGTATCGCTCGCATGGAGCACCGGAACCATCTCAATAATCGGAAGGTCTCAAACAACTGACACCCAACAAATCTGCGCGGGCTTTTGGACGGTAGGCGTCAGAAGTGGTTGAGGAACTCGTAATCCGTCTACATACGCGTTACTGCCTTCACCACAATTTTACAACGTCAGCGAATAGAGCTGCTCTAATTCTCCGTCGCTGTTACATCCTTCGGAACTTTCAAGCTTGTTTTGATCAGGCATCTCTTTCGAGCCTTCTTTTCCCAAGAAGCACCTACCACCAATTGAACTTCACTTCGATGCAAGTTCGAGATTTATTAGAGTGAAGGTGGTAGCTCGCGTTTCTTACTACTCGGTTGACCGTCACTGGCACCGAAATCAGGGTCATTTCGGCATTTCGTATTCTCAGTTCCGTAATTTCCTGCTGATCCTCGTTGCGTCTGAACCGAGCTTAATTGTCTTAGCTTAACTCCTAAGATTGCATTTGAGTAATGGCGGAAGCGGCAGCATGGCAGCCGTCGGAGCAGGGAGCAAACGAGATCTGCACGCTGCTGCACGAGTACCTCAAACCAGGGGTCGATCAGGCGCGAATTTTCCAGGAACTGCAGCGATGCAGCCAATTTCCCGATTTCAACAACTATCTCGCGTTCCTTCTGTGCAAGGGAGAGGTGTGCAACCGCCATTCCCGCAATATTTGGGAGATGATAGGTTTATTTGTATTAGCGACTGCATCGCATTCCCTGTTGTGTGGGGGATCTGCGAAGTTGCCGTGCATTGTACGACGGCAAGCAAACAAAAAGTACGAGTACATGCGCGACCCGAGTATATTTGGTTTCTTTATATTTTTCCTACATGTTTCGTTCGAGGCCCAGCCCAGCGTGTTACTTAGTTCATAAGGTTTTCTCAAGTCTTCGGTCTTACTGAAGCCGATCGAGCATTAAGAATCTAGTCATTTTATTTCGAAGGTTTGGTGAATGTAGCATCAGGGAGTTGCAGGTGCAGCTTTAGACATTCGTCAACGTAGCATACGGGGTTGTTAGTCGATCAAAGGTGAATAGTCGTTCATAAATTCAAGTTTGACCGTTTGAACCCTTGGTGCCGAGCCTCATGTCGCTCGGTCGTATCGCGATCCGACTGATTGCTATGCGATCCCGCTTGATCGTTACGCGAATCGATTAACTAATCATTACGCGATCTCGGTCTCGAAGCGTCAGTATGTGCTTATTGCTCACGCGCCGATCGCTTCGCTGCTCGATCCTGCAGCGTGACTGATTTGCTCCCCATGGCTCTCAATCATCGCGCATGTAACACCCTAAGCATCCCCTCTTAGTGACCGTTGTCGTAGTTCCAGGGTGCTTTGCGTAGTCGTTTATTTGCATCATTTTCTAAAAGTTTTATCCCTTTCACAACCCCACTCACCCCTCTCCTCTCCCCCCTCCCCCCTCTCTCCGCGTCCTCCTCTGCAGAACCAACCAGTGGAGGTCCGTCAGAGCGCGGGTCTTCTCCTGAAAAACAACCTGAGAACCGGCTACGAGAACCTGAACCCAGCCTATCTGGCCTACATCAAAGCGCTTTTGTTACCCTGCATAGGCCTCCCGGACCACCAGTTACGCGCTACAGTGGGCACCGTTATATCGTGCATTGTGGAGCAGCAGGGCGGGCTGCACGCGTGGACGGACCTCCTGCAAGTGATGCTGCAGTGTTTGGATTCGAACGACTTCAGCCACATGGAAGGGGCGCTGGATGCTCTGTTTAAGGTCCGTGACTGAATTTGCTTGTATCGAGTCCGTTGGCCTTGTCAATCATGCTGGAGTGTCGTGATTCGAACGATTTCAGCCACGTGGGAGAGGCATTGGATGATCTGTTTAAGGTGTGTTAGCGTAGCCCCCCTCCCCCCCACTTCCCCTCATCACCGTATTCCTGCCGCGCCTGCTCCTTCGTCATACCCACACCTCCCTCCACCCCTCAGATGGACGAGTACACGCCACTGCAGCTCGACAGGGATATCTCTGGCCTGGCAGAATGAAGCACCTTAACATTGATTTTCATCCCCTCTTTCCCAACCCCCCTCTATCCCCCATATACAGATGAGCGAGGACATGCCGCTTCAACTTGACAGGGACATCCCCGGCCTGGCAGAACGCCCCATCACCGTCTTCCTGCCTCATGATCCCCTCGTACCCCCCCCTAAAACCCCTTCCTTCCACCCCCAACCCATCCCAAACCCGACCCCACCCCTCTCTACCCCTCAGATGAGCGAGGTCATGCCGCTTCAACTTGACAGGGATATCCCCGGCCTGGCAGAATGCCCCATCACCGTCTTCCTGCCTCTCTTGTCCCCTCGTACCCCGCCCCAACCCCCCCCCCTTTGAACCTCAACCCATCCTCAACCGAACCCCACCTCTCTGCACCTCTCAGATGAGCGAGGACATGCCGCTTCAGCTTGACAGGGACATCCCCGGGCTGGCAGAGCGTCCCATCACCGTCTTCCTGCCGCGCCTGCTGCAGCAATTCGCCTCGCCGCACGCCAGCTTGAGAAAGATGGCGCTGGGGAGCGTGAACCAGTTCATTCTGCACATGCCGCGGGTGAGTGACGTTCGGGAGTGGGCAGTGAATGAATCACTCACACCACACATGCCGTGAGTTGGGTGGGTGGCCACTGGTCTTTGGGGTCGCGCAGGGCGCATGTAGCGATGTTGCTGCAGCTCTTCGCCTCGCCGCACGCCAGCCTGAGGAAAATGGCGCTGGGGAGCGTGCACCAGTTCGTTCTGCACATGCCCAGGGTGGGTGCTGGGAGGGGAATGCGTCCCTGGTGCTTTGCTGCCAACCAAGGATGGATCCTGGGTGGGTGGGAGGGTAGTGCATCAATAGCTTTCTCGCCTCACCACACGCAAGCCTGAGGGAAATGGCGCTGGGAAGTGTGAACCAGTTCGTTCTGCACATGCCCAGGGAGGGTGCTGGGGAGGACTGGGTGGTTCATAGCACATGCACAGGGAGGGTGCTGGGGAGGACTGGGTGGTTCATAGCACATGCACAGGGAGGGTGCTGGGGAGGACTGGGTGGTTCATAGCACATGCACAGGGAGGGTGCTGGGGAGGACTGGGTGGTTCATAGCACATGCACAGGGAGGGTGCTGGGGAGGACTGGGTGGTTCATAGCACATGCACAGGGTGAGTGAGCTGCACACGCCTCCTCCTTCCAACGCATCTTGTTCTTGTGCTATGTTTTCTGGGATTGGAAGGATTTTGGGGAGCCCTTGGGATCACCCCTACCTCCGCTCCGCTTCTCCCTCTATCCTCCCTCCCCCCCACCCCTTTCAAAGTCCGTTTTGGGGCACCTTAGAAAACAGACTCCTCCTTCACCTCCTCCCGCACCCCCCCCACCACACCTCCAGATGCTGCTGGTGAACATGGACAGCTATCTGCTGGGCCTTTTCGCTCTCGGATCCGACCCGATCCTTGAAGCTCGCTTGGAGGCACCTGATTACAGACTCCTCCTTCCCCCACCTCCCCCCATCCCCCACCATCCGCCCACCTGCAGGTGCTGCTGGTGAACATGGACAGGACAGCTATCTGCAGGGCCTCTTTGCGCTCGGATCCAACCCCATCCCGGAAACCCAATTTGAGACCCCTCAGTGACAAACTCCTCATTTCACCCACCTCTCCCTCTCCAAACCCCATGACCCCCCCGCACCGCCAGGTGCTGCTGGTGAACATGGACAGCTATCTGCAGGGCCTCTTTGCTCTCGGATCCGACCCCATCCCAGAAGTCCGCAGGCTGGTGAGTCCCTAGCACCAGCACTGTTCTCAGCAATGACACCCCCCCGCCCAGCGATGACACCCGCCCCCTCTCCCCTGCGATGACCCCCTTCCAGCAATGACCTCCCCTCCCCCCCCCCCCCCCCCCCCCTCCTCCCCCCCCGCCAGCGATGACCCCCTCTCAGCAATGATTCCCCTCCCCCTCCCCCTCAAGCAATGAAACCCCACCCCTTTCAGAAATGAACCCGCTCCCAGCAATGAGCACAGCACAGGCACCTACAGGAAACTTATAGTTTCTTTCGTCCGTGTCTTGTGCTGTTTTTAACGCCCCTGTCTCGTGCGGTTTTTGATGCCGTTGCTTTGAATATTGTGTTTCAATTGTTGCCCCTGGCGAGAGTCCTCGCCAGTGCTCGCTCCCCTCCTTTTCTCACCACGTCTGTCTGTCCTCTTCCTGTGCTGGAACTCGATATCTGCTGGCAAAATCTGGTCTTACCACGTGTGCCCCCATATCCAGGTTATCCTGTCACCTGTGTATCCTGTGGCTGGTTGTGTGTGACTGCAGGTGTGCTCGGCTGTGGTCCAGCTTATCGAGTTGCAACCTTCCTTCCTCCTGGTAAGCTAAGCACCTTGCTTCTTAAGCAGCTTCCCTCTTAAGCACCCTCCGTCTTAGGCACCTTCCACTGAGTAAGCACGCCTTACCTCCCTAATCCCCCCTCTTCCTCCCTGCTGACCTGTCTCCCCCAGCTGCACATGCGCAATTTGATAGAGCTCATGCTCGCATCCTTTTATTCCCCCAATCTCCTCCTCTTACCCCACCCTCCCCCCCTCTTCCTTCTCCCTCTTCCTATGGTCCAACCCCCCTCCCCCCCCAGCCACGTATGCACAATGTGATCGAGTACATGCTCGCATCCACACGCGTCTGAATCATCCGTCTATATCCCCCTTCCCCTGCTCCACCTCTCTACCCTACCCCCAGCCGCACATGCACAATGTGATAAGAGTACATGTTGGCTTTCACACGAGACTCTGATCCCGATGTGGCTCTCGAGGCTTGCGAGTTCTGGTCCGCTCTTAACCCCACTTTCTCCTTCCCTCCCTGCTCCATCCCGCAGCCGCACATGCGCAATGTGGTCGAATACATGCTCGCATCCACGCGGGACTCTGAAACATCCTTCCTTTTTCCTCTTCCTCCTCCCACACACCCCCCCCCTTGTCCCTTAAAACCCCCTTCCCCCAACCCCCCAGCCGCACATGCGCAATGTGATCGAGTACATGCTCGCCTCCACGCGGGACTCGGACCCTGATGTGGCTCTGGAGGCGTGTGAGTTCTGGTCCGCCTACTGCGAGAACAACCAGTCGCCCGAGATGCTGCGGGAGTTCCTGCCCCAGCTCGTGACGGTACGTGCTTGCAGCTTGTTTCTCCCTGTTTCGTTCCTCCTTCCCTCACACACGCCCACATCCCTCCTCATCCATTGCCGACTCACCTATTTTGTGTACACCATATTTTTTGGAGATGGCTCGATGCATGCAAAGCGAATGTGAGTGAATCTTGCTCGTTCGGCAAGGACTGAGCATCCAGAAGTTCTCCAGGTCATTTCAATCTTCAGCGTTTCATTCCCCGTTCCTTTCTCCCTCCGAATCGGCCCATTACATGTGAGTGCGAGCCATGTCCCCTCGACTATGTGAGCCATGCGAGCCATGTCCCCTCGACTATGTGAGCCATGCGAGCCATGTCCCCTCGACCAAGTATGCAGATGACGATGAGGCTTTCACTGATGCTGAGGGATTCTCAAAGTCCCATTCCTCACCACGCAAGTGTGTGCGTGTGTCGGTGTGTTTGTGTGTGTGTGTGTGTGCGTGCCACTCCTTGCTCCCACACATGTTCTGTTGACGAACATGGTGTCTGCAGATGACGACGAGGCGGTCATCGATGCTGAGAGATTCTCTAAGTTCTATTCCTCACCACAAATCTGTGTCTCTTTGTGCGTACGTACGTGTGTTCCTCTCCGTCCCACACAGGTGCTGTTGACGAACATGGTGTATGCAGATGACGATGAGGCAGTCATCGATGCTACATTGCAAAGTTTCTAGTTCTCACCACGCATGCATGGTTTGTGTGTGTATGTGTGCACGTGTGTTCTTCTCTGCTCTACACAGGTGCTGTTGACGAACATGGTGTATGCAGATGACGATGAGGCAGTCATCGATGCTGAGGTGCGATATGAAGCATGCATGAGGACGCGGATGGAGTCATGCATAGGGCCATGCATGCGGTGATGCATGGGGTGCATGGGGTGTTGTATGGGGTTTATGATATATGCATGGGATGCGTGGGGTGTTGCAAATAGGCTCGGTTTTTTTGGAGCTGTTACCGAGCAAAGCGGTTACAAGAAGCAAGTTAGCGCAGAGTTTTTTTACTGCATGCTTGCTTACACGTTGCTCGTTCAGAAGTCGAATTGACTGACTTTAACGTCCAATCTTGCCTCAAAATTTTGTGTTTCCTGTCTTGCCATGCGACCCCTACGTTTCCTATGATGCTGCTGATGTGCCCCTCACAGGATGAAGGAGATGCACCCGACTCTGATCAGGTGAGAGAAAGACCATGTTTTCCCTGGGTGACCTTGTTTCGTTTCATTTAAACTGTCAGGCTCTCGTCTTTCACTCCTTTTCTTTCCCTCTCCTCACGTTATCTTTCCTTCCTTCCTACATGTCTCAACTGGGCGGTTCTTGAGAACTCTCGAAACACTCAACCACACGCTTCCTCTTCCCTGTGTGTTACTCCCCCCAGGATCTCAAGCCGCGCTTCCATCAGTCCAGGCTGCATGGTGCCAATGGCGAGGTGAGAACGACTTTGATCGGCTGAAGTTGCGTTTGCCGTTAAGAACATCCTTCCTACATCCTCTCATTTGATTGAGCCTGAGATGACTTCAGGGTCCTCAGATTCATTTAGGATCTTGCCTGCAGCTTCCCAGTTAACCATAGTGACTCTATCTGTTCCGCTTGGAAGCAGTGCATCTTATTGGCTCAACCCCTCCCTCCCCCCTCACCCTCTCTCCACACACGTGCGGCGTGCCTACACCTACCCCGGCGTGCCTACACCTACCCTCCCTTATGAGTCGACTCAAAAGTTGACTTATGAGTCGACTCAAAAGTCAACACGTGCGGCGTGCCCTACACCTACCCTCCCTTATCGATAACCAGGATGCGGAGGAGGATTACGATGAGAGTGCGAGCACGTGGAATCTGCGCAAGTGCAGTGCAGCAGGCCTGGACATCCTCTCTCACGTCTTCGGAGATGCGCTGCTGCCCATCCTCATGCCGCTCATCCAGGTGTGTTGCGCTCTCAATCCTTCTAGTACCTCTAGCCCTCTAGGCCTTCTAACCCCTCTAGTCCCTCCAGTCGCTCTGGCTGCTCTAGCCCCTTGATCCCCCCGAGTGCAGTGCAGCAGGTGTGTTTTGAGTCGACTCAAAACACAGAGCGTGTTTTTTGAGAATTCTCAAAAAACACGCTTTGAGTCGACTCTAAACACAGCAGGGCTGCACATCCTCTCGCACGTCTTTGGGAACTCACTGCTGCCCATCCTCATGCCGCTCATCCAGGTGTGTTGCGCTCTCATCACTTCTAGGACTTCTATCCCTTCTAGCCCGTCCTCTAAGCCCTCTATCCCTCTACTCTCTACCCAATCTAAGCCCTCTAGTCCCTTCTTCCCTCTCTCCCTCCATTCACCCCCCCCTCCCCTTCTCTTCGCCCCCACCCTCCAGACGAATCTTGCAGACCGAAGCGAGGGCAAGTGGAAGGAGCGGGAGGCGTCAGTGCTGGCTGTTGGGGCCGTGGCGGAGGGCTGCATTGACGGGCTGCTGCCTGCGCTGCCGCAGATGATCGCGCACCTGCTGCCCCTGCTGGAGGACCCGCACCCGCTGGTTCGCAGCATCACGTGTTGGACGCTGTCGCGCTACTCCAAGTGGATCGCCCGCGCCGTGGATAAGCCCGAGGGGCAGCAGCAGTTTGATGCGGTTTTGACTGGGTTCCTGGCGCGCATTTTGGACAATAACAAGCGAGTGCAGGAGGCTGCGTGCTCAGCGTTCGCCACTCTCGAAGAGGTGAGCAGAGCACACAGCACGTCACATCACAGGCAGGCAGACAGGGATTCTACCTGGAGGACCCGCACCCGCTGGTGCGCAGCATCACGTGTTGGACGCTGTCGCGCTACTCCAAGTGGATCGCCCGCGCCGTTGATAAGCCCGAGGGGCAGCAGCAGTTCGACGCGGTGCTGACTGGGTTCCTGGCAAGGATTTTGGACAATAACAAGCGAGTGCAGGAGGCTGCGTGCTCAGCGTTCGCCACTCTCGAAGAGGTGAGCAGAGCACACTGCACGTCACATCACACGCAGGAAGACAGGCAGGCAGGGATTCTACCTGGAGGACCCGCACCCGCTGGTTCGCAGCATCACGTGTTGGACGCTGTCTCGCTACTCCAACTGGATCGCCCGCGCTGTGGACAAGCCCGAGGGGCAGCAGCAGTTTGATGCGGTTTTGACTGGGTTCCTGGCGAGGATTTTGGACAACAACAAGCGCGTTCAGGAGGCTGCTTGCTCCGCGTTCGCGACACTGGAAGAGGTGAGAGGGGGTGAGGGAGTCCACAACACGTCTCCTAAAGAACCAACTGCATTCCCCCTCTAACACCTTCGTGACCTCTTCCCTTCTCCACGTTTTCACCCCTCACACCCCCTCCACCTGAGCAGGAGGCAGTGGATGAGTTGCCTGATCGCCTGGAGCCCATTCTGCAGCTCCTCTGTTACTGAACCATCTGCTCCTTCCCCTCTCCACTTCCCACCTCCTTCCCCGGTCTCCCCTATCTCTCTCCCCACTTCTCCCTCTCCCCCCCTCCTCCTCACCTGAGCAGGAGGCAGGGGACGAGTTTCCTGATCGCCTGCAGCCCATTCTGCAGCACCTTCTTCTCAAGAGCCATGTGCTCCTTTCCTCCTCTTCCCACCTCCTTCCCCTCTCTCACTAGTCTCTCCCCCCCACTTCTCCCGCACCACCGGAGCAGGAGGCAGTGGATGAGTTGCTGGATCGCCCACTCTGCAGCACCTCTCTTACCGTCGCCTGCTGCCTCACGTGCCCTTGCTGACCCAGCACCTCCCTTCCTCATGTGCCCTCTCCCTCTCCCCTCTCTCCCACCTCTCACCTGAGCAGGAGGCAGTGGATGAGTTGCCGGATCGCCTGGAGCCCATTCTGCAGCACCTGGCCTTCGCGTTCAGCAAGTACCAGGTGATTTCAACAGAGGTTCAGGGATAGCATCAGGTGGGTGGCATCAGGATTTTTCAACAAATCGGGCCTCTGTTTCTCGAGACCGTATGACTGTGCACGCCGGAAGTCTATATATGGAAGGTTCTTGTAATGGACTGTATTGTATGGAACCATGTATTGTAATAGACTGTGTTGTATGGGATCCTCTCTTACTCCTCTCTTACCCCTCTCTTACCCCTCTCTTGCCCCTCTCCCCTCTCTTACCCCTTGCCTTGTTCACAGCGGCGCAACCTGCGCATTCTGTACGACGCAGTGGGGACTCTGGCGGACTGTGTGGGGGGTACGCTGCAAGATGTGAGTGGCTGTATGGGCAGTATGACGCTGTATGGGGGTGGAGTATAGTGCAAGATGTGTTGATTATAGTTGAGGGGCTTGAGATGCATCTATTTCTGAGACGTCTCAGGATTTGTGATGATGGTTATGATACCATGTGCGCTTCTCAAATGCTCCTGCCCCTCTTCGTTCCCCTCCTTTTCCCGTCCCCCCTTCCTCCCCTTGCACCCTTCCTCCCCTTCCCCCCTCCACCCCTCCTCCCCTTCCCCTCTTCTCTCACCAGCCGCGTTACATCGCCGTTTTAATGCTGCCGCTCACAGCCAAGTGGCAGCAGATCGCCGACTTTGATCGCGACATCTTCCCACTCCTCGAGTGCTTCACCTCTCTCTATACCCACCCACCCTGCCCCCCCTTCCCTTCCCCTACCAGCCGCGTTACATCGCAGTTTTAATGCCGCCTCTCACAGCCAAGTGGCAGCAGTTCTCTGACTTCGATCGTGACATCTTCCCACTGCTCGAGTGTTTCACCTCCGTCGCTCAGGCCCTGGGCCCCGCCTTTGCTCCATATGCCGAGACGGTGCTTGCACGCTGCTGCCATATCATTAGAGTGCAGCTGGTAGCACAGGTAAGAGAGGGGATGACGGGGTATGTATTCCCTGTAGAAGGTTGAAATACGGTGACGGGGTTCACATCATGGGTTGTGTGTGGCTCAGGCCCTGGGCCCCACGTTTTACTCCCTATGCTGAGACGGTGCTGGCCCGCTGCTGCCATATCATCAGAGTGCAGCTGGTAGCACAGGTAAGAGAGGGGATGACGGGGTATGTATTCCCTGTAGAAGGTTGAAATACGGTGACGGGGTTCACAGCATGGGTTGTGTGCGGCTCAGGCCCTGGGCCCCACGTTTTTGAGACGTCTCAAAAATACACAGCATGGGTTGTGTGTGGCTCAGGCCCTGGGCCCCGCCTTTGCTCCATATGCCAAGACGGTGCTTGCACGCTGCTGCCATATCATTAGAGTGCAGCTGGTAGCACAGGTAAGAGAGGGGATGGCGGGGTATGTATTCCCTGTAGAAGGTTGAAATGCGGTGACGGGGTTCACAGCATGGGTTGTGTGTGGCTCAGGCCCTGGGCCCCACGTTTTGCTCCCTATGCTGAGACGGTGCTGGCCCGCTGCTGCCATATCATCAGAGTGCAGCTCGTGGCACAGGTATGCAGCGCGGTGGAGAAGGGTGCCATGAGATGAAGAGGGCTATTGTGGGTTGGGGAGGGATATGCGCTCAGGCTCCCGCCTTTTCTCCATAGGCTAATGGATGGTGAGTTTTAGCTCCCATTTTCCTTCCTCCCTCCATGTCTTGGCCCCCCCTCTCCCCCATTCCGCTGCCTTTTTCCCCCCATCGCAGAAGGCCCCAGCAGCAGCGGGGGCGCCATACGACAAGGAGCTCATCGTGTGCGTTCTAGACCTCAGCTCACATCTTTCCCCACCTCTTTTTTGTGCTTTGAACCTCTCCCGTCTCACCCCCTTCACAGAAGGACCCAGCAGCAGCAGGGGCGCCATACGACAAGGACTTCATCGTGTGCGTTCTGAATCTCAGCTCCCGTCCACCCCCCTCTCCTCCCCCAACCCACTGCCCTCTCCCAATCGCAGAAGGACCCAGCAGCAGCGGGGGCGCCATACGACAAGGAGTTCATAGTGTGCGCTCTGGATCTCAGCTCAGGAGTCATCGAAGCCCTCGGATCATCGGTCGAGCCCCTGGTGAGAGATTTGTTATACGTTTCGTTGGATGTATTGTAACCTGTAGGGAATGGTGTGGTTTAGGCGGAATCACTGCTGCTTTATAAGGGAACGTTTGTAAGAAAGGGCAAGTCTCGTGCTTCTCCCCCTTGTCCTGATTATTTGATTCATCTCCCTCTGCCTACTTGATGATCTCCTACTTTCTACCACCAGATTGCCAAGAGCAGCTTGACGCACCTGCTGCTGCAGTGCTGTGCATCATTGACCTGGACGCCAACTTTCTCTGGAGTGAAGGCCTCCACTCTCTATGTCTCTTCTGTGCCTCCTTCACTCCCCACCCCCACCCCCAGGTCGCCAAGAGCAGCTTGACGCACCTGCTGCTGCAGTGCTGTGCATCATTGACCTGGACGCCAACTTTCTCTGGAGTGAAGGCCTCCACTCTCTATGTCTCTTCTGTGCCTCCTTCAATCCCCACCCCCACCCCCAGGTCGCCAAGAGCAGCTTGACGCACCTGCTGCTGCAGTGCTGTGCATCATTGACCTGGACGCCAACTTTCTCTGGAGTGAAGGCCTCCACTCTCTATGTCTCTTCTGTGCCTCCTTCAATCCCCACCCCCACCCCCAGGTCGCCAAGAGCAGCTTGACGCACCTGCTGCCGCAGTGCTGTGCATCATTGACCTGGACGCCAACTTTCTCTGGAGTGAAGGCCTCCACTCTCTATGTCTCTTCTGTGCCTCCTTCACTCCCCACCCCCACCCCCAGGTCGCCAAGAGCAGCTTGACGCACCTGCTGCTGCAGTGCTGTGCATCATTGACCTGGACGCCAACTTTCTCTGGAGTGAAGGCCTCCACTCTCTATGTCTCTTCTGTGCCTCCTTCACTCCCCACCCCCACCCCCAGGTCGCCAAGAGCAGCTTGACGCACCTGCTGCTGCAGTGCTGTGCATCATTGACCTGGACGCCAATGATGTGAAGCAGAGCTCGCTCGCTCTCCCGCATCCCTCTGTGCCGCCCTCACTCGTCCCGCATCCCTCTGTGCCGCCCTCACTCGTCCCGCATCCCTCCGTGCTCTCTTCACTACCCACCACCACCAGATTGCCAAGAGCGGCTTGACGGACCTGCTGCTGCAGTGCTGTGCTGTGGACGCCAACGACGTCAAGCAGAGCTCCCTCGCCCTACTGGGTGACCTCACCAAGGTGTGTTTAGCCCGGCCGTTTGTGCTAAGGCTTATCAGGTAATTCAATGCAGTGCAGTGCAGTGCTGTGCGGTGGACGCCAACGACGTCAAGCAGAGCTCTCTCGCTCTCTTGGGTGACCAGACCAAGGTGTGTGTTGCTTTGCTAGACTGTCTGTCTGTGCTAAGAGTGTAAGACACGTTCCACACACTGCAGTGCTGTGCTATGGAATGGACGCCACGCCAGCAACGCCAAGCAGAGCTCGCTCGCTTGCTTGGGTGACCTCGCCAAGGTGTGGCGACGACTTTCTTTCATCCCATGTGCTGCATGGGAGGCTTGCATGGTACAGATTGCTGCATGGTGGCAATGCCTCGTTCGTTCAATCCATCCTTGGTATGGTACAAACAGCTGCATGGCTTGTTAGTCTTGTGCGCACGATCTCTTTTGTCCACACCCCCCCTCCTCCCCCTCCCCTCCCCATCTTTTCCCTCCCACCGATCGTGTGTGCAGCAGGTGCGGCCGCGCCTCAACGACTTCCTCTCAGTGTGTGTGGCAGGCAGAATACATGTTAACATGCTTGTGCGCCAATCTCTCTCCCTCCATCTTTTCCTCTCCCCCTCTTCACCAGTCGTGTGTGCAGCAGGTGCGGCCGCGTCTCAACGACTTCCTCTCGGTGTGTGTGGCCCAGCTGAACGGCCCCGAGTCCTTTGTACACGAGCGGATCTCCGTCGCCAACAACGCGTGCTGGGCGCTGGGCGAGCTGGCAGTCAAGGTATGCTCCCAAGCCTGGTCGTGGTTGGTGAGGGGATGGCGGTCTGAGGTGGTGTGGTGGGGGGTGGGAGAGCTGGTGGAAAGGGGCAGCTGAACGACCTGGAGCCTTTGTGAACGGCCTGGAGCCTTTGTGAACAGCCCGGAGCCTTCGTGAACAGCCCGGAACCTTTTTGAACGACCTGGAGCTTTTTTGAATGACCTGGAGCCTTTTTGAACGACCTGAAGCCTTTTTGAACGACCTGGAGCCTTTTTGAACGACCTGGAGCCTTTTTGAACGACCTGGAGCCTTTTTGAACGACCCGGAGCCTTTGTGCTCGAGTGCATCTCAGTCGCCAACAATGCATGCCGGGCTCTGAAGATAGTCTCTGGCAGGAATTGAGACAAATAAGGGGGATGGGGGGGGGGGGGGGGGGGGGGGGGGGGGGGGGGGGGGGGGGAGGGGTTGATCCCATTGACTCAGTTGACCCGTTTGACCCTGTTAGCCCATCCCAACAACTATTGTTTGTAATCAGCCTGGTTTCTCTGTGACCCTGCTGACCCCAATTGCCCCATTGACTTGGTTGACCACCCTCAACAGGTGTGACAGATCTCGCCAGCAGTGGTGCCAGTGCTGAACAACATCGTGCCGTGCTAGCACCCTGGAATCCCTGTATTGACCCCATTGATCCCCATTGACCTGCTGACCCCGTTGACCCCATTGACCTGTTGACCCCATTGACCTTATCTACCCCGAACAGGTGCGAGAAGAGATATCGCCAGCCGTGGTGCCAGTGCTGAACAACATCGTGCCTGTCCTCACCTCCGCACAGAACCCACGGGTGAGTGTAACTGCCTACTAGCGTGACTATACTGACTGGCTGGCATGACTGCATTGACTTGTTTGACTCGGTCCTGAACAACATCGTGCCTGTCCTCACCTCCGCACAGAACCCATGGGTGAGTGCTGTGCTGCTCTGGCTAAAACGATTCACTTCGCTGCATTGACTTGCTTGACTTGCTTGACTCGGAGCTGAACAACACTGTGCCTGTCCTCACCTCTGCACAGAACTCGCGGGTGAGTGAGTGCTTTTGAGACGTCTCAAAAGTCTTTTGAGGCGTCTCAGAACTCGCGGGTGAGTGAGTGCTTTTGAGACGTCTCAGAACTCGCGGGTGAGTGAGTGCTTTTGAGACGTCTCAGAACTCGCGGGTGAGTGAGTGCTTTTGAGACGTCTCAGAACTCGCGGGTGAGTGAGTGCTTTTGAGGCGTCTCAGAACTCGCGGGTGAGTGAGTGCTTTTGAGACGTCTCAGAACTCGCGGGTGAGTGAGTGCTTTTGAGACGTCTCAGAACTCGCGGGTGAGTGAGTGCTTTTGAGACGTCTCAGAACTCGCGGGTGAGTGAGTGCTTTTGAGGCGTCTCAGAACTCGCGGGTGAGTGAGTGCTTTTGAGGCGTCTCAGAACTCGCGGGTGAGTGAGTGCTTTTGAGGCGTCTCAGAACTCGCGGGTGAGTGAGTGCTTTTGAGGCGTCTCAGAACTCGCGGGTGAGTGAGTGCTTTTGAGGCGTCTCAGAACTCGCGGGTGAGAGAGTGCTTTTGAGGCGTCTCAGAACTCGCGGGTGAGTGAGTGCTTTTGAGGCGTCTCAGAACTCGCGGGTGAGTGAGTGCTTTTGAGGCGTCTCAGAACTCGCGGGTGAGTGAGTGCTTTTGAGGCGTCTCAGAACTCGCGGGTGAGTGAGTGCTTTTGAGGCGTCTCAGAACTCGCGGGTGAGTGAGTGCTTTTGAGGCGTCTCAGAACTCGCGGGTGAGTGAGTGCTTTTGAGGCGTCTCAGAACTCGCAGGTGAGTGAGTGCTTTTGAGGCGTCTCAGAACTCGCGGGTGAGTGAGTGCTTTTGAGGCGTCTCAGAACTCGCGGGTGAGTGAGTGCTGTGTGTGCCTCTCTGATTAGAGACACTGTGCCTCTCTGATTAGAGACACTGTGCCTCTCTGATTAGAGACACTGTGCCTCTCTGATTAGAGACACTGTGCCTCTCTGATTAGAGACACTGTGCCTCTCTGATTAGAGACACTGTGCCTCTCTGATTAGAGACACTGTGCCTCTCTGATTAGAGACACTGTGCCTCTCTGATTAGAGACACTGTGTGACTCGGTCCTGAACAACATCGTGCCTGTCCTCACATCGCCACGAATTCAAGGGGTGAGTGCTGTGCTGAGATGACTTGTTAGATCCTTTGGAGTGTCCTGCCATAACTGCACACACTGGTAACCGTTCCTTTCCCAACCTTCTTCATCAACACCCCCCCCCCCCCCCCCCCCCCCCCCCCCCCCCCCAACCCACCCCTCACCCCCCCTTCTTTTAGGGCACCAATCTAGCGCTGGTGGAGAACTGTGCCATCACACTGGGTCGCTTTGCGTGGGTGTGCCCTGACGTGCTGGCGCCCCTCGCGGCCAGGCCTTCTCCTCACCCCTTCCCTTCCTTCCCCTTCCGCCGCTTCTTCCCCTTTCCCCTCTCCCTCCCCCTCCCTTCCCCCCCCAGGGCACCAATCTAGCGCTGGTGGAGAACTGTGCCATCACGCTGGGCCGCTTTGCGTGGGTGTGCCCTGACGTGCTGGCTCCCCAGGCCTCTCACTTCCTGGTTCCATTCCTCACCACGCTCAAAGGGTGAGTCAAGTGCCGCCCTGCCGTGTTGCCCGTGCTGGTGTGCTGCATGGTGTGCCCTGATGTGCTGGCGCCCCAGGCCTCTCACTTCCTCGTACCCTTCCTCACCACGCTCAAAGGGTGAGCATCAAAAGGCACCTACACTTCGAGTGTGAGTCTAAAACAGTGCGCACCCCCACGCGCTCCCACGCACCCCTTTCTCTATCTCCCACCTGGTCCCACCCACCCCTTCCCCTATCTCCCCACCGGCCCCACCCACCCCTTCCCCTATCTCCCCACCGGTCCCACCCACCCCTTCCCCTATCTCCCCACCGGCCCCACCCACCCCTTCCCCTATCTCCCCCCCGGCCCCACCCACCCCTTCCCCTATCTCCCCACCGGTCCCACCCACCCCTTTCCCTATCTCCCGACCCGTCTCACCTATTCCTTTCCCTCTCTTCGACCCACTCCCAACCACCCAATTCCCTCTCTCCGCCACGCTCCCAACCACCCAATTCCCTCTCTCCGCCACGCTCCCAACCACCCAATTCCCTCTCTCCGCCACGCTCCCAACCACCCAATTCCCTCTCTCCGCCACGCTCCCAACCACCCAATTCCCTCTCTCCGCCACTCTCCCAACCACCCAATTCCCTCTCTCCGCCACGCTCCCAACCACCCAATTCCCTCTCTCCGCCACGCTCCCAACCACCCAATTCCCTCTCTCCGCCACGCTCCCAACCACCCAATTCCCTCTCTCCGCCACGCTCCCAACCACCCAATTCCCTCGCTCCGCCACGCTCCCAACCACCCAATTCCCTCTCTCCGCCACGCTCCCAACCACCCAATTCCCTCTCTCCGCCACGCTCCCAACCACCCAATTCCCTCTCTCCGCCACGCTCCCAACCACCCAATTCCCTCTCTCCGCCACGCTCCCAACCACCCAATTCCCTCTCTCCGCCACGCTCTCAACCACCCAATTCCCTCTCTCCGCCACGCTCCCAACCACCCAATTCCCTCTCTCCGCCACGCTCCCAACCACCCAATTCCCTCGCTCCGCCACGCTTCCAACCACCCAATTCCCTCTCTCCGCCACGCTCCCAACCACCCAATTCCCTCTCTCCGCCACGCTCCCAACCACCCAATTCCCTCTCTCCGCCACGCTCCCAACCACCCAATTCCCTCTCTCCGCCACGCTCCCAACCACCCAATTCCCTCTCTCCGCCACGCTCCCAACCACCCAATTCCCTCTCTCCGCCACGCTCCCAACCACCCAATTCCCTCTCTCCGCCACGCTCCCAACCACCCAATTCCCTCTCTCCGCCACGCTCCCAACCACCCAATTCCCTCTCTCCGCCATGCTCCCAACCACCCAATTCCCTCTCTCCGCCACGCTCCCAACCACCCAATTCCCTCTCTCCGCCACGCTCCCAACCACCCAATTCCCTCTCTCCGCCACGCTCCCAACCACCCAATTCCCTCTCTCCGCCACGCTCCCAACCACCCAATTCCCTCTCTCCGCCACGCTCCCAACCACCCAATTCCCTCTCTCCGCCACGCTCCCAACCACCCAATTCCCTCTCTCCGCCACGCTCCCAACCACCCAATTCCCTCTCTCTGCCACGCTCCCAACCACCCAATTCCCTCTCTCCGCCACGCTCCCAACCACCCAATTCCCTCTCTCCGCCACGCTCCCAACCACCCAATTCCCTCTCTCCGCCACGCTCCCAACCACCCAATTCCCTCTCTCCGCCACGCTCCCAACCACCCAATTCCCTCTCTCCGCCACGCTCCCAACCACCCAATTCCCTCTCTCCGCCACGCTCCCAACCACCCAATTCCCTCTCTCCGCCACGCTCCCAACCACCCAATTCCCTCTCTCCGCCACGCTCCCAACCACCCAATCCCCTCTCTCCGCCACGCTCCCAACCACCCAATTCCCTCTCTCCGCCACGCTCCCAACCACCCAATTCCCTCTCTCCGCCACGCTCCCAACCACCCAATTCCCTCTCTCCGCCACGCTCCCAACCACCCAATTCCCTCTCTCCGCCACGCTCCCAACCACCCAATTCCCTCTCTCCGCCACGCTCCCAACCACCCAATTCCCTCTCTCCGCCACGCTCTCAACCACCCAATTCCCTCTCTCCGCCACGCTCCCAACCACCCAATTCCCTCTCTCCGCCACGCTCCCAACCACCCAATTCCCTCGCTCCGCCACGCTTCCAACCACCCAATTCCCTCTCTCCGCCACGCTCCCAACCACCCAATTCCCTCTCTCCGCCACGCTCCCAACCACCCAATTCCCTCTCTCCGCCACGCTCCCAACCACCCAATTCCCTCTCTCCGCCACGCTCCCAACCACCCAATTCCCTCTCTCCGCCACGCTCCCAACCACCCAATTCCCTCTCTCCGCCACGCTCCCAACCACCCAATTCCCTCTCTCCGCCACGCTCCCAACCACCCAATTCCCTCTCTCCGCCACGCTCCCAACCACCCAATTCCCTCTCTCCGCCATGCTCCCAACCACCCAATTCCCTCTCTCCGCCACGCTCCCAACCACCCAATTCCCTCTCTCCGCCACGCTCCCAACCACCCAATTCCCTCTCTCCGCCACGCTCCCAACCACCCAATTCCCTCTCTCCGCCACGCTCCCAACCACCCAATTCCCTCTCTCCGCCACGCTCCCAACCACCCAATTCCCTCTCTCCGCCACGCTCCCAACCACCCAATTCCCTCTCTCCGCCACGCTCCCAACCACCCAATTCCCTCTCTCCGCCACGCTCCCAACCACCCAATTCCCTCTCTCTGCCACGCTCCCAACCACCCAATTCCCTCTCTCCGCCACGCTCCCAACCACCCAATTCCCTCTCTCCGCCACGCTCCCAACCACCCAATTCCCTCTCTCCGCCACGCTCCCAACCACCCAATTCCCTCTCTCCGCCACGCTCCCAACCACCCAATTCCCTCTCTCCGCCACGCTCCCAACCACCCAATTCCCTCTCTCCGCCACGCTCCCAACCACCCAATTCCCTCTCTCCGCCACGCTCCCAACCACCCAATTCCCTCTCTCCGCCACGCTCCCAACCACCCAATTCCCTCTCTCCGCCACGCTCCCAACCACCCAATTCCCTCTCTCCGCCACGCTCCCAACCACCCCTTTCCCTGTCCCCGCCCCGCTCCCACCACCCATTTCCCTATCCTGCTCCCCCATTCCCCCGCCTTCCTCAGAATCCGTGATGACGTCGAGAGAGGAGGCATTTAAAGGGCTGTGCGCTGTGGTGACTTGCGCTCTCATTCTTCTCTTTCTCCTTTTGAGGCGCCTCAAAAGTCTGTGCGCTGTGGTGACTTGCGCTCTCATTCTTCTCTTTCTCCTACCTCTCTTCCCCTGTCTCCGCCCCTCTCCCCCCTCTCCTTCTCCCCAGAATCCGTGATGACGTGGAGAAGGAGGAGGCATTTAAAGGGCTGTGCGCTGTGGTGAGTTCTGGTGCTGCTGCTTGTGCTATGGGTGCTGCTGTGCTGTTTGCTGTATACCTGTGCTGTGTGAGTTGTTCTGTGCCATGTGCTGTGTGCGTTCTTCTGTGCCATGTGCTGTGTGCGTTCTTCTGTGCCATGTGCTGTGTGCGTTCTTCTGTGCCATGTGCTGTGTGAGTTGTGCTTCTGCGGTGCTGTTCTCTGTGCTGTGTGCTGTGACTTTTGGCCATTCCAGGATTGCACCGTTTCTTCTTTCCCCTGCTCCTCCAATCACTCCACATGCCCCGCTTTCTTCAACCCTCCCCTGTGTCTCCCCCCAATCTCCCTTTCTCCTCTTTCTCACATATCCCCCATGTTTCCTCCCCCCCTAATCCACCCACACACCAGCTGCGCCTGAACCCTATGGCAGCATCCGCAACCATGCACCTGCTGCTGTTTCTCCCCCTCTTACCTTTCCCATCCATCTCCCTACCTTCCCCACCCCTACCCGCATCTCTCCCCTTCCCCCCCCACGCACCAGCTGCGCCTCAACCCCATGGCAGCATCCACGGCCATCCACCCGCTGCTGCTCGCCATTGGCAGCTGGAGGGTATGTCACTAGTCAACTGAATGATCAACTAGCTGCACATCTGAAGGAACTGATGTCTAGCTGTCAAACCATTTCGCCCTAGTTTCTCTGCCTCTCCCAAGCTTACAAACCCTCCTGTTACACGCGCACACACTCACATGCACCTGCGCGTGGGAAGGCAGGCACACGCACACACTCACTCGCACGCATGCACACGCACTCGCATCCACACGCACTCACATCCACAAATAGTCACTCTCAAATCAACCTCCAGGCAAATTAACTTATGTGCAATCCGCTCACCCCTTTTCCTACCCATCCCCCTTATTGGCATCCTCAGGAGATCCACAGTGCAGAGCTGAAGGCTGAGATTCATCAGCTCCTTCAAGGCTTTAAGCAGGTGGGTTAAAAATAATGGGAAATAACCTGGCAGGTGTGTTAAGCCTAAACTGCAATGGGGGACCACATGAGTCTGAGGCTTGTGCCACACTCTCTTCTCTCATCCCATGCACGTGTTTTATGCGTTGATTACCCACAGATGATAGTGGAGGCAGGCATGTGGGATCAAATTATGATCTTTCACCTGATCCTTCCCCTTCCTCATGCACCTATTTGACCACAGATGCTAGTGGAGGCAGGCACGTGGGATCAAATCCTGCAATCTACCGACAAACCGCTGCTGCAGAAGCTCAGTGCGACGTACGGGATCTAGCTGTGCTGATGTGGCGGCTGACGTGGCAGCTGATGTGGTGGCTGATGTGGCAGCAGGCGTGTGACACGTTTTGTTGTCAGTATGGATCAGATTACAGGAGAACAGTAGTAGCAGTGAGCAGCTGCGAAGCTGCCAGGAAGCTGCATCCGTGAAGCTTCCAAGTAGCAACATAAATCAGCACAGCAGGCCTTATTACACAGCACAAGCGGCCTCTTGTGTAAGGTCACGAAGCGCCCGACAAGATTTAGGGTATTAGATCAGCAGCAGGTAGAGCAGGTGGGCAGGCTGCAGTCTTCCACTAAGCAGGGAGGTGAGCAGCAGAAGCAGCAGCAGCAGCACTTGACAAGATCTGATCCTGATTATATTTGATGCAGCTACGCCCCCAACTCATTCCCTCGCCGACCTTCCCCATTCACACGCCTCGCTACACTACCGTTTTTCATCATCCCTCCAGTTTCGTTCAACCATCACTCCCATCACCCATTTACACCCATCCATACCCATCCCCATTGACCACCCATACGGGGGCGTGCTGACATCATCCTGACATCATAAAGGAGCACTCTCTGACCAATCAGGGAGCAGCCGGAGGAAGCGTGGTGGGCAGCGCATTGCTGCTGCCATTGCATCCGCCGACCAATCATATCGCGCCTGCATCATCTACCACATAGGAGGCCACGTCAGATGCTGCGCGTGCAATCCCATGCCCGTGGTGCACGATACAACGTTGGGTTAGTCTTCCGCAGAATTGGTGTTGTGGGTTATGCACCCATGTTATGGTAAAAGATTGCTTTTTGTATGTTCTGGTGTGGTTGGTTGGTCTCTACTCCTTGATAGCTGGAAAGTATAGTTTCTTTAGGGTTTGCTAGCTTTGCTAAATCAGTCTGTTCCTTGCATAAAATTGCAGGAACATGAATTTGATTGTCATGTAGGTGTGCTTCTGTTTGCAGCAGGTTTGGCATTTAATATTGCCAAGCTGGATCCTCCCTTTCTAAGCCTTGCGTTAAGGATTTTCTGTGGAGTTGATTACATGAACGACGGATGTTATCGAAAGCAAGACTGATGCAGCTCGTATCGAAGTATGCGCGGGTACTTGGGGCAAGGACTTGAGAATCGCGGTGCCTTCGCCAATGCCAGCCGTCGCTAGTGGTTGTCATTGTTTGAGACTTGGCCAGTTTTCAGGACTCCACTATTTTTCGTGGAGTTATTAGCCAGGTTTGATGGAATTTGCCAAATTTCATGGATAGATTGTATCCTTTGACTGCGCTTCACCGCACCTTCTTTGTCCCTACCCAACCCACACTACCATTGGCGACTGAAAACTGAGACCAAACGGACAGATGACTGCTGGCGGGAACGCCGGTGGTCTCTCGATCCGACGCGACCCTCACTCGTCCCGCCTGCGACAGTTTAGAATCGGGCGCCAGTCAGTGCGTGGCTATTTGGTGAGCGACTGTTTTGAGTAGAATGGCGTTGCCTGGAACCGCCATTCACCCCCCTTAGCGTGGCTTGGGGGGGCTTTCCTCCAATCAGTGGCCTCCTCACAGAATCTTGTAATGCCTCCCCCACCCCTCCCCCACCCCCTCCTCGTTCTCGCTCGCTCGCGAGCAACGTGCATGCGATGCGATGCGACTCTCGCCGCAGAGACTGAGGGGACCCTGCAACGACTTAAGATTATTCGGCGATCGACTTCAGCGGAGTCTTTTACCAAAGAGCCGCAGCAAATGTTATGCTGGGGTATCGCTGACTGCGACGGCCGAATAGTCCTTGCGTTTTCTCGAGCTTCAAAGCTTCCGTCAAGGTCTCAGATCGCTTATTATAAATGCGGCTGATTTATCATAACCCCGCACACCTACCGGTACCTCCACACCTACTGCCAGCTAGCAGCTGATTTTGTCATCGGCGATGGCGGCGATTGTGACGGATGATGATTTCTCGAGCCTTGTTCTGGAGAATCGGCGTCCCGTTGTCGTCCTTTTCTACGCTTCGTGGTCTGGTCCGAGCAGAATGCTTGAATCCGTGATCGATCGCCTCGCTGAGGAATATTCAGAAAGGGCGGCCTGTTTCAAACTAGACACCAACGCAAACCCCCAGTCGGGCTCCAATTATGGCGTCCGCAGCCTTCCGACGGTTATAATCTTCAGCAGTGGGAGCGAGCGTTAGACGATCATTGGCGCCGTGAGTTTTGGGACGCTGCAACAGGCCCTTGAGAACGTCTTATGAGGTTGTTCTTCGTGCCCTGCTGTCGTCGGTCTGTTCTTAGGATTTGTCATATGTGTTGATAAAACTGTTATCAGTTCTTGCATCACTCCTCGAAAATCTCTCTACCGCCTCTTTTTTTCGAAGTGGCTAGCCAGTACGTTTCTGGTACCGTTGCAAAACAGTTTTTTTTTTTTTTTTTTTTTTTTTTTTTTTTTTTTTTTTTTTTTTTTTTTTTTTTTTTTTTTTTTGCTTTTGTTTTTAAGGAGGTGAAATCACATTATCCGTTGCAAAACAGTGAAGAACGAAGAACCGTTTTAGGGTGCATTCCTGCGGGGAAACTTGTGTCTCAATCCCCGTTTTCCCGAGTCGCGTCTGTAAATTTGCCAAATGTTGTGTCACAAACAACAAGTGTATCGCGACTCTAGGCGACCCGGCAAAATGTACAGTTGTGCGCATTTGATTGGGTGACACAAATGACTGTACATCCCTTTCTTCAACCGCTTGGCTGGGGTGTGGTTTCGACGCGCGGGATTTTTTCCCGCACGAAATTGGCACTGCAGTCTGTCCAGGTGCATTGAATTTCGAGCCGCGTGCGAATTTTTCACATTGACGAGTTGGATTACAATTAGTCAGCGACGTCAGCGCGTTTCGTAATACAGTTATGGTCGCGGAAAGGCGACTCGCAATTGGGACACACTACAGTTCATGCTGTTTTTGTGTGTCACAAAGCGATTGAGACATTTGTGTCTCCACAGGAATGCACCCTTAAACTGTTTAGAACCAGCCCCAGCCAAGAGTGCACTGCAAATGTATGAGTTGCCTGAAGTTGTGTACGTTTATCCCCCCCTATGTAAGACCTAACTGTAGGAAAAAGAAATTGAGGCGTTAGCAATTTGGTTCTGTCCTAATCTCAAATGTCTCTCATTGAGCTTCTGAAATTTGTTAGAACCTTAGCATCACATGCTACTCAACATCAAAACTGGATCCCGGGTAACAAAGCAGCAACAGGGAGGCCAGCCAGGCAGTAAAAAGCCTCTAAAAGCAAATATTTTTTTGCAACCAACGAGTAAGCCTTGCCTTGCAACCAACGAGTAAGCCTTGCATCAACAAGTCTTGCATGTGCTGCTAATCCTTTGACTTGGCAGGAAGCGAGACTGTTTTGACTATGGGTACGGCATCGTCGTCCTTGCTTGCAGGTTTCTTTCCCCCCTTGTACTTCTGCACATGCAAGTGAGGAAAGGCCAGGAGGGCACAAAATGAGTTTTCAGGCACCTCAGGAGTTATCGTCCTGGTAGGTAGAAGGCTTCTTTTCCCCCTTGTACTTCTGCATGTGGCAGGACAGGAGGGCCAAAGGGGATACTGTAGTACAGAGTGGGTTTTAAAGTGATCTGAAAACCACCTTCCTCGTATTTGAATTCAACTGAACCCAAATTCTCTTTAGCAAACGAAATAGCATGCGCTTGGTTGCCAAAAAGGAACAGGACGAATTTCTATAGTAACTGCGTTTGTATTTGTATTTGTATATGTAGAAGTGTTCGTATTTGTACCTGTATTTGCGCTTTTCTTTGTACGGGTGTTTGTACTTCAACATAACTCAATATGCATTCAAGAGCACGCACCTGCTTGCCGAAGGAGAAGGGGACGTATTTGTATTTGATCATGTGGCGGATCTGGCGCTTCATGGTGAGCACGAAGAGCGTGAACCAGTACATGAGCAGGATGGGCCAGAACACCGGCACGTCAAAGATGGGGAAGAAGGTCATCGTGAAGGCAACGAGAAACGCCTTGGTCATTGCGTACCTGTGGAGAGGGGGGGAGGGAGGAGGGGAAAAGAGTGGGGGTGGGAGGAAAGGAGGGAACACTGGCACGTCAAAGATCGGGAAGAAGGTCATCGTGAAGGCGACAAGGAACGCCTTGGTCATGGCGTACCTGTTGGGGAGGAGAAAGAGTGGGGTAGGGGAACCAGTACATGAGCAGGATGGGCCAGAACACCGGCACGTCAAATATGGGGAAGAAGGTCATTGTGAAGGCGACGAGGAATGCCTTGGTCATTGCGTACCTGAAAGAAGAAGTGGGGAGGGAGGGAGGAGGGGGATGGGAGGGAAGGGGGAGAAAGGGAGGGATGAGAGAGGAGGAAACAACAGGCACGTCAAAGATGGGGAAGAAGGTCATCGTGAAGGCCACCAGGAGCGCATTGATTATCGCGTACCTGGAAAAGGGGGGGTGGAAGAGGGGGTGTGGATTGTTATGTAGGAGACTAAGAGAGGGTAGGGGTGTTGGGAGGAGAGAAATGGGGAAGATGAGTGTGGATGGAAGAGGAGTGTGGATGGGGGCATGTGGATGGGGAGGTGTGGATGGGAGAGGAGGAGAATGGGAATGAGGAGAGGAGGGAACACTGGTCAATGTGAATGTCATGGTTTATGCCTTGGTCACCTGGGGATTTGGGAAGAAAGAGAAGGAGGGGAGGGGGGAGTGGGGGAGGAGGGGAGGGAAGGGAGAGAGGGTTGGTTGTGTGGAGAAGTGAGGAGGGGAAGCACGGTTGGAAGAGAAGGAGAACAGGATGAGTAGAGGAAGGGAAAAGTGGGGCGGAGAGGAGAGGGGGTGGAGGGAGGGGGTTGTGGGGAGAGGCGGGGGGTGGTGGAAATGTGGAGAGTGAGAGTGTGCATGTGAGTGGAGAAGAATAAGGATGAGGTGAACAAGGACAATTGTTCAACGCGAAAAAAGGTCAGTGTGATTGCACAAGACAGGGAAGAAATAGGTGTGGGGGTGTTGGGGTGGGGGGGTGGGGAGGTGGTGAAGAGGAGGGAGGCAGCAGTGAGAAATGCACAATGAGAGCCAGCGACCGAAGGAAAGGAACGGGAGGTGGGGGAAGGAAGTAGGGGGTGGGAGATACAATGCGGGAGGGCGATAAAACAGAGGAAACGACAGCGAAGCATAAACGCCCAGGTATGGTCATCACGAGGAAGCAGCAGCAGCAGCAGGCAGCAGCAGCAGCAGCAGCAGCAGGCAACCCTAACCTAGACCGCAACCCAATCCTCTCGACTCACCAGAACTTGAACTCTGGTAGCCGTCGGATGAAGGGCTTGAACTCATCGTTGCCCTTGGATGGCAGCACTGGCCCTTCAGCCTCGGGATCCACTTGAGGGGACAGGAACCCGATGAGCAGATTCAGCATGTAGATGCCCAGTCCATACGTGATTATGTAATATCCGTGTAGGAAAAACACGCGTATGGTGTAGATTAGCGCAATGACGAGTGTAGCGATCCATCTGTAACCATAGTGCGGGGTCGATTTATCGAGGAAGTACTGTATTCGGAAAGGGGGAATGCGTGAGCACGGGGAACACGGGAAGGGATGGACGGATTATGAACGCGGTGAGTCATCTGTCAGTTATGTCAGGAACGGATAAGATTCATTTCAACTTTCAGCAACGAAGGATCAAATACGGTCTAGCTTCAGAAGGTGTAAAAGCACAATGCGAGAAAACGCAAGCGGTGTTGGCCACCAACATCGCCCGCTCATTTAAGCGACGGAATGCCGCTAGCGAGCACGAGCTTGAAACAGAAAAGTTATCGCAACGACGCGCCTGGAAGCCGTTATGTTGCGCAGAGCATCGCGTGTTCAAATCCGTGGATTTATGGCGAGCACGCACCTGAATCCGTTAACTTATGGCGAGCACGCACCCGAATCCGTTAAGTTATGGCGAGCACGCACCTGAAACCGTTAAGCTATGTCGAACACGCACCTGAAACCGTTAACTTATAACGAACACGCACCTGAAACCGTTAAGCTATGTCGAACACGCACCTGAAACCGTTGAGCCAAAACGGCTCCGTTTCCTCCTGCCAACATCGAGGATCCCGCTGAATCTGACCGTCAAAATGCGGATCCAACGGTCACGAACTTCTACCAAATCCGATGGCACAGCAGCAGCAGTAGCAGCAGCAGAAGTCTAAAAAATAGAAACTCCTCCCTCGTAGCAGCACGACCTAATGGGGTTGGAGACAGTGCCGCGAGTTTAGTCGCCGAGCGAGGAGCGATCAGCTCGGACCTGATCCGATAATAACGAGTTGCTAACGATCACGCGGGATCAGCGTTGGTACCAACGCGAGATTCGCGAAATCGACAACGCGGGATCAGCAAACCGAAATCAACAACGCGAAGGTAAGGCTAATAGACCGGATGAGGATCTGTTACTGAAGTCTCTCTTGCTTGACCTGCTGCTGTTGATGAATCGGGCCCGGCAGTCTGCTAGCTGAAGTCTAGGAAAAGGTTCTCAGCAACTCAGCAGCAACTCTGTCTAGCAAACCAAGAAACTGTTCTCGAGGTGACAAGGAAGAAGAATGGGTTGAATCGGTTCGGGTGGCTGGAATTCATCTGAGCAGCGGCTGACGTGACACGAGGCAATCCCTGAGGAGTCTCGACAGTTGTGTTTGGCGGGAAAGTCAGAACAAAAAAACATTGAATATGTAACAGTTTGAGATCGTACATCGGTTCTGTGGTGCAGTGGTTAGCACTCTGGACTTTGAATCCAGCAACCTGGGTTCGAATCCCGGCAGAACCTTCGTTCGCTCCCGTTTTGTTTTCACTGATATTAACTGCACCTAGCTGCATAAACATTCAATTCAGGCACCTTTGTTTGCATCCCAATTTTTGTTTCCACTGCTAAAAAATGCACCCAGCTGCATAATCTTATGTTTCTATCTACAGATGCTATGGATACCAAAGAGCCTATCTTCAGTGGCAGGAAAATGCACACAACTTTTTTCTTACATTCTTAAACAGGAGCACACCTTGAAGTTCCTACATCACAGCCTACAACGTAATTGCATCCGCACATGCAGTATGTTTCTCTATCCTGTTTTTGCTTCTGGAAGGAAGGAACCCTATAACTGGAGAAACGGCTCTAGGTTAATCTCCACAGCAGAGCAAGGATCAGGGATGTCAAAATGCGCAAGAACCTGGAAAGAGAAAAGTTGGCATAGAAATATGTTATGATTATGAAGGGATGGGTAGAGGGAGGATGTTATTGACACTTTAGAAAGGGAGAAGGGAGAGGGATAGTTAGCGAGCCAAGAAAGAGGAGAATGGGACAGCAAGCTGAGAAAGTGGAAGGGAGCAAGTTGAGAACGGGGAGGAGAATGTGATAGCAGGCCGAGAAAAGGGAAGACGCAGGGACTGTGAGCCGAGGAAAACAACAACAGGGACGCAGGTGTGTCCGGGGCACAAATTATAATTAGAATAGATGAAGCAAAACAACATGACTACACACCTCTGGGTGAACGACACCAAAAGTGCCGATGGATTTTCCTTTACAGAGGATATCGGCCTGACGGCCCCCAAAGAACTGGGGAGACTGGAGGACGAACAAAGGAATGTGCGGGAAACAGGAGGGAATGGGGACGCAATGAGATCAAATGAAGGATATATTTTTAACATAAATTATTGCCTTAAAGTGCTCACTGCTCACACTACTGTGGAGACTGGAGGACGAACAACAGAGTGTGCGGGAAACAGGAGGGAATGGGGCACAATGAGAACAAATGAAGGATTCTATTTGACAATAGAAGTGCCTCATGGCATTCATAGAATTGGGTAGATTGCACCACTAACGGCAGAGACAAGGGGAAAGAGAGGGAATGGGCACACAAGGAGATGTGCTTGCCTAGGACGGAAAAACTTCCAGCAATGAAGAAAATACTGAACATGTTAGAGAGCAGACTTACTTGCGAGGGAGAAATACGGTTGAGAGCAGCAGCAGCGTTGCAAGGGCACACCGGAACATGACAAAGCTGACTCACTTGCGCGGGAGCGTCGGGACATGTCAAAGCAAGTATACTCACTTGCGAGGGCGCAATGAAGTACTTGAGAGCAGCAACCTTGCCATGCAAGGGCGCATCGAAACATGACAAACAAGAGGACTACACACACTCACTTGCGAGGGAGCAATGAAGTACTTGAGAGCAGCGGCAGCCTTGGCAGCATCCCCATCGTCACCCTGCGTTGCCGGCCCATCAGCAAGAGCCTTTGTCCCGTCCGCCCCTGCTTGGCCTCCACACGCCACTCCCAGCGACTCCATGAGGCGATCGACCAGACCGTGAATGACCTCGAAGCCAGAGTGCAGGTTGCAGTAGAGCGCTATGAGCCGCCTCTCGTTCCTCGCCCCCACGTCCTTGCTCTCGTCCAGCAGGCACACGTCCGACACCTCAAAGAGCTTCACCGGGCGGGGCGAGTCCTTGTTGCTGGCGAGGGTCTTGAGCATTCCGGGGAGGAGAGACGAGCGCACCACCTGTAGAGGGGTGGGCGGGGACAGGGATTGCTTGAAGGGAGAACTAGCAGGAGCATGAGACACCTCAAAGAGCTTCACCGGGCGTGGCGAGTCCTTGTTGCTGGCGAGGGTCTTGAGCATTCCGGGGAGGAGGGAGGAGCGCACCACCTGGGATGGGAAAGAGTGAGTGGGGGAAACAGATGAAAGTGGGGATGAAGGAGAGATATGAGACACCTCAGAGAGCTTCACTGGGCTGAGCGAGTCCTTGTTGCTGGCGAGGGTCTTGAGCATTCCAGGGAGGAGAGACGAGCACACCACCTGGGAAGGAAGAGTGCGGGGTTGACAGAGGGATCAGCAGGGACCATGAGGCACCTCCTACTGCCAGAGGCTTCACAAGGCGGGGCGGGGGGAGCGGGGAGAGTGTGGGGTTGATAGAGGGATCAGCAGGGACCACGAGGCACCTCGTACGACCTCTGGCCTGACAGGGCGACGCGAGACGAGTCCTTGTTTCTGGCGAGGGTCTTGAGCATTCCGGGGAGGAGATAGGAGCGAACCATCTGTAGAAAGGAAGAGGATAGAATATAAACAGGACTAACTTACGACGGTCATCCAGAAACACTCGCACGCATGCACCCACCTCGAAATCAGCGGACCGTGGGGTTCTGATATCAACTGCCTTCCCAAAGCGAGCACACACCCGCCCAAAAGCACCCACCTCGAAATCAGCCGACCGCGGGTTGCCGATGACAACAGCCGTCTTGCCATCGTCCTTGAGGTTCACCATCTCAAAGTTCTCGGTGCGAGCGATGAGCGCCCACGTGCCCCACACCAAAGAAATAGACAAAGGGCCGTCTGCACACACCCACCCACCTCAAAGTCTGCAGACCGCGGGTTGCCGATGACAACAGCCGTCTTCCCATCTTCCTTGAGGTTCACCATCTCAAAGTTCTCACTGCGAGCGATGAGCGCCCACGTGAGCACCTCTGCCTTGCTCTTCCTCCCTCTCTCCCCACCCCCCACACACACAGACCCACACACCCACCTCGAAATCAGCAGAGCGCGGGTTGCCAATGACAACAGCCGTCTTGCCATCGTCCTTCAAGTTCACCATCTCAAAGTTCTCGCTGCGTGCGATGAGCGCCCACGTGAGCACCTCTGTGAAGCCTGCCTGGGCCACCTCGCCCCTCAGCAGGTCGCACAGCTGGTTGAGAGGCTGCTGCTTGCCCTCACACACCGTCTTGGGCTCTGTGCGAGCAATGTTGTTGTAACCGTGTGCGATAGCCACGTCCTGATGTGTGTGCGTGTGTGTTGGAGAGGGAGTGGAACAGAAGGGAATGAGGATGGGGGGAAGGGAAGTTCAGCGCCTGCTGCTTGCCCTCACAGGCTGTCTTGGGCTCGGTGCGAGCCATGTTGTTGTAGCCGTGTGCAATGGCCACGTCCAGGAGGGCGAGAGGAAAGGGAATGAAGGAGTATGGAAGAGAGTCAACATCAACACCCACACACTGACTGTCGACTCAATACCATATGCAACCTTCACATGTATGTGAGGGCGTGTCCTCAATAACATCCCTATGTCACTGGGCAGCATCAATATAATCACATTCACCTCCATGATGTCACACGAGTGCAGCACATCGCTACGAGTGGGGGGTACTGTCACGCTCACCACCTCCGCCCCGTCCCGTCCTCACAATTAATGTCACATGCCCAACATACTTCAGTCTCTCAGTAGTATACATATCATGAATCACTCTAATCACCTCTCACCTCCATAATGTCACAGGGGTGCAGCACGTCACTGCGAGTGGGCGGCACTGTCACGCTTACCACCTCGGCCCCGTCCTCTCCTCTCCGCCCCTCCACCACCTTGGACGGCAGCTGCATGCGCGTCAGCAGCCGGGCGATCTGAGGGAAACATGGCATGGCACAGAAGGGGCAAACGGGGCAAGGGGTATGTTGCTGCGAGTGGGCGGCACTGTGACGCTCACCACCTCCGCCCCGTCCTCCCCTCTCCGCCACCTTTCATGGCAGCTGCATGCGCGTCAGCAGCCGGGCGATCTGGAAGGATGAAAGGGGCGAAACGAGGGCAACAAAGGGCAAGGCAGCAAGGAGAGTGCATGTTGGGAGGTTGAGTGTGGCTGTCTGTCCTCCCCTCTCCGCCCCTCCACCACCTTCGATGGCACCTGCAAGCACATCAGCAGACGGGCGATCTGAAAGGGATAAAACGGATAGAATGGGCAACGGAAAAAGGAGTCCATATCGGGAATATGAGTGTGTGATGTGAGTCCCCTCACATGTGTGAACCCACACACCCACATTCAACCACAATCACAATCTCCCTCATTCTCTCATCTCCTCGGCTTTAAGGTCAACGACAATAGCCTTGTTGATATACCCCACCGATGTCTCCCACATCCCTCTCCTCCATCCGAGGGTATACTGCCACCTGCCCCCCCATGTGTGTGTGCGAACCCAACCACCCACAATCAACCACATTCAACCACATTCAACCTGGAGCCTCACCTCCTCGGCTTTAAGGTCAACGCCAATAGCCTTGTTGATATACCCCACCGATGTCTCCACATCCCTCTCCTCCATCTGAGGGTACACCGCCACCTGCCCCTCCGTAGATACCACCTCCACCGGTTCCACCTCGAACCTGCAAAGAAAATCCACAGTGCAGTGAAGTGTAGTCGTGTGTGAGCATTAACAAGGGGGTTCTTTCAACTCGCCCCTCCACAGATACCACCTCCACCAGTTCCTCCTCGAGCCTGAAGTGGAAATAAACAATGTGGTAGAGAAATAGTGAAGAACAAACCAAAATCAATACGAGGGGCTGACAATAAATGCCAACGACGCCGTCGACCACGATGTTGACCGTGTTGACTTTTGAGTCGACTCAAAAGTCAAATGGTAACAACGGTGTCGAGCACGATCTCGGCCTTTGTGTGGCCAGTGGAGCTTTTCAAGCATTGCACCCAGTACAATACAGCTTCCACTAGCAACTTTCGAGGCGCCTCAAAAGGCGGATCTCGGTCTTGTGAGGCCAGTGGCTGTTTTCATTGCACAGTACAGTACAGCTTCCACTAGAGCCTCTACTCTCCAGTTATTGCTCCACTCATTGGTGTCACAGAACTCTGAGAACATGGTAACCACGGTTTTGAGCACGATCTCGGCCTTGGTGAGACCAGTCAGTGGCCCTTCTAGTGCACTGCACTGCACCAAGTGAGGGTGTGAGCCCTTCCAATCCTACCCGACGTCTGTAGTCCCTTACACTTATCTCCAGTGTCCCTTACGCACTTGTTTTCACAGAACTCGGAGAACATGGTGACAACGGTGTTGAGAACGATCTTGGCCTTGGTGAGGTCAGTCAGTGGTCCTTCTCATGCATGGTACCTTACCGCATCCCCTCCAGCTGTCCCTACAGCATCTACAAGGCATGATACGCACTCACTTGTTATCGCAGAACTCGGAGAACATGGTGACAACGGTGTTGAGAACGATCTTGGCCTTGGTGAGGTCAGTGGCGGTGCATTCGATGAACACGTTGCGCGTGGTCAGCTTGATGGCTGAATGTGAGCCGTTGATCACCGGCGGGAGAGACAGCACGGTTCTGAAGAGAGTGGGAGAGAGACACGCGGGCGAGAGAGGGGGGGAATGGCGGCAAGGGTGGAGAGGAAAAAATGAACTGGTTTGTCAATATGAAGAATTGGTGGAGGCTGATGTGAAACTGCTGCCATCGGAGTCGGATGTAGCACACCACAGCACATCGCATCATAAATCAGTTAACATTTTCCTCCAATAGGGGGTCTCGAAGGCTAGTCGAAAGATAACTGAGCTGAGCGTCAGACATTGAAAGATAACTGGAGCTGGACATACGTAGTATCATACATGAAGGGCAAGTTTGCGCTATAAGGGTATACACACACCTGTTGGCATCATAGATCACTGGGAAGACAGGCGATTCGCTGATGATGTGTAGGAACTTCTTAAGCTTGTTGTGAGACTGCAACAATAACGGGGATGGAATGTGTGTGATGATGCCGTAGAAGAGAATGCAGTGCGTTGCGTTATGAGAAATGGGAGAGGGTACTGACACTTCCCAATTTTATAATATGAGGTGTTGAAAGATGGGAGGGGGGAAGCAGGGCGCCATGATGCCCTGCTTCCTGTCTTTAGCAGGAGAAACGTCAAAGGCTTGCTTTCGGACTTGCATGTGATGTCCAGGGGGGAAGGGGGTGCCCTGGCTGGGCTTGTATTACGCATGGCAGTGTACTGTGCATTCTTTCATGCATATAGTTACCTTGTAAAACTCCATGAGCTCAGCAGCATTGAACTCCTTGGTCTGATGTCAGCGGGAAAGGGGAGCGGAAAAATGGAAATGAGTACAGAAATAGAGGGGAAAAAAACAAACAAACAAACAGAACCAAGGCAAAAGAAGCCCAGTCAGGAGATGGCAAACAAAACACAGCAGCGAGCGGAAAGAAAGTCATGCAGAGCCAGTTTCTAACTCGCCAAATCTGGGTGGTGGGGAGGTGCTAGGCTGGTCATATAGTGTCACTGAGTAGTCACGTATGGAGCAGAAGCTAGAGCGGTGGTGTGGGTGGTGAAATGGGTGGAGCAGGGTGCAGGAGGGTTCGGATGGAGGTTGGCACCTGCTTGAGTGGCACAAACTTGATCTCCGTGGGAGGTAGGGCCTGCAGTGGGATGGAAGGCAGGGAAGAAACAAGGAAGACAGGCGGTGACACGATGAAGAAACAAGGATGAAAAACACGGAACAAAGGTGATGACGCAAGGAAAAAAGGCAATGAACCAACGAGGAGTGAAATGAGGGAACCGTGGAAAAATTTGGGGCGAAAGGAGGGGAGGGGAGGGGGGGGAGTGGGGAGGGGAGGGGGGGGAGTGGGGAGGGGAGGGGGAGAGTGAGGGATTGGCTGTGGAGAGGAGAGGGAGGCGACTTGGTGGATTGGAAGAAAGCGGGGAGAACAAGACCGAGTGGAGGAGTGAGTGATGAACACAGGGTACCTACTACCACAAGTGTGCCTGAACTATAACCCACACCCGCCTCGCCTAGCCCATATCTGCCCCAACCCACCCACCTCATAAGTGAAGGGTGGTGTAAGTGTGTCGAGGTCGTGTGTCCCAATCGCCACAAGCGTGCGGCGACTCTAGGCCATACCTGCCTGGCCTATTCCATAGCATACCTGCCTGGCCTATTCCATAGCATACCTGCCTGGCCTATTCCATAGCATACCTGCCTGGCCTATTCCATAGCATACCTGCCTGGCCTATTCCATAGCATACCTGCCAGCCTTAATCCATATCTGCCCCAATCCACCCACCTCATACGTGAAGGGTGGTGTGAGCGTGTCTAGGTCATGTGTCCCGATCGCCACAAGCGTGCGGCGACTGTTGCGAGGAGGGGAGAGGGGAGGACGCGGGTGGGGGGTGGGAGGATAAAAATGGATTGGTGGGTTTGGGGTTGGGTTGAAATGGACAGGTACGCGTGCGTTGGGTATGGGGTGAGCATTGGGTGGGTATGGTGGGGTGTGTGGAGGATGGGGGAAGGAAAGCGCAGCAGCACGGAATCTCACCGGCACAGGTTCTGGTGCAGCCTGTCTTGCAGGTCGATGAAGCTGTTGTAGCGGTGCTGGTGAAACGTGAGAGCAACAACACTGGCAGACAAATGTTACTCGCAGCGTAAGGCATCTCACCGGCACAGGTTCTGGTGCAGCCTGTCTTGCAGGTCGATGAAGCTGTTGTAGCGGTGCTGGTCGAACGTGATATTGCGCAGCACTGCCCCAACCACGAAGGGGCGGATCAGGGCCGTCTGTGTGGTTCGCAGAAGGTTGGGGGACGGGTGGGGACAAGGAGTGGTGTAGGGAAATGGGAGAGGAGAAGGGTAAGCTGCTGGTTGAATGTGACACTGCGCAGCACTGGCCCCACCACAAAAGGGCGGATCAGGGCCGTCTGTGTGGGCTCACAGGGTGGGCAAGGGGGCAGGGTGGGAATGGCGCAGGGGGAAGAGGAGACGAGAGAGATGGCACGCAGCAAGCATGAAACCGTTGCAGCGGTGCTGAGAAACAGGATCCATGCCGAGGGAGGGAGATGCGCAGCGAGCGGGCCAGACCATCCAGGCCAGGCACAGCAGGTCGTAGCAGTGCTGGCTGAGAGAGGGCTCTATTGGTACGACTTTTGAGAATTCTCAGCAGTGCTGGCTGAGAGAGGGCTCTATTGGTACGACTTTTGAGAATTCTCAGCAGTGCTGGCTGAGAGAGGGCTCTATTGGTACGACTTTTGAGAATTCTCAGCAGTGCTGGCTGAGAGAGGGCTCTACAGAGGCCTACTCAACTCTAGCACCCAGCTCCCTGCTCACCTCAGGCGTGACAGTCATGCGGATGGGGCTGGCAGCAGCAGCGAGCTTGAACTGGGGCACAGGGTCCATTTCCAGGAAGATGCGCAGCGAGCGGGCCAGCCCCTCCAGGCACAGCAGGTCGTAGCGGTTGGCAGGCACCTCGATCTTGTAGATCACCTCCTCGTCCTCCGCTGGACCCTCGTCCGTTAGGTGCTTCTCCTTGCGGATAATAGCCTTCTCTGTGGTCTGAAGGCCGGCAGGGGAGGGGGTTTGGGAAGCAGCGGTTGGCAGGCACCTCGATCTTGTAGATCACCTCCTCGTCCTCTGAAGGTGATTCATCCGCCAGGTGTTTCTCCTTGCGAATGATCGCCTTCTCTGTGGTCTGTGGAAAGGAGGGGGAGAACACGGGGGCAGGAGAATAAGAGATGGCAGGCTGCGGCCCCTGGAGGCAGGCACAGCAGGTCGTAGTGGTTGGCAGGCACATCGATATTGTAAATCACCTCCTCGTCCTCCGAGGGACCCTCGTCCGTTAAATGCTTCTCCTTGCGGATTATTGCCTTCCCTGTTGTCTGGACGAGAGAATGGGAGGGTATGAGAGTAAGAGACGTACAGCAGCCCCTCCCAGCAGAGCAGGTCGTAGCGGTTAGCAGGCACCTTGATGGTTATCCTTTCGAGTTTCAAGTTACCATCACGTCATCACGCGCTGACTGAGTCACCGAGCTCTCTCTACAGTCACATCACACTCAGCACGTCATCAAGCTCCGTATCATCATTAAACAAACTGGCTGGATACATCTCCCACCTCTCCTTACAGTCACATTCACCACATCATCAAGCTCAATGCCGAACACGAAGCAGAGCTCTCTTTACAGTCACATCACAGCACATCACAGCATCACACTCACCACATCATCAAGCTCGATGCCGAACTCGAAACAGAGCTCATCAAATTCCTCCTCCGCTGAACGATCATACGGACAGACAGACAGACACACGGGAATGAGAGGGGGAGAGCAGGGATCAGGCAATGTGGGGAATGTGGGGAATGTGGGGAATGTGGGGAATGTGGGAAGAGAAAGCTCGATGCCGAACTCGAAGCAGAGCTCATCGAATTCCTCCTCCGCTGAACGATCATACCAACGGACGCACAGATGTAGCGGAGAGGAGAGATCAGGCAATGCGAGGAAGGGAAAGGAATGTGACGAAGAGCGGAGGCGAGGAGTGTCAGACGAATCAGCAACCACCCGAAACGGAATTCATAACCAACTGACAGAATCAACAACCACCTGACAGGATCAGTAACGACCTGACAGGATCAGTAACGACCTGACAGGATCAGTAACGACCTGACAGGATCAGTAACCGCCTGACAGGATCAGTAACCGCCTGACAGGATCAGTAACCACCTGACAGGATCAGCAACCGCCTGACAGGATCAGTAACCGCCTGACAGGATCAGTAACCGCCTGACAGAATCAGAGCCAATGACGCACTAAAAAATACTAGCACTGCACCAAATCCAGCGAACGAAATCTATCTGCTACACAGAATTCAGTGAACGAAGTCTGTCTGCTGGAAAACGAACGGCGAAAGCTGATGGAGGAGGGAAGCTTCGTGACAAACGAGGGAAACTGCGCACTAGCTCCATAACTTCATCGTACAGAAACTCACGGAGGGAAAGTGATGCTGTTGAAACGAAAATCCTGGAGGGGGAGGTGTCCGTACTCCCGATGTAGGGTTCTTCGCTAACTTGACACGATTCCGAACCATGACTCGCGAAGGTTTACGACTTTCTAAACACGCGATATTTTCCCCCTGAAGCACACTTCATCAGGTTCAAAACACCAAAACCAGAGACCGTGTGACGACGCACACTAAATATCGACTCACACGAGATTACGTGATCCACACTAATACGTAACTACTAGGGCGCCGTAAAAGGTTAGTCACCTCACATTGGTAGTTTGACGACTCACTGTAAGTTTTGCCGAGCGCGGCGAAGAGCCGATCGCGACCCACGCTAACGGTCGGCATTCTCTCAGTGGAATAAGGCAGGTAAGATCAGAGCGGAATTCCGAGGCTCTTCAAACGGACACAAGACGCTGCGTAGAAGCAAAAGAGGGGATTAGCTTTTGGCGGGCGGCGACGGATGCGGCGCGCCGCAGAAACCACCGCAACTTCAGGAGGTGATGTGGTGGAGATCAAAAGCCTCGCTTAGGAGGCGGAAGTAAGTGCTGATCAGAAAGGCTTAGGGTAATATCAAGGCGCGAGACAATATCGAGGTGCAGGTCTCGTTGAAGGACATTATTTATGTATTCGAGCGAAAAAAATACCAACACAATTCACTTCATCATAGGTACCAAACTGTAAAATTCCGGAAATAAGATTTCTGAAAATACAGTGCTAAATATACTAGCATATTAACATAACTCACTCTATACGTGCAGAAATCTGCACAGAATTAAAACTAGTAGCGCATGTAATACACCTATCAATACTGCACCGCACCTCTCAAATCTTGGAGCAATTTGCCCGTGCCAAAGGCACGGACAGTTTGCAGGCTTTTTCATCCAACCCTACTGCAACCATATTCCATCCACCCTATTTTACCTCGTTAAAACCTTGCGCATTCGAGTGCACCGAGTTGCACTCTAGCGTCCGCTTTTCCCTCCATGCAGTGCTTGCTAAACCCAATTCCTCTTATCGCTGCATCATTATCTCTGCATCCCATTCATCCCCTCCCCAAACCCTTGCACCTGCTCTTCTGTATCTCCTACACCATGCTCCCAGTTACCCATTTGCGCCCCACCACCAGCACCATCACCAGCAGCACCACCAGCCATAACAGTAGCCCACTCTCTTTCCCTGATCCCAAGGGCCACCAATTGCCCAGCCGCCCCTGCTGCTTCTGGTAACCCCCTAGCAGCCCCACCCGCCTCTGTTTCCCTCAACCCCTCTGCTCCAACCACACTCTCTGTCCTTCTCTCACCTCCTGCTCCCTGCTCTGTGCCTGACCCTCTGCCTACCCCGCCTACCCCCAAACCTGCCCCCAAACCTGCCTCCGAACCTGCAGCCAAACCTGCTGCACAACCTCCTTCAATCACTCTTTCCCTTCCCACACCCCCAGTTTCCCCCCCACCACCCCCCCCACCGCTGCTGCTGCTGCTACCACCCTCACCACTGCCACCACTGCCACCAGTGCCGCTAGCGCTGCCAGTGAGTCGGGGTGGGGCTTCAGCAGGGCGAGCAGGCACAGGCGAGGGGGAAGACCGCAGCGGGAGGTGCAGCGGGGGCGTGAGAGGGCGAGCCCTATAACCTCTCCCCGCCCCGGACTCCCTCCCTGCTTCCCCACCACTCCCTCCACTCCCTCCCGCTCCATCACACCCCACAGAAGCACTGCTTCTAAAAAACGATCCCATGGGCGACCTCAAAGGGGACCTGCTGCTGTGGTTGGCGCCGGTGGTGCTGCTGCTGGTGCTGGTGGTGCTTGGCCCAGCAACATCAGCCCCCGCAGTCAAAGACGAGCCTCTCAAGGGTGATCGCCTAGGAGACCCCAAAGGGGATCTTAAAGGGGACCTGCTGCTGCTGATGCTGCTGGAACGATGCGCACGTGCAGGACCCGCGGTCACACTGCCAGCAGGATTGGAACCACCAGCAGCTGCAGCTGAAACGCTACCAGAGGGAGTGACGTACGTCCAACCACTGTTGGCTCTGCTTGGGCCAGCATTGCTGCTGCTCCCACCCCCACCGCCTCGACCAAACCCCCCACCACCACCACCCGCAACAGCAGCAGCGGCAGCTGCAGCAGCAGCAGTGCGAGCACTGGTGCTACTAGTAAAAGCAGCACCGGTGATGTTGTTGTTGTGAGTCCTGCTTGACCCAATATTATAGGGGTTATTGCGATTGTTACCCACCGCGCCTGGACTTCCCGAACCTGCCAGCTCAGCAAGATCCGAGGCCTCCATACCCGTACGTACAGCCGTTCCCGGACCTCCAGCTCCTGTACCCGAACCTCCTTCTGTTCCCCAACCTCCACAAGGTGAGGAAGGGGAGGGCTGCCACAAAAACCTCCTCAGCGTGCCTGTGACGAATGAGGCGAACCTTTGCGCCCCTCTTGGCCCTGCTCCTGCTCCACCTCTTCCTGCTGCCGCAGCCGCTGCTAAACACGCGCCAGCATCACCAGCACCAGCACCAGCGGCAGCGGCAGTACCAGCACCACGCCTGGCATCTCCTGCTGACGCCAATCTAAGCAGACCACCAGCCCGCAAGGGAGAAACATTCCTCACACCACCACCACCAATACCACCAATGCCATCACCATCACCACCACCGCCCTCCCCATTACCAGCGACACCAAGGGCAGAAGCACCGTTCCCCCCAGCTCCTCCCCCCATCCCTCTCCCTTGCACACGGTTCTGGGTCTGATGGTGATGGTGGTGATGATCATGCTGATGATCGTGCTGCTGCTGCTGCTGCTGCTGCTGCTGCTGCTGCTGCTGCTGGTGATCCAAACCCCTTCCTTCTCCTCCTGCTGCCCCTGCTCCCCCCCAACCTCCCCCACCCATTCCCAACAGCCCTATTCTCTCTCCAAGATTCCGAAGCTGAAATCCCTCACCCAGCAACCCACCCAAACCACCCCCACCCGCACCACCCCCAACCCCCCCATCTGCACCATCACCATCACCACCAGCACCGCCAGCACCACCACCAACAACAACAGCCCCTCCCTCTCCCCTTCCTCCACCCTCTCTCCTCCCCCCACCGCCCTCCCTCCCTTCCCCTCTCTCCCCCCCTCTCCCCACCCCGCCCCGACTCCTCTCCTGCGTAATCACCAACGTCGGCCTCTGCTCCTGCAGAACACTCAGCGAATGCGCCGAAACAGCCGGACACCGCCTCACCTTCAGCCGCTGCAGGCTCGGGCACCCATTCGCGAGCGCGTAAATCCCGAGGTCAGTAACCTTGTTACAGGCTTTCACGCAGAGGCGGCGGAGGTTGGAGCAGGAGTAGGCAAGGGTGGCGAGCTCTGGGTCTCCCATGTTGTGGCCTGAGCAGAGCGTGAGGCGCTCTAAGGAAGGGCAGTTGGAGGCGAGCAGTTGGAGAGAAGAGACGGTGCAGGCATGGGACACCAGCAGCAGCTCCTGTTAGCGGGGAAGGGAATGGGGGGAGGGGTTGGAAGGTTGGGGAAAATAAGGGACTTAAGAAGAGAGTGAGGCGCTCGAGAGACGGGCAGTTGGAGGCGAGGAGCTGCAGGGAGGAGACGGTGCAGGCATGGGACACCAGCAGCAGCTCCTGAAGATAGGAGAGACGGCAGACAGGGAGAAAAGAGGGAAGGAGGGGGGTGGGGGGGGGAAGGTAAGACAAGGGGAGTGGAAAAACTCGGGGAAATGAGCCTCGTCGCTGAAAGCGTGTCCATTTCACGATTGTAGTTTCGGAGCCCATGGTGTTCACGGGCTGGAGCTCATAAGTTGGTGCTCATAAGCACCACCCCACCTCACTGACCCACCTGCAGCTGCCGGCAGTGCCTGGCAATCGCTGACAGCCCTGGGTCGCCCAGATGCCCCGGCGCCCACCCCTCCACGTGCAGCCTCTTCAGCCCTTCTACCTCACACCTTCATTCTTGCCCCAGTTGCTACAGTCGACACACTGACCCACCCACCTGTAACTGCCGGCAGTGCCTGGCGATCGCTGACAGCCCCGGGTCTCCCAGATGCCCCGGCGCCCACCCCTCCACGTGCAGCCTCTTCAGCCCGCTACAGCCGGCTGCTACAGCCGCCATGCCGGCATCGGTGCACTCGGGTGTGCGCACCACCACCAGCGCCTCTAGCTTGGGGCACTTGCCGATGCACTGAAGTCCCTTGTCCGTTATCTGCACCCTCTCCACGTAAATCTGGGTTGAGGGGGGTGGGGGGTCGGGGGGTGAAGATGGGGGGAAGGGGGGTTGAAGAAGTGGGGGAGAGAGGGGTTGAAGAAGGCGGATTGTGGGGGTGAGGGGGAAGCTTGAAGGGACAGGGGTGAAGATCGCTACAGCCTGCTGCTACAGCCGCCATGCTGGCATCAGTGCACTCCGGTGTGCGCACCACCACCAGCGCCTCTAGCTTGGGGCATTTCCCGATGCACTGAAGTCCCTTGTCCGTTATCTGCACCCTCTATATCTGTGGGGGGGCAGGGAAGGGGACAGGCAGGCAAGAGTTGCTACAGCCGGCTGCTACAGCCGCCATGCCGGCATCGGTGCACTCGTTGGTGTGCACCATCACCAACGCCTCCAGCTTGGGACACTTGCCGACGCACTGCGATCCCCTTCACCTGGTCCCAGTGCACCTTACACCTGATACTACCAGATTCACCTGAGAGAGCTCTGGGGTCGCCTTTAAACACCTGACACCACCCTGAAGATACACCTGACTCTCACCTGAGACAGCTCCGGAGTGAGCTTCTCCCTGAGAGAGCTGCCGAGCACCTGGTCCCAGTGCCCCGCATTCCGTGCCAAAATTAGGGTTTCTAGCCTCGACGTGGCCTGCAGCAGCAGAAACAATGTGACAGAAGGTAGGAAAGGAGAGTCGGAGAGGAGTGAGATACCCAGCAAAAGCACTTGATCCCAGTGCCCTGTGTTGCGCGCCAGGACGAGGGTTCCTGGACTACTTAAAGACCACGAGAAGGGGAACACGCTCACCTGCAGCAGCGGAGGGGAGGGCGGGCAGGGGAAGGGCGGGAAGGAAACACGCTTACCTGCAGCAGCGGCACCCAGATGTGCGACTGGCGTTGGTCCTTAAGGCAGAGGCGCTTCAGAGAGAGGTTGGCCGGAGGAGAGTTGGGAAGGGGTCAAGGTGGAGAGTGGGAAGACGGGAGGAAAAGGTGGGAGAGGAAGGGGGAGGAGGAGGGAAATTCACGCTCACCTGCAGCAGCGGCACCCAGATGTGTGACTGGAGTTGGTCCTTGAGGCAGAGGCGCTTCAGAGAGAGGTTGGCCGGAGGAGAGTTGGGAAGGGGTCAAGGTGGAGAGTGGGAAGACGGGAGGAAAAGGTGGGAGAGGAAGGGGGAGGAGGAGGGAAATTCACGCTCACCTGCAGCAGCGGCACCCAGATGTGTGACTGGCGTTGGTCCTTGAGGCAGAGGCGCTTCAGAGAGAGGTTGGCCGGAGGAGAGTTGGGAAGGGGTCAAGGTGGAGAGTGGGAAGACGGGAGGAAAAGGTGGGAGAGGAAGGGGGAGGAGGAGGGAAATTCACGCTCACCTGCAGCAGCAGCGGCACCCAGATGTGTGACTGGAGTTGGTCCTTGAGGCAGAGGCGCTTCAGAGAGAGGTTGGCCGGAGGAGAGTTGGGAAGGGGTCAAGGTGGAGAGTGGGAAGACGGGAGGAAAAGGTGGGAGAGGAAGGGGGAGGAGGAGGGAAATTTACGCTCACCTGCAGCAGCGGCACCCAGATGTGTGACTGGCGTTGGTCCTTGAGGCAGAGGCGCTTCAGAGAGAGGTTGGCCGGAGGAGAGTTGGGAAGGGGTCAAGGTGGAGAGTGGGAAGACGGGAGGAAAAGGTGGGAGAGGAAGGGGGAGGAGGAGGGAAATTCACGCTCACCTGCAGCAGCGGCACCCAGATGTGTGACTGGCGTTGGTCCTTGAGGCAGAGGCGCTTCAGAGAGAGGTTGGCCGGTGGAGAGAGCGAGTCCGACACGTGTGGGATCTGCGTGACGCGGTCTTTAGGCAATGAGGGGTGCAGGCTGGGAGGGGGGGAGGGGGGGAAAAGGGTGGAGGCAACGTGAGCATCCATACGAGCAGAGGCACTTCAGAGAGAGGTTGGCCGGAGGAGAGAGCGAGTCCGACATGTGTGGAATCTGCGTGACGCGGTCTTTAGGCAATGAGGGGTGCAGGCTGGGAGGGGGGGAGGGGGGGAAAGGGTGGAGGCAACGTGAGCATCCATACGAGCAGAGGCACTTCAGAGAGAGGTTGGCCGGAGGAGAGAGCGAGTCCGACACGTGTGGGATCTGCGTGACGCGGTCTTTAGGCAATGAGGGGTGCAGGCTGGGAGGGGGGGTGCGGGGAAGGGGGGACAGGATGACATAACAGGGGAGAAAGGGGAAATGGGGGAAGAGGGATGGGCGGGGGGAGGAAAGGGGAATACGGGGAAGAGGTGTTTTCTAATAACATGCAGGGATGCACGAGAGAGAATGTATACAAGCAGAGGCTCTTCAGAGACAGGCACTTCAGCAAGAGGTGCGCGTGGGGAGAGATCGAGTCGGACAAAAGCAAAAATGGGCGTACCACGGTCATTAGGCAATGAGAGTATTGATGTGTTTGATTTTCCACTCAGACACTCCATTTGTACCTTCGTTTGACGGTTAAGTCCTCAAGGTGCATGCAGCCATTGAGCAGGGCGTTGAGCCCCCTCAGCCCGAACCCGCAGCTCCCACACGAGAACTTCCGAAGCTCCGGACAGGCCTGGGCGAACCTCTCCATGCCATCGTCCGTTATCTGGTGGCGAGCAGAGTACAGAGGCGTTCAGAGGAATTCAGAGGGGTGGAAAGAGTTGAGAGGGACTCAAGGGAGGGCAAAGATTTGCTTTTAAGGAGCCTTGAAGCTCCGGACAGGCGCGGGTGAACCTTCTCCATGCCATCGTCCGTAGTCTGGTGTTGGTGAGAGGAATATAGAGTGGTTCACAGGAGTTGAGAGTGCTTGGAAACCATTGCCACAGCTCATGCCCTCCCTGCAGGCTCCCACACTCTCTCCCCCTCCACTCACCTGTCGGCAGTTCTTAAGTTTGAGTTTCCGTAGGTACACGCACTGCCGGGCGATGGTATCCAAGGACGCGTCATCGATGCTCAGAACGTTGCGCTCGCATTTCCGCATGAGCTTCCACCCCTCACCTCCCTCCCACATGCTCCCACACTCCTTCCCACACCACCACCCTCACCTGTCGGCAGTTCTTGAGTTTGAGTTTCCGCAGGTAAACGCACTGCCGGGCGATGGTATCCAAGGACGCGTCATCGATGCTCAGCACGTTGCGCTCGCATTTCAGCACCAGCTTCTGCACGCCCGTGAACCGCCTGAACAGGCTCGCGAGGTCCGGAGCGGCGTCTAGAGTCGCGCGCAGCGACATGCTTGGCCTGGTCTCCGCGTCTAACCTGTGAAGGAATCGCAGGGAACGAGGGAAGGGGGAAGAAGGAGGGGAGGAGCAATCTAGAATTTCAACACCAGCTTTTGCACGCCGGCGAGCCGCGTGGACAGGCTCGCGAGGACCGGAGCGGCGTCTAGAGTCGTGCGCAGCGACATGCTTGGTCGCGTTTCCGCCTCCAGCCTGCGAAAGAAACGGCCGGAACGAGAGACGAGGGAGAAGAGTGGGTGGTGAGACTCTGGCGTGGGCAAATTTCAGCAAGGTGACTTTTGAGTCGACTCAAAAGCCACCTCGAAACGACCGGAGAGAGAGACGACGGAGGAGAGGGGGTGGTGAGACTCTGGTGTGGGCAAACTTCAGCGTCCTCACCACAACGTACACGAGCTAGCATCCCGCTAGACACGGAATCAGAAAAGCTGGACTGTACTATCTCGTATGCCGTGAATAAGAGAGAAAATTATTCAATATATCTAACTTGCGGGTATGCCGCTTTATCAAAGCACGTGTACGTATGAGTATCTGACATCGTTAAACGATTCCCACGCACATGGTTCGCCTACGTAAATGAAGGCATCCCAAGTCGCTAATGTACAACGGCGCGAGGTACGCAGACGGAAACGAAGTCATTGGCAAACGGCATAATACGAAGAGCCTGAAGCTCTTTCTAGCATTCTCTAAGGTGACTCCAATCTATAAACAAACGCCATGCTACGAAAAGCCAGATTTCCCTACATGAACACGCTGACGAGACGAGCGCGACACCAGGGAGTATATCGCCTCGACGAAATGGATTCACTTACATGAACCAGCGCCTGCACACCAAGGAGCATCTGGCAAGATCCGACGTTCCGAGCTTCCGGAACACGTGCACGAGGCAATCGTCGGGAAGGTTCGCGGTAAGATCCTCCGCCGTCGTCGCGAGATGCGGGCGACTGTGCAGGCGCTGCTGCGTCACCTCGTCGTCGCTCAGCGATCCGTCCATTTCGCCGGACGAATTCGACCTCGCGTCGTCGTCGTCTGCCGAGAACACGCGCGACGCGGTTGACGTCGACATGACTGAAACCGTCAGAAACTAACGACGACGAACTGTTTGCGGTAGCGCCGGAGGCTAAGTTAACGTTGTACACGATAGCAAAATAGGATGCTGCGAGTGAAGAAAGGGCTAACTAGGACGTTTGGGTCGGACCTAAAGCTTAGCGACACCAAGCAAAACCAGCTAAAAACCGAAAGAAAGTAACACCACAATAGTCAAAGCGGGTAAGGCTTGAAACAGGATTAACTGGTAGCCATTAATGCCATCGGACAATAGAAACGTTACTACCAGAGTCGAAAGGAGCGGTTACAAAACAAAACCAAGACAAGTCCACGCTTCTCTATGCTGCAACTGCAATGCAAGACAATCCGTGAAACAGAGGGAAAGCAGGGTCGATGGTGGATGGTTAGAGGCAGATGATGCAATGGCGGAGGATTCGAAGTTGGTTGTAGGAGTGTAGTGGGGTGGAGCGGAGAGGACGGGTGGAATGGGAGAGAGACGAGGAAAGGAAGGAGGGAGAGGGGAGAGAGGAGGAAGAGGAGGGAGGGAGTTGATGGAGGGGACGGAGAGGAGGGAGAGGAGGGAGAGGAGTGAGGGATGGGAGGGGAGGAACAAGAAGCAGGGGCACCGCGCGGAAAGGACAGGGCCGGGAGGGGCATGGGGAGTGCCTCGCGTATGGCGGAACTTCCGCGGATACTCGCGGATATCCGCGAAGTTGGGTCTTGGACAACACCGGAAACGGGGGTGGGGCGGGGTGGTGGAATGTCTGCGCTCGTATCGCGGTCACGCGGATCTGTGCGAGCAGGGCCGCGCCGAAAGGGTCCGCCCTGCGCCGGAGTGACACTAGCAGTCCCGCGGGAACTTTTGAACCTGCAAGCGACAGTGACAGGCAGACACAGAGGAGGTGGGTTTCGTTCGCAATGACAAGCCTTGGTCGACTCGACAAGGTCTGCTGAGAATGGTTTGCGAACAGGCCTGTCGCTACAAGGGCATTTTCCCTTTTTACCCTTGAGCTCACGTGCTGGTTCGGGCCCAACTCAGTGAATTCAAGGACTGACTTTGAGGCCAGCCCGTTTTCCTTACGGGCTGGTTTAGCGCCTAGCCCAGATTTCACGTATACGCTCAGAGCCCCACCTACCATCCTACCCCCTCGTTTCCCCTGATATGTCTCCCCTGCTTACGTAGAACCTCCATACTTTCTCCCCCACCCGTTGCATGGTAGATCGGCTTATTGATCTGCTATGTACCGCAGCCCTTGGGCGTGTATTTGAACATCATCTACTGTCATGATGTGTTACGCTCAAGTCCAGAAGGAGGTGCAGCCCTGGATCTAAGTGTTTATATCTGACTCAACCCGGATTAAAAGGGCTAAATTAAGGGCACCTCAGCCCGCTAAGTCCTGAGCCCAGAGCAAGCGACAGCCTTGTTTGCGAATTATTCGTATGTATTTCTGGTGATATGTTTCGTCGTGTTCGCATGTATGGAAGCAGTAACTGTGGCCCTCGTTCCTCCAATCCAATGCCACCTAGAGTAGAGTGTACCACAGGAAGCTTTTGGCAGCACTCCAGCACACGTCACTTCGGCCGTTGGACACACTAGCTTGCACCCTGTTACGAGTGCAATTGAGTGAACGAACGAGTAAGGAAGATGCAAGGACAATCCCTTTTCCTTACTTTGCATCCTGTAAGGAAATTCCCTTTTCCTTACCTCGCGTCCCTGCTTAACGCGTACATCACTGTAGCACCTCAGTCAGCACCGTTACCACTCGCGACCATCGCATCATTCATCATCCCGCCCTTTTCGCACATCGCATCCCGACCTCACGGCTCGGCTGGTAACCCGCGCTCCGGGCCTACGCTTCCACATTTTCCCAACCTCAGTCCCAGGCTCGTCGCGCGACAACCACAGTCCATTACCGTTACCACTATTGTTTTCGCTATATAATCCTTCGCTCATGCCTTCGCTCATTGTACTCTTGCTTCGATAGTGCAATTCTCGTTCGTTCCCTCAATTGCACTCGTAACACTTGGTATTCAGAGCCTACGATCTCATCTCGGACCGCATCCACACCTTCACTTCCCACTATCTCAATTTTTGGGGGGGTAGACGTCTCTCAGCGATACAGCACCGCCGCTCGTAGTGCTCTCTCGGAAGCACGCACGGCCACGACTGAGGCTCTCGCTGAGCTTGCCCGACACCCCTGCCATGGTTGATTTCACTATCGCCACGCTGACGCAGGAGCAACTCGATCGTCTCGTGCGACAGTTGGAGGAATCAGCGCTCGAAATCGCGACGCTCACGGCGGAACGTGACTCCGCCCGTCAACAGTCAACGGTGAATGCTACGACGACTTCCCAAGCGCCAACCAATGTTTCTGTCCATTCGGAGGAGCCGATTGTTATCTCATCCGGCACACCAACGCAAAACAACAGCACGGGACAGCGCTCAGGCGCAGCCAGTGACGGCGCAGCCCAACCGATGCCCGGCATGGGAGGGAACAGGAATGCATCAAGCCCACGGGAGCCCCGAGAAGCCCGTCGGCACGTGGAGTTTGCGACGACAAGTGGAGAAATCGCCATGATGGCCCCAATGCCACTCAAGCCGCAACGCCCGCCCTGCTTCGACCCAAGCCAACGCGGTGGCCCGACAGTTCAATCGTGGGTCTTCACGATGAATGTGTTTTTCGACGCCAACTACGTCGAGTCGGACGCCGCCAAGATTCGGTATGCGGTTTCACTACTCAGGGGCCCCGCCATGGACTGGTGGCGAGTCATCGTGACGTCGCCACGCGCCTACGAGGCACCGTCGCACGAGGAAGGGCCCTCGGGTCCAGCTGTCACCTGGAGTTCGTTCTGCGAAACAGCCCAATACAGCACGTGGGATGCGTGGTGCGCAGGACTTCGGGCGCGCTTCGAGCCGATTGCGGCTTCGATTTCGGCGCGTCAGAAACTACGCACTTGGCGCCAGCTCGGGTCGGTTCAAGACTACACCAGCGGTTTTCTCGCACTTTGCGAACAGGTCGGCTACATGCACGAAGCGGAGCGGGTGGACCGTTACGTCGGGGGACTGAAGCCGGACATATCGCACGACATAATGCTACGCGGGCTATCGAATTTCAACGAAATCCTCGCGCTCGCCGAGAAAATCGATATCCTACGCCGACCGAGACCGGGGTCCTATTTCGGACATCGCCCTCGGGGACCGATCGAGCACGCCACCGTACATGCCGTCGCAACGAATGCAGCTGCCACGCCATTTAGAGGGCGCTGCTTTGCTTGCAACCGGTCGGGCCATCGCAAGAGCGAATGTCCAGAAGAGCTGAGGCGTCGAGGAGCAGAGCAGGGGAGGGAGTCTCAGAGGCAGGGAAACGCCAGCAGTCAGTAGAAATCGGGCCAACTACTGACGAGACTGCCTGCTCGCCCAACCACACCGACCCTCACCGAGTCACAGTACCGATTCACGCCATCGATCGGGCTCGGATGAATAAGGAGGGTACAGCGACGGATTGCCCAGTACTGATCTACGGGAAAATACAGGGAGCAGCAGTGAAGATCTTTATTGACGGAGGAGCAAGTCATAGCTTAGTTAATACCGCGACCGCACGAAAATTACAGTTGATACTTACCCGATGCTTACCTGAGATAGATGCACGCTTAGTCGACGGCACGCCACTGGCCATAAGGGAAAAGGTGGAGCGAGTAAAAGTCCGCTGCGGGGGGAACTTCGGATTTACACAGGAAATGCTCGCAACGACACTGGATGGGCACGACATTTTATTGGGACGTGATTGGCTGCGACGGTACAACCCATGGATTGACTGGACGACGGGGAGCTGCACAGTGCGAAGTAGCGGTAACTGGGTCGTTCTACCTCGCTGGCGGTCACCCGAATCTTCGACAGTCCAGGTCAACGCCGTCACGATGAAACGGGCTGTCGCTGCGGGAGCTGACGTGTACGCAGTAGATATCGCAATCGTAGAAAAAGACGAGCAGCAAAGTGATTTCGAGAAACTGCTAGCAGCCGTACCGAACGAATTACAGACACTACTGAAACGGTTCCAGGGGATATTTCCGGATGATCTACCACAGGGACTGCCACCTCAGCGGGCGCACGACCATAGGATAGTGTTAGAACCGGGGGCACAGCCAACAGTACAGCGGCAATTTCGACTGACACAACCCGAACTCGACGAGTTAAGGAAGCAGTTAGATTACCTATTAGAGAAGCAGTTTATTCGACCAAGCTCGTCACCGTTCGCCGCACCGATACTGTTCACACCGAAAAAAGACGGAGGTTTTCGCATGTGCATCGACTACCGAGCGCTTAACAGGGTTACAATCAAATCGCGATACCCCATCCCCCGCGCTGACGAACTGATTGACCAACTACGAACAGCGCGAGTCTTTTCGAAAATAGATTTACGGGGAGGTTACCATCAGATTCGGGTCGAACCATCGGACTGCGCCAAAACAGCGTTTAGGACTAGGTACGGGTCATTCGAGTATACAGTGATGCCTTTCGGGCTGACGAACGCGCCTGCAACTTTTCAGATGACCATGAACGAGGCGTTTCGACCACTTTTAGATAAATGCGTGATAGTTTACCTGGACGATATTCTAGTTTATAGCCGGGATAAGCAGCAGCACTTAGTCGATCTTGAAGCGGTTTTTCAGGTCTTAGAGAAACATCGCCTACTCACCAAGGGTTCCAAGTGCGAGTTTTTTAAGGATAGGCTAGAGTTTTTAGGTCACGTTATTTCGGAGGCTGGGGTTGAGATTGACCCAAAGAAGCTGGATACAGTAAAAGCGTGGCGCCCTCCGACGAACATCACGGAACTACAGAGTTTTTTAGGTTTTGTTAATTACGTTCGACGGTTCGTGCCCGACATGGCACGTTTAACAGCCCCGCTCACTGATTTACTACGTAAGGGGGTCGTTTTTACGTGGGGGGAGAAAGAGCATGCTGCCTTCTCTGCCCTGAAAAACGTTCTCTGCTCACCACCCGTTCTACGCATCGCCGAC